GTTCCAAATACTATAGAAAAGCTCCAGGAAATGTAACCTGCTAAATTTACTAACCTGCAAAAGGAAAAAACAACAGTGAGAGAGACCAAACACAGCTGGCTCCTATATGTGCAGTTGGGTAGGGTGGCCTTGGCTTACTCTGCAGCTCGCGTCTCCTTCCCTTTCCAGCCTCTCCGTATCTCTACCATTCACTTTCTGTGCTGCCTCAGCCCCTGTGCCCCCTCCCCTCCACACACACACACACACACACACACACACACCCCTCCGTTGGTTCTTTGAAAGGGTTTTCCTGGTAAGGAACAGGGAGCGGGGAAAGAGCCGAGGCCTCTCTCTCCTTTCTGAGAACTGGGCCCGCTAACATGGTTTATGGCTGCTCAGGGACAGTATCAGACATGTATGTGAATCAGGGAGCGGGAGGGAGTACCCGAGATAAAGAGGGGGAGGGGGTGAAGGAGAACGAAGGGAGGAGTTTGCAAACATGCCAAGCCATGGTTCACTTCAGCAAGCAGTTAAAGTGAGGCCAGGGAAAGGGAACGAGGAGGCGGGGGTGGGGATCTCTGGGTTTGTAGAATTATTTCTGCCGCGAGTTGAGAATTGCTTTTGTTTAAAGCAGACTTTTTACTTCCAATCCGTGTCAAAATGTTTCCTTCTGTTCGTTCAACTTAATGACACCATATGTGCCATGTTTACCAGCCAAAATTCATTCTAAAAAACATTTCTCAATGTTTAAACACTACTGGTGTAGTCAAAGCATTTCCTGATTTGTGGCTGGATGACCAAAAGAAAACTAAAATAAACTGCTTTATTGGAGTGATGTCATTTGTTATGCACATAAACAAACTACACAGAAGAACTTCTAAGTGAATGCTGCATTACAAGGAAAGGGGCTCTAACTGGGCCATTTTAGAAAGACTAAAAGCTGAACCATTTGTATCTTTTGGCCATTGAGAAATCCACGTTTTGCATTTTGCCAGCTACTGAGTAACTTTTGGCACATTCACATGCACTTAAGTGGACGGGTTGTTGACGCCATTCTGCAGTTACCTGATTTCTCGAATGCGAAGCCTGGTTTCCTTAATCTTGGTAGGGGATTAAGTAAAAAAAAAAAAGAAAAATTAAGATTTCTGCCAAAGACACCTAATCTCTTGCCAGTGTGTTCACTTCAGCCTTGTAAAGCGCTTTACGTGCATGCATATGCATGACTGAGGCTCAGAGTAGCGCTGTGTGCTTTATGCAAGAAAAGTTGTCATAATATAAATGTCCGTCTAAAAACAGAACCTAAAATAAATAAGTATGAATAAGTACAAGACAAAATGCTCTGACCAGGAATAAAATAAACTATCACTATTTCATTTGTTTAAATTTTGTTTTTAAGTATCATCACAGTCTTGGAAGAAAGCTGGTTATAATGACCATGTACCATATTTACTTTGTCATGAACGCCAACGTACTTCTGAGTAAGCATTGTGCTCGGAAACTACTTATTGGTTCACTCATGTTAAACCGCTGGTGGTCTGTTTGTCCTCATTCCTTCGCCTAAATGTTATTGGTTGGACGGTTCAAACCTGGAACTTGGGTCGACTTTCCCAACCGCCAGGCTGTGGAATTGCCTCTCGACTGTTACAACCCCTGCGTGCACAAAGACGGCCGCACCAACGACGGCGCTTTTCACAACACGTCCGGGGGCCTCGGCGCCGTCGAGGAAGCGATAATGATATTTGTTCAACTTGGGCTCCACCGTGAAAATTCCCGACGCGGTTTGGGTGCCAAACCAAAGTATCCTTCCTACAGCCGCGGCCATCTGGCCCCTCCGCCCCCCCTCCCAGGGATTCACTGTGTTCTCCCAGTATCACGGACACAAGCGCCTGCTGCCCAACAGGGTTGTTTCGCCGCCGATCAAACCTCGAGCAAACCGTTGTCCTCCCCGCCGGCAGAGCTAAGCCGGTGCTTACGGACTAATGCGTTGCTTTACTCTCAGTTCTCATCAGATTACCGACACGGAGAACTCTCATGTGATCAGGAGAACTGAGGACGTTTGTTCTGCAGCTGTGATAGTCTGAGTTTTGGGAACTTTTTTCCAGTGATTTCTTTTCTCTTTTTTTTTTTACGGAGAATCAAATTCAAACTAATGAGTTTGGGTGAAGCCGAGTGCACTGCTGTACGCCATGAATAGTCAATTGGCTCCACCAGAGGTAATGCAGAGTTCACAGCCGCCATGCTCAGAGCGGTATGTAGCCCATCTGTCATTAGAAAAAAAACACCGGGGAATATAAAGAGAGTACAGCTTTGAAGACAGACCGTACGGTTTCATATGCAGTATGCGTAGACTCTTTATTAATCTTTTGGCCCTTTGGGTCTTTTCCTCTGGTCCATACTGGTCGGCAAAAAAATAACCGCCCCACTCTAAAAAAAAAAAAGAGTGCTAATGGGGAAGAAGAACCCTGGTAATAAATCAAAGTCTCAACTTGAAGTTGCGCTTGCCGAATTCGACCAATCAGAGACGAGTGGACACTTGAGATGGACGCGGCCGCAGCAGCTCCGCCCACCAGAAGTAAATATCCATGACGCGTTTACACTTTTGTATTCCCCCAAATGTTAAAGAGGAATGTGCCATCAGAGCATTAATTAAGCAGCCACAGTGTAAAGATATAGTGGAGTAATGTCACCTTGGCAGAGAATAATGACGTTCAGCAGGTACAGATCATAATGGCGTCCTGACAGAAGCGTAGCGGCGACCCACGAGTTCCCCCCCTCGGCTAAATATTGTTCACATTGCCGGCACATTTTCCCTTCTCGCAGTTTCTCTTCCTCCGCGGGCAAAAGAAAAGTTCAAAATCTTGCAACATGCAGCTTTGAATAACCCTTTGAAAACTGCACTCGACGCACCTCCTGCCAGCGCGACCTTTTAGCCGCCGTCGAGTAGGAGGTCAATAACGAGTCACATCGAAGGAGAGCTGGACATTTTTGTGCGGATAATCCCAGATGCATTCTGGATGCCAAGGACACATGTTATTGTTGAATGTAAAAGGGGGGGGGGGGGGGCACACAGACGGACAGAATCAATACCAGCCCAGTACCGGAGAGTCCAGTAGGCAGAAGGGTGAGGCCTTTATAACCAGCAGAGCGCTTCCAGAGAGGCCAAGATTATGATGTGATTCCAGCAAAGATTAAAGGGTCAGCTGGAGGTCACTGCCAAATGTGACAGTCCCATCAAAACCCCCGGGGTGTTTGACCGGCAGCGCTCCAACTCCACCAACTCCTCCAACTCCACCATTTACTCCCACTCCTCCAACTCCACCATTTACTCCCACTCCTCCCACTCCACCAACTACTCCCACTCCACCAACTACTCCCACTCCACCAACTACTCCAACAACTCCTCCCACATCTCCTCCAACTCCACCAACTACTCCCACTCCACCATTTACTCCCACTCCTCCAACTCCACCAACTCCTCCAACTACTCCAACTCCACCAACTACTCCAACTCCACCAACTACTCCCACTCCACCAACTACTCCCACTCCACCAACTACTCCAACAACTCCTCCCACATCTCCTCCAACTCCACCAACTACTCCCACTCCACCATTTACTTCCACTTCACCATTTACTCCCACTCCTCCAACTCCACCAACTCCTCCCACTCCTTCAACTGCTCTCACTCCTCCAACTACACCAACTCCTCCAACTCCACCAACTGCTCCCACTCCTCCCACTCCTTCAACTGCTCCCACTCCTTCAACTGCTCCCACTCCACCAACTGCTCCCACTCCACCAACTGCTCCCACTCCACCAACTGCTCCCACTCCACCAACTGCTCCCACTCCTTCAACTCCTCCAACTCCACCAACTGCTCCCACTCCTTCAACTGCTCCCACTCCTTCAACTGCTCCCACTCCTTCAACTGCTCCCACTCCTTCCACTGCTCCCACTCCTTCCACTGCTCCCACTCCTTCCACTGCTCCCACTCCTTCCACTGCTCCCACTCCTCCAACTCCACCAACTCCTCCGCCAACTCCTCCCACTCCCCCTCCCACTCCACCAACTCCTCCCACTCCTCCAACTTACTCCCACTGCTCCGACTACTCCTCCCACTGCTCCCATAACTCCCACTCCTCCAACTTAACCAACTGCTCCCACTCCTCCAACTACTCCACCAACTGCTCCCACTCCACCAACTGCTCACACTCCACCAACTCCTTCAACTGCTCTCACTCCTCCAACTACTCCCCCTCCACCAACTCCTTCAACTGCTCCCACAACTCCTCCCACTCCTTCAACTCCTCCCACTCCTTCAACTCCTCCCACTACTCCATCATCAACCCCCACTCCACCAACTCCACCAACTCCACCAACTGCTCCCACTACTCCAGTGCTTAAAACCTCACAAGTAGCATAAAAGGAAAATTACTGTTTTGATTGCAAAAATTTAAAAAAAAAATTAAAATCACACCTCTATAAATATAGTTTCAAAGAAATAAGAGAACTGAGCACCTACCCACAAAATAAATAAACCAACATATTTGTTTCGGAATTCCTTTTAAATTACAATTCAAATGAACAACCCTCATGCGGAAAAAGCTTTCTTTGGGAAAAACTCGATAAAAGCTCTAGAAGAATATCAACTAATAAAGTGCCAGCTTAGCAATACAATTGACACACACAAATAACAAATAAATGAGTGTTTATTTATTTATTTACATACTGAGAATTTCACTAACTTGTGTGGTGGTAGCTCTAACAAATTTAAGTCCAACTATTGTAAACGTGATATTTACAGGTCTGCTTAAAAATGTGAACGCGTATTTGCGCGTCCGTCTTCTCTACACCAGTAGTCCCCGACCACCCAACAGAAAGAATAAATAACTTATTTTTAAATGACCGGATTCTCTCCACATATTACATGCGTCTTGACACATTTCCCAAGAGTTTTTTCTCCACGTTTAATAACCGTCCACTCCTCGCGGCGCACGGCAGTTCCCGCCCACCTCGCTTACCTTGAAGTGACTCTGGCCGCGGAGCGACCGGGAGGGGTCGCTGGGACCTGGGTTGACTCGCTGGCAGCGCCATCTTCACAGGGCCCACGTACTCTACGTACGTCCCCGGGAAGTCGCCTCGCTGTTTAGTGCGCTCGTTGTACCCAAGCAGCCAGCCGAGGAGCTCGGGCTGCTGCTCGCAGCCCTCCTGGTAGTTCTCCATGGACAGCAGAGAGGCCTCGCTGACCGTCAGAAGGTCCCCGGGCTGCAGATCCAGGTCCTCCTCCTGGTCCTTAGTGAACGCGTGGAGGGCAACGTACTGAAAACCTTCCGTCGCCATTTTGTTTGGGAGGACAAATCAAAATGGCTACCGGATAGAGGATTCGATGGTACAGTCCGGGTCGCGCTACGACGACTCGAGAAATCCTCCTCGGAAACCGAAAAGGCGGTTGAGTCACTAAAGCGATGTCGGTACGGCGCCGAGGGGAACGGAGCGTCCGTCAGCCGAAGGTCAGAAGCATTGTTAAAAGTCGATGCGGTGGCGTTCGGCTGCTGCTCGGTCCGGGTGGAGGGGGTGGGAGGGGCAGCGGCTTCAGACCTGACCGGTGTTGGTGGACTTGTGCACTTTCCTCAGCTTGAGACCCCGGTTGAGCCAGATGATGGAGCAGAGGGAGAGCATTGGCAACATGCTCTTATAAGCAGCGAAAACCCCGCCGGCCGGGCGCTATTGGAGCGGCCCGCTTCAAAAGGAGAATCGAGGGCCCGGCGTCGTTGGCTCGCCGCGGTCAAATGCAGCCGTCTGATTGGAGGGCGGGTGGCACGGTGGGAAGGACTACGAGCTTCTTCTTCGGCTCGCTCGGGCTCTCCCGCATGTGCTGGACGCGGATCGCAAAAACCAACCTGCAGGAGATAAAAACATTTTCTTTTTTAAAACAAAGAAATGTGAAAAGAGGCAAAAATATCTAAATCTAAAGTATAACAAAAAACAAACTCCAATACGCCTTTTTTCTATTGAATGAATAACCCGAAGTAAAGCGGCGTATAGCTGTGTGAAAGGAAGCTTAAAGTGATGCATGAAAATGGCGAACTGCGGCAGCTCTCAGCGCCTCTTCGGTGAGGACGGAGCGATCGGATGATGCTGCTGCGTCACGACCGACGGCCGACTGGGTCCCTGATCGCGAGGCTCCGGTCCCTCCGCTGCACGCTCACACACTCTGCGCTGACGCACCGGTTTCCACAGGAACAAGAAGTTTCACCAGGACAAATAAACGTTCCTTCAACTTGCACAACGACAACACGTGCGTTTCGCAGGATCCGGAGAACCCGTGCAAAATGGCGAGGAAAGGTTTTTTTTTTTTTTGCAGAATGAGCGTGCAAGGGAAACGAGGACAGGCATCACGGCTTCGGGGCGACCAGAATTTTCTGAATACATGCAGAACCCTTCCAACAGTTCCCTCTCCGAAGGAGAGAAGAAAAAAAAAGAAAAAGAAAAGGCAGCACTGAGTTGCCTCAGAAATATTTTTTGGCTTCATTCTGTCAAAATAACTACATCAGTCTGTGCCAACTCTATTCAAGATGAGAACACCGAATGGACGGTCATCTGAACCACCAAACAACGGCAGAGAACAGCAATAAAAAGCAAATGTTTGCTTGCGTAGCCTCCCCCGACATTCTTTCATATCATCTATACACAGAAAAGAGGTCATTCGTGGACCTTTAACAAATATTCTATGATAAAGATGACCGCAAGGCCCAATGAAATGCAACGCACAAGTATTATCATGGTATGAAAGAAATATATTTTGCTCTTTTTGCCCGTTTGTGAGATCTGAGCGGGGCAACAAAATAAGAAATGCCTCAAAGTTCAAATCTAAAATGGAAACCGCACTGAGATGAGACGGAGGAAGACTGAGAGATTAGTGTTTCCACCAGATTAGGTGACTATGTGGCCCGACCGGCGGCCGTGGCAGCGCTAACCTCTCCGGACGGGATGCACGGGGGGCGAGCGCGGCGGAGACGGGACGGTGGATGGAAGTTCTGGTGCCGTGTGCCAGGAGCACGGAGCTACTTGGGGCCATTTCCCAACACGTCCACATACAAATAAGCACAGGCCTGGTCAGCGAGGCCCGATGTTGTGCAATCATTTCATTCGCGTTTCGGAAATGGACAATCGCAGACGCCTTGATGAAATTAGATCAGGAGAGAGAAAAATATGTATAACTAAACCTACGATTTGCGTCTTTCAATGCCAAAGAGTATGCTTTCGGACCTTAGTCTAGATCATCGTCCCCCCCCCCCCTCTGCCTCACTGCCTCCCCCACGACACTCGAAAAGCAAACGTACAGACACTGCAAACCTTTGTGAGTAACAAGACCGTCCTTTTTTTTTTTTTTTTTTAGGAAAGCTTTACGAGTTATTGTGACGGCAGGAAGCAGCAGAGTGCAACACTCACCCCACTTTAGGTTGAGAGAGAAGCCGGACGGGCTCGGCCGGATTCTCAGTCCAACATCCTCCGAGCAGGGAAGCGAGAGGTGCCAGGCGAGACACGTGGCACTGGCATACCCAACCACAGCCCGCAATCCTCACACCACCAAACACCCCCCACCCCCAACCCTAAACTCCCTTCTCCCTCCTCTCTCCACCTGCTCTCCAAAAAAAAAAAAAAAAAAAACCTCCCGCCGCCCCCCAACACGGCGCACACAGTCCTGCCCCCCGCCCTCCCCCCTCACGCCCCCGCCCCCTCAGCCAGCGAAAAAAGTCCAGCCGTTTTTTCCAGTTGCCGTGTTTTATTTGTTTACAGTCGGAGCCCTGCTGCTGCAGAAAAGAGGCAAAAACAAGCCTAAGTGAAAGAAGAGGCGGCGGCGGCGTGGAGGGAGCGCCGCGATTCTCTAGTCCTTCTCTATTATTTAGTTCCAGTGCAGAAAAAGTCGTCCGAGGTGAGAGGAGCGTCATCCCCGTTACAGTCCCGGTCTGATAGTGTTGTTGTTGTAGCAGCTCACAGTTCAGGTCGGCAGCAGCAGCTGGCGAGCTCAGGGTCACTGGATCCATCCTTCTTTTATTAAAAAAAAAAGGATATACTTTTTATTCAATCAGACAAGAGAGCGACGGAAAGGAAAAAAAAGAAAGAAAAAAAAAGCGAGAGCGAGACACGCAGCACTTTGTTATCGGCAGAGTCCAACCGGCTGAGGGAGACCACAGGAAAATAATTAATGAATAGGCGGCAAGTAACTCACTGTTGCTAGAGCGAGGGAAAGCTCATCCCGCGCTCTGATTGGCTGCTGCGCTGGCCATGTGCTCCCCAGTCACCAGAGAAGCCGGGCAAATCAAGGAAACGTTCTAATATTAGAAAATGTATCTAGGCAGCGATCAAACATCCGACCCAAACAAATACTCCTTTTCCCCACACACTTGACTTTTTTTTTTCTTCTTCATCTGTGCAGCCTCGATGATTGCTCGTCACCACCGATGAAATGATGATTTAACGCAAGCGAACTTGAGTGAAAACAACGATGAAAAACGTAGCATGGAAAAGCTGAGGGCTGCTCGTGATTGGAGGGAATAACATGAGTCATGTCCAAGTGGTGCAATGAGAGGAAAGGAGATGCTTTTTGTTTTTCTGAGTAAATAGGATGCCAAATGTAATGGTCACATCCCAAAAAACGAAAGAAAAATACATTGTGGAATTTATAAAAAGAGAGACATAGAAAACTGCTCCAACCTGCTGGTATACGAATGAAGTAATACACAGAGTGGTAATTACATAACAACTGTGCATTATAAGATAGCCCCGTGTTTTATAATATACATAATACTTCTACAGTCAATTCCTCCGATTCCATATTCGTTATGTATTTCACAGAAATGGACATTCAGTTTAATTTTGGGCTAAAGCAAAAAGCTAGATTGAAGTAAAAACGGCATCTATTCTCCTCTGCTGTCTGCAGACGTCCAAGTTCTCTGACCTGTTCATTACACACCAGTATGCATCACGTCAAATGAGCTATTCAGAGCATCACTAACGCTGTGGATGGGACGTTTATTGATTTAATCATTAGTTCATTGTATTCTGGATTTACTGCACTGGGAAATAGGTGTTTATTTTTTCTTTATGTTGGACTTTTGATATATTTATAATATGATGAGGTAGTTAGTTGTCAATTTGTACATTGAACCAGCAGCACTAATTAAGAGTTTGAAACGATTACTTGATAAACTGATTCATTGATTCCCAGAAAACTGGAACATTTTTATTTTTCATAATTAATTAAGCACAGATTTTTCAGAGGAAACATTACAAACATTTCAATGGTTCGAGCGTTTTTTTCTTTTTCTTTGATATATCTCAATTGTAAAATAAATATATGGTTGTTTTGCTTGTTGGTCACAGTAAAATAAATAAAGTGGAACATTCACCTCTCCATGATACAAGCTGAACGATTAACTGACGATTTTGACACAATTGATATACTACTTATATTATGTCTGTCATTGGTATGGATAAAATCCTCATGCACTTCAGACAATGTTATTATGAATCATTTATAGATCATGTACAGTACATTTTCTAGAGGATTTGAGCTGATCCAGCAAAGTAAAGACCAGACTACTTTAACGCAAGATGAGAAGATTTGACAAGACAGACTATAATCGTACGTCTATAATGTTCGTCAGCCCACCATCAATCGTAACTTCACATCCTTGGATGTCAGTGAAGCATTTGGGGAACCCATTCTTTAAAGGTTGAAGGGAAACATGCTTTGACATAACCAGCCCGAACCGCCACACGGTTGTGATTTTATTTATTTTTAATAGTTTATGAGTTAAAGAATATCATTGTAGCTTCTACACCTTTTTATAAAAAGGATCGAATGAACGCGTCTCAGAGACACTGTATGGCTTTCATGCATTAAGAGAAGAACTGTTGTCTTGAAGGGACTTTTACCACAAAATAAAAGACTCATTGTGCAAAATTCGGACATTTACGTGGCCACCCGCTGATGGTGAAGTTGTGCGTGCGTTGGCCCGTCCTGCTGGAGAGGAGCGGACTACAGATTGACCTCGCATGCAGCCTGGCCTCAGGCCATTTGTCCACATGGAGCTGAGAAACGTACTGCGCCACAGGCAGCGAGGACGCGCCAGGCGGCCACACAGGAGACTGCGTGGACTCATTTTTCAACCCAAAAATGGGGGCTGAAGTACTAATGTGGTGTATGATTTAAGTTATGTTCACCTGAATTCGATCAGTCCTTAATGACGCCAAAAAAGGCTCACTTTGCCAAGCAGAAACATCTGCTGCAAAGATTATGGAGCACTGAGACGGCCCTGTTGTGAAAAGTCCACCGCACCGAAAGGCGTGAGGACTCGACGTGTTTATCGCAGGGTACGACGTGCAGGCAAATCAACGGCTCCTCCGGTTTCCATACGACCAGTTCAAACGTTTTCACGGCGGCAACAGAATCAAATCTGACAAATCTTCCCGGGCTAAAAATACCAGCAGCCGTCTTGCTGTGCGGTTAGCGTGTTAGCCGGCGTGATACATTACCCAGAGCTTTTCCATTTTACCCTCAACACGAAGACTTGCAGGCATCATAGATCAATGACACATGTAGTCCAATATTAACCTCAGCACAACACAGAGGCATTAATAAGGAACTGCTTTTACTCGGTCAGGGATGATGCAATACCCATTAAGCGGTCACCATCATCATGTTTGTTTTATTTGGCAATTGATGTCCGGCCCTCGGTCTTTCAGCGTTGCAGGAATTCCTATTTGTTGTTTAAATTTCTGTGTAAACACATCAGAAGAAATGCTGCTAATTCCTTGCACACGTACTTATCTAATAAAGCCGATTGTAATTTATAATAAGCAAACGGAAAACATGGTCACATGCAGAGTAGAAGTTTCCAAAAATGTTATTTCTAGTGCCTTACTAGATGTGTTGTTGGCAAAGGCTTATTTATTACCCACAAACTTTAATAAAAATCGTACTATTTTTAACCATCAGATGTTTTTCTAGGTACAGAATCTGTCCCAGCGTCTGCAGCGCTTCTAGTTGAGCCACGTCCGAACTGTACTTAAAGACGTCCTCTGCTGCCATTTCAATTAAATAACACCAGCAACAGGGACACCCGGCTGAGGGACATTTGACAAAAATAACCACGGCGTCTGGTGGAGGTTCTAGGTGGAGAAGTGACATTTTGCGAATGCTCCACACTTCTTTGGGGAAGTTTGTATTTAATGGCAAACCCTGCGAGAGTCCTCCTGAGCATTCTGAGACATTTAGAAGAGGAACGGAGGCTTCGCCCCACAGGTAATGCTTCAAATCGATAAAGCAGTTATAATGGAGGATTGACATTTGATTGCATAATGTTGTGTTCAGTAATTGCAGTAGAGAAAGAGGAGAGGGGGGAGAAGGGGGCTCCACACAGTTGAGTGGCTTGTCTTATTATGCAAGTAGCACACATTTTCTGTTAACTCTTTGATGCGTGCCAAATCCTCCACCCAGGGTTTGTAACGCACACACACACACACACACACACACACACACACACACACACACACAGAGATCGACCAGGCCTTCAGCTGTGTGGGGCCTCCGCACAGAGGCTGCGGCGTCACATGCGATCAACGCTGTGCACGCGCACAAACTTTTTTTAATCTTTAGAACATTTTCATTTTGTTATTAAGCTTAAAAAAAAAAGATTTTAAAAAGGATAATTAAAAAAAATAAAAACAACTGAACTCGCGAGGTTTGATTGTGTGCGAATTAAAAAAAGATTCAAAGTTTGGTTTTCCGTCTCCGTAAATAAAACAACGTTCTCGGGAACGAACCGCAAGACAACGCAAATAAATCCACGTAACCTCTGAAGCAAAAGCTCATGTTTCACACGCGATAACGTAACGGGCTCGCTGGTCTACTGTCAACGTGCTGCACGGGACATATTAACGTTATATTATTATTAACATATATAAATACACAGGAGGGGGGGAGTGGGGAGTTTAAACTTTTAAACCAGGGCACGAGTCGCGAAGCTGCGTGCGCGTGAAGCCCCCTGGCAGCGCTTCCACCGTGTTCCAGTACAGTGGCCGAACTGGAAAATGTGCAATAACTTAGAAAAACTCACCCGCGGATGTTTCTTGACTCTTTTCTCACTTCGGGGCCGCGGCGGTTCGCGCACGTCAAAGAGTCCGCGTGGGGTCTGAAATCTGCGGACGGGACCTCCTCGGCGTGCAAACGCTCTGCTAGCGGCGCTTCTGTTCGCGTGTCGCTTCGCCTTCTTTCTCTCGCTCTTTCTTTCTCTTCCCGTTCATGACTCCCAGCGCCCCTACACAGCCATTTTCCAGCTCCGCGCGGCGCAGGGAAGGAGAGCGTGCGTGGGAACTAACGCGAAGAGCGCGGAAAGAGACGAAGCCGAGCGGAAAAGCCCGAACGGCGAGAGAGGGAGAGAGAGAGGTGGGAGGGGAGGGGAGGGGGGGGGGGGTCACCGGGACGCCCGTCCGCCCCATTACGGAAACCTGAACCCGACTGCGAGTCGGCTTCCGTGTACTTCTAAGACGACTTGTATTGCTTTCAATCCTGTTCATAAGAAAATACTACACGTTAAATCCGTGTCTGATCACATTTGGGTTACTATAGGAGATTTTTTATACTCCAATCAGTTTTCTTTTTTATTATTTAATGGATCTTTTCCCTCTTGCATTATCGGCTCTAGGACAGATTTTATAAGTAAATCGCAGCAAAGGAAACAACCTAGAATTTTATCAGTGTATCGCTGAGGGTCTTGCATTAACTATTTTTACTTTGTGCATTTTTGTAGTATTTGTACGGGTTTATAAATGGGGATTGCAATATTTGATCAAAGATCTTTATTGTTTACGCTGACACAAAACTTGCATGAATGCATGTATTGTTGTGTGAGGGACAAATGACACAACTCTTTGTAGTCCTGGACTTTGTAGTCTCTTTGTAATGCATTTATTTCAAGCACTGTTAAGACAATAAAAAAAACAATATCACACCAGTCCGCATCAGATACCCACGTGGTAGAAATTTCAAGGGGTCGAAAGGAGAACAATATCTTTTTGAAAACACTAAAGCAAGTGTGGAAGACGTTAGAAACAAGATGGAGAATGGTCGCTGTGAAGACATGGCGTTCATCCCACACATGGTGACACAAACAGAGATGAGTTGTTCTCACCGCTGGCACGGATTGTTGCTGCTGAGACCCCCAAAAAATAGTAAAAAAGTATAAAATGATGATTCAACTTAAGAGACACTATCACTGTTTTGGTTGGGGTACAAAATAAAAAAAACTGAAATCATAAAAAAAATACATATGTATATGTATATTGTATATTGCATTAAAAATTCAGGGATAAATCCCATACACACAAAAATGTTTAGTTTCCCCCGAGCAGACGAACAAACTTCTAACTTCTAATTTGAACCTCACAATATCTGACCACATTTCAAGGCTTAGTATGTGCTAAACATCTGTTATGAATTTCCACATTACTGGTTCCCTCCATTAGGCAACAATATACATGTCTGTCATCATTGAATTTAAAAAAACGCTTCTTTGTAAATAATCAATCTGAAACAAGACCGGAAGCATTTTTGGTTACTAATGCAAAGTGTTCCTGAATGAAAACAATAAGGAAGAGATTAAGAATGGCCGCAAACGTATAAAATAAAGAATACATAGCTGAAAACACAATCCCATATCTTAACTAAATACTACTGTAAAAACTCAAATCAGTTACTTAGCATCACGTTTAAGAATTCAAGGCCCTTTGGATTTATAATTTCCAGTCATTAAAAACAAAAGAAATAAAATGTGTTATACCATTTTGGCAATATTCTTCTGGGATGTGAAGCATGCACAATCCTTTGAGGCTGATTGCAACATGAGATTAAGACCCTGTCACGTCACACAATGTAGTCCATACGCCCTTACAAGGTCACTTTCAAACACCATCTACAGCTGTTATAAGGTCCACCATTGTTTATACAACATACATCAACAGCATAGGTTATCAGAACTGCAACAAGACTGTTTCCATATCAAAATATACAAAAAGATATCACCTCTACTCATTCCTTCACCCACTCAGGACCTTCAGGTTGAATTATGTTCTTTTTTTGGGGCTAATAATTTAACAAATACCATGAAAATGTCACACTCAGGTTCCCCCGATAAGGTAAACATTCATTCATAACACGCATTAACAGAAAACAGCCAAGGGAACAAGTTTGTTGAATCCTACGCAGGAGTAAGTCGTCCTAAAATATGAATGTGCTCTAAAACTGTTATACGGCTACAACAACTTGTGCAACACACTTGAGCTAGACTACGTGAGGGAGCTGGACGGAGGCTCGATTCAACAAGGTTTTACAGGACAGCGACAACAGCCCGGATCCATGTAGTCACAGAGCTTGATCTACACACCTGTATGTGGATCAGGTAATGACTTACACCACTGCTGGAGGAGTGACACGTGGTTTTTAAAGGACAGACAGGAAGTGAAAGAAGAGCCCATGCATGCATGAAGCTTCTTATATACAACTACAGTACCTCTTTTCAAATGGATTCCTATGGCTAAACCATGCTTTGGCACCACAGCTAGACTTCCAAGTAATAAGATAGTTTATATTGTTGTCCGTCAAAAGATGTTAATGCAAGGCCAAAGTTTGGAATCGACTGGTTGAAATGGTCCGTGAAATGATCAGCGTGACAGAGAGGCAGCACGCAGAGGATCGTCTGAAATTCCGTAATATACACTATATGCTGCAGGTTCCAAAGACCCAATCTGAACATGAAACAACACCCAGTTCTTGGCAGGTATTGAGGTATAAAAAAAGAAGAGGAAATGGTACGATATTGACTGCCGTTACCTGCCCTTTTCTGCAACTGCTGTAAAACCACATTGACATATTTCTGTGCGCCTGTTCTTTTGTGCGTTTCCTGAACTAAGAGCAGCTGAAGCATCTGAGGCATTTTCAGCAGCCAGAAAAACAGGATGAACATAAAAAGTCATAAATAAAATGCATCGGTCACAGGTGCCACAGTGATTTGAGAACCAAGAGAAGAAACAAGCAACTAGGAAGTAAACATGGTTTGGCAGTCATTCTGTTGTTAACAGTGTTGCAGGATGCATATATTACTGAGACACTGTACATCAATGTTATTTTGTTCTTCTGTCTTCAAGCAGTTGCCTGTGATGATTTGGGACTTGGTCACAGCTTTCTGGACACACATGCAAGGCCTTCAAATGAAATTACAGTAGCAGGTCAAAGACTTCACTTCTCCCCTCCTCACTGAGGCTCGAAGTGACACAACTAAAACCCTTCTTTGTCCTTCGACTTGGCTTTCTGAGGAGTTTTTGAACCCTGCGATCCACTTCTTTCCGGCCTCACGGCAGACTCTGACTGGGCCGAGTTCATCCAGGATGCCTTGAATGCTTTCTGCTGCGTGACGGGAAGCGTTGGGCTCGGCGTTGTCTCTCTCTCCTCCAGATCATCGAAGCTCACTTCCTGCACGGCCTCCTGTTTCTTGAAGGAGTCCCTTCGCTCCGACAGCGCCAGCTTCCTCATCACCACCACCTCTTCGGAGTGGTGGCTGCCGCCGCGGTGCTGTGGCGAGGTGGTAGAGCGGTAATGCTCGCTGCCCCCACTGGCCGTGTCCTGGTGGCCCCTCTGCCCTCCTATGTAGAGACCCTGACGGCCGTGCTCGCCGACACAGACGAACCCGGTGGCGGTGTAGCCCTCCATGTCCTCCAGCCCCTCCCCTTCAGACAGAGGAACCTCCATGGTATGGCGACGGGTGCTGTAGGCCTTCCTATCTACATGGTAACCCCCCGTCGTCTTGTCGCCTGTCAGCTTCTCTGCAGACTGGACCCTCTTGAGGAGCGGCGACCGTGGCGGTTCTGCACTGCGGGGACGCACAGAATGGCGGGTGATGGTGGGGGGGGACAAAGTCTTGCCATGGAAACCCTGCAGGGACTTGGGGTGACTGGGGAGGCAGGAGGGAGAGCACTGCGGAGAGACGGGCTGAGGAGGGGGGATGCAGGCCAGCGGTGAGGGAGGGATACTGCTGGTGGACTTGCAGCGACCGGCTTTGTTGTAGCGACCCAACACGTGTAAGGAACTGGGACGGGCCTGTGGGACAGGCGAGTTAGGGGAGCTGGAGCAAGGAGAGGAACTTGAATCTGCCAAAAAGAAGAAAAAAAAAAGTTTTGCATTAGTAGAGATTTTTCCAAACAAGACCCAATGAGATCGACTGCTCCCTTTTGGGGATGCAACTCACCTCCAGAGTGATCAGGAGCAGGAGAGCGACAAGGCGTAGAAGGCCCAGGAGAGAGAGACTGCGTGGGAGAGCCGGAGAGGCTGTCGCTAGATGACTGGTGGAAACCCGACGAGAAGCTACGACTACTCTGCATGGGTGGAGGAGGAGTGTGCTTAGACAGCTTCTTCAAGATGCTACGACGTCGGCTGCGGGAGGAGGACAGAGGTGTCAAGTGTGTTTTGTCTACAATATTGTTCTGCATGCTTACTTAAGTACAAAGAGTCAAAATAAGGAACAAAAGCTTAAACAGCCAGGCAAAAAGAAAGACAACCTTCCGAAGCATCCATCAACTGCATCTCATATTACAGGAACTATGGAAGCTCGGTGAATTGGTCTTTTCGAGTCATCGGTTTTGTTTATTATGATTCTTTTTTAGTCTGCTTTTTTTTATGCACCAACGTGTAGACGTAGGAAAGGGTGGAAAGAGGAGGGACGGATTTAAACCCTGGACGCACAATCATTTAAAGTCAAGCTCCAAAAAGTTTGTCCACCGCAGTCTCGCAGACTGCAAAGATGTAAGAGAGAAAGGGAAACTGGGATTTTATGACAGTTAACTGAAGCCGTTGGTAATTAACTTCTAAGTTGCCTTTTTGAAATTAACGCTAAACTTTAGACCAGTGTCTTATAGTATTGCAGCTGCTGCTGCTGCTATGTATGACTTCATCCTCCCCTCGTGTACCTGTCCTGTCCGTCCTTTCTTTTGCTCTTCTTGCTGCGTCGGGCCATTTTGGCCTTGTAGCTGGCTTTTCTGGCAGGGCCCACCTTGATAGAAGTGTTCTCCAGTGCAGTAGTCTGCAGGGTCACCTTGTTCCCACTCTGTTGAAAACAGACCATCAACATATATACTTTTCTCTAAGGCATTCTCGCTTAAGAGTTGAGCCACAAAATGACGTGTTATCACAAGTGCTTGAGAAAGATTTAGAACTACATTCATTTTTATCACTTTTTATCACATTGTAATCATGAACGTATTCAATATATATGTAGAGAAATCATTCAATTGAAAGATACCTTGAGCAGGAGCTCCACCACCTCGGTGTGGACGAGTCCCTGGACCGACTCCCCGTTCACGTGAGTGATGAGGTCACCAGCTCTCAATCCTGCTTCGAGTGCTGGACTGTCGTCCTCAACACACTGTGGACACAAACGCACGCGCACAACCTCATATTAAAGCAGCAGACCACGCAACCTGATTGGCAGTTGAAATTACTGACACCCGTGCAATTACTACAATCAATGTTTCATGGATACCATCACATTTATGCACAGCATCAACACAGAGTTAATTTGGCACAATTACTCTCTATGGTCTTGATCTTTAGACCATCTATAAGAAAATCTCAAGACCCCAAAAGTTGTTTAATATGTTATTTTTAGAACTAAATTGTTTCATAATCACACGCTAAATTAATTGAAAACACAACCAGCACCAGCTACACCTGAGATGAGACACGTACCCAGACCATGTGGTGAACCGTGTAGACGTCACTATCTCCCATGTACACTCTGATAGCCCGCAACGCAAAGCCGAATCTCTTCCCCGAGCTGTGGATGACCACAGGAGGTCTGAGGCAGCTGACACTAACGGACAGGTCCCTGCTGGGGGACGAATCTCTGGACGAGGGATTGGACGACAGGGACAAGGACGATTTGGGGCTCGTAGGAGGACCTGCAGAGTCATCTGGAGAGGGAGGAGAGGATTAGATGAAGGTCAACGGGTGAGACTTTACGGATTGTATGTTTAACGCATTGCTCGGCATTCTTCCATCAAACTATCATGATATTAATGCTAAAAGGTTATTATACTCGGTGCTAGGATGGGATAACATCATAATTACTAAATTGACATTATTATTTTGGCCCCAGTATTATTACTTATGGTTTGTGTGTAAAGTGGATATATTAACCAGCAGCTGCTGTAGAGGGCACTATAAACGCATAAGTAGGCTTCTACCTGGGGTGATGATGAGGGAGAGGCCAGAGACAGAGGCAGACTTGGGCACTTTTCCAGCTGAGGACCTGGGCTTCTCGGGGGTCTCCAGCTGGTGGGCGATGCGCCGCGACGCCCCTCGTCGGAAGGAAGGCCTGGTGCCTGTGCTGTTGCTTCGGAGCCGAATGCGCCGGAAGTTGGAGACCATCCCGTCTAGAATGCGGAGGTATCCGGAGTGTGAGTTATAACTGCTACAGGACAGGTGAAGGTAATGTACAGTGATCTGCGTGTGGGAGTCTCACCTTCCTCCTCGGCAGAGATGGCGAAGCGAGGCATGATGTCGAGGCTCTGGGTGCTGTTCATCACCAGTGGGCTCGCACTGCGCTCTGACTGGGAGGAGCTCGACGACGCACGAGGACGCAGACTGCCAGGAAAACACAGTCAACATGCAGGATTTTAGTAAATCCTGTATATACGTATTAAGAACTATGAGTAAGATTTCTTCCCCTGTTAAAAAACTATTGAACTGATCTATGAATCCACAAATGCTATTGGTTTTACTCTGCATTGCCTTTCTTTAAGAGCAGGTGAATGAGCTCTGTAGTCATTGGTTATATTCATTTTGAGGAGGCATCATCTAATAATCACCATACATTATGTCAGAAAGTCCTTTTCTAGTGTGGACAGAACGGATAGCATGTCAGATGGAGGCAGTCGAGTGTGAGAAAACGTATTTATAAACACACAATCCATCTGCAAATAGAAAGTATCAAACCTTGGAGAAGTGTTGACCATTTGGAATGACCAATCATATACGCCGTCATTCTATATAATATTTGCATGCTGAGTATAAAGTGCTTCATATTAAATAAGAGAGAATTTCACGACACTGAGGGCTATGATTCTTTTCTTCCCATAATAAGGACATCACTTTCTCACGTTTCATGCTCCCACCTTCCCCTGTGTCCATCTGTCCTCTTGTCTCCACTGGCCAAGTGTTTGTGTCCATCGCCAGGGGAGAGGACTCCCCTTCCGTCCCATCGATCCTCCTTCTCCTCGCTGACGCTTCGCTCTGATGACGACAGGCTCTGGTTGGACGGCGTGGAGGTGGACAGGTGCTCCGTGCTGCTGTACACCTAGAGTTTAAAAAGCAAATGTAGATGTTTAATCAAGAAAAGGGTAACCGGTAACATTTATTTTAATAAAATACCTACATATAATGCCAAAGACAAATAAGTACCTTGCTGAAGCGGTGGGCCACGGAGGAGAACTGTCGGAGCTCCAGAGACGACTCATCATCGTTGGTTTCATCGTCGTCATCTGAGTCCAGGTGACAGAAGCGCTCTGATCGGGCTATAGGGAACACAATCATCAGATGACACTGTGTTCATCCACACTATTGTGACTGTTGTGTTAAATGAAGTCCCCTGGTTCTGCTGTTTTTCTAACAAAAGTTGTGTCCAGGTTTGTCATTGTACACGCAGATGGAGACTAGGGGTGGGAATCTCTTGGCACCTCACGATTCGATTCCGATTCAGAGGTCAACGATTCAATTCTAAACCGCTTATTGATTCTAAACCGATTATCGATTCTAAATGCACAAGACAGACTTTTTTTGTAACTTTTCTGAATCGAGACCGAATCGTTCTAGAGAGAATCGAGAGAAATCGACCCCTAATGGAGACCCATGTTTGCATTGCAGTTAGCTAAGTCCAAACTAGATGACGCAAGGTGTGTTCTTGTCCACAAATCTACCGGCTCCACTTACTGTCAAAGTAGCTGGTGTCATCCTCCGTCTCTAGTTGAGGTATAAATTCAGCTTTCTGTCTCAAGAGGCCGTTCCAGTCCAAACCAAAGAAGAATAGGTGCATCTTCACCTCAGTGGTTCCACCTGGAACAAATAAATAAATACATAAACCAGACAAAAAGGTGTGGCTTTCATATCTGACTAGCTTGGGTCTGGCTCACAGCGCCTCCTCAGCCAATTGCGCCACGCTCCCTTGGTACCGTAACATCTTTCTTTGACACCCGAGTGAATAGTTCCCTGAGCTTCCACATGTAATAATAGCTTTGTTTACCACGGCTCTGCCTCACTCCAGATATCCACTCCCATTACCACGTCTTTTACATAAGCATAAAGCCGTGTAGTTGATACTAAATTAGATCAAATGCTGCCACAATAAAGGCTCAAATGCAATTATTTTAAGGTGAAAGGGCAACTTTAATTCCATAACATGATATGTCTCCACAGTCACTCTTGCGCGGACTATCTCTCTCCTGGTGAGAAGAAATCCTCTTCTTGGCCATGTAAAGGTAACATTGCTGTGCACACGGGACCCTGCGGGCCGGCCTCTATAGGGCCTTTTCAACTCATTCAACATCAGTCACTCTGCTACCAACCTGTTCCCAGGCGCTCCAGAGGGCTCTGTCTCAACAATCTGGTGATAAGGTCCTGGGCATCAGCTGGCAGAGCGTCTTCCCCCTCAGGCCAGATGATGTCATCTGTACGATGAAGATTAAAATGAAGAAACACATAGTCCAAGATAAACAAAATAATTAAACCTGTATTATGAAAGATTTATATGTGGAAATGTTGCATGTGGTGACTCGGGAGCAATGCACTTACCATTGACCACCTGACCAAAAAGCTTTTCTGGTGTGTCTCCAAAGAAAGGCACGCAGCCCACTAAGAACTCATAGAGGATGATGCCCATAGCCCACCAGTCTACTGGCTTCCCGTAGCCCTGCCTCAGGATCACCTCTGGAGCAATGTACTCTGGAGTGCCACACACCTGACCACACCACAGACAAGAGAAGGAAGATTTGTGTCAGTTAAGATTATAAACACAACGAACACGATAAGAAGACGAGGAGGGACGGACCTGTTTGTCGAGGAACTCTCTAGTATCCTTTTCAATATGTCCTTCATACAAGTTGGTGGTCATGTTCATTAGACCAATCTTTGACAGCCCAAAGTCTGTCAGCTTAATGTGTCCCAAGGAGGTTATTAACAAACTGCAAAATGATGGAAACATAAATATTTCAGCAAACGCTAATTTCAAAACATACAGTAGATCTCAGACATGGTGCAAAAAGAGAATAACGAAAATAAGGAGGTCTAAAAATAGCGAAAGCTTAAAGTGCTGTGTGCTGCCTCAAAGCAGAGGAGAAAAAAGGAAATGTGTGAAAGGAGGACTCACTTGTCAGGTTTCAGGTCTCTGTGCACGATGCCGTAGTTGTGGAGATACTCCAAAGCCAGGACGGTCTCTGCAAAATACATCCGAGCCATGTCCACAGGCAGAGGACCAATGTTCTTCAATAGATTGGCACAATCTCCCCCTTAACGTGGAAAAATAGACGCTTTGTTTAGGATTTGTGAATAACGTGTGACTTCTTTGCATTTACAGTGATGATGAATGGATGGACCAAAAACATGGCGATTTTAAACCTCACCTTCCACATACTCCATGACCATGCAAAGGTGCCTCCGTGTCTCAAAAGAGCAGAACATAGAAACCACAAATGGGTTTTCAGCAAAGGTGAGGATGTCTCGCTCAACAAACACCTGCTGGATCTGGTTTCTAAGAATCAGGTTCTGCCGGTTGATCTTCTTCATGGCAAAGCGTTGACGGGTTTCCTTGTGGCGCACCAGAAACACAGTCCTGCATGACAGGAGGACAAAAAGAGGGGGGAAAGGACAATTACAGGACAAGCAAGGATATGAGTTTATGTGGGAATGAGGGAAGTTCAAAGGGAGATACATTGAGCCATTCCAGAGGGAAAATATGGCGGAAAAAAAGATGAGGAAACATACACATCATTTACCAAGGAACATCAGTTCAGACTTGAAATTATACTGCCCAGAGAAAAGAGTAGAAACAAAAATACTACAACAAGAAGTCCTCATTTTAGTTTCTCTTCTGGTTTCATTGAGCTCTCTGTGGTGCACACAAAGGGACTGAGTCAGCCGGACGTAAACAAAGTCTGTTTTACTCACCCGTAGGCGCCATTGCTAATGAGCTTGATAGTCTCAAAGTCGCTCTCCAGTGGTTTCCTACGAGGAGGGGTGCCGGCTGCGCGGCTCTGAATCACACACGTCCCAAAAAGAAAAAAACAGGAAGTTAGTAACTACTTTACTTCTAGAAAGAATGAATTCCTGCCCTTTAGTGTGACAATTTGTCCGCCTGTATCAACAAGAGTTTGATTGCCAATTTAATCAACCATCTCTGTGTTGTTTTACATTTCTTCCGTATAGCTGCCATTGGCTTCAACATGACATCACTGTTCCATATAAGCTTTTACCTGGGAAGGTGTTGCGTCTCCCGTGTCATCAGACTCTCTGCTGGCCGCTCTGTGCAGTGGACTTGTCTGCTCCAGGTGAACCATCTCTGTAACAGCAGCAGACAAACCCATCACATTTCTTGTAGCTCTAATAAACATCAGTGAGGACTGTTAAGTGACTAGTCAGCTGATTTTAAATGATACACCCTGTTGCAATGCATCCAATAAAATTGCAGGAGGAGTAGTGCCACTAGCTAGCAAGTTATAACATCATAACATATTATTATTACAGTTAACAAGCAATACTATTCATCCAAAACAAAGAATCCTAAAATGGCCAAACTGGCAGTTAGGAAGGTGACAGAAATGCTGCACCTTCTAAGGGATCCCTGTTGAGGCCGAGCTGGCTGATGATGTATCTGGGAATATCAGTCTTGATGCCGTGGCCCACCTTGGCGTGACCCTCTGCAGCCTCCAAACGTTGGTAAAACTCCTCTGGATCAAACTCCTGTTTTGTGGTTTAAGGAAGATAGTTTAGAAGAGGAAACCAGCATGTTTCTCCTTGAGGACTTGAGAATTTCAATTACTAACTACACACCAACTATCAACATCATATGTTGATATTGCCGATAACTCAAAACTACCATTACTTCACTATATCATCAATGCATTTGAGTCTCTGATGACATCTGCGTTGAGATATTCTGTTCAATTCTCCGAGCTGATACGCGTCATGTTGACATTGTGTCCCTCCTGTACCCGCCAGCACTGATGTGTGTGCCAGTCAGTCTTACCAGACACTCCAGGAGCCTGGCCGGCCGAGAGATGATGATGAGAATCTTCTTGACCAGCTTGGTGATGACGGTCACCTCCTCGCTCTCTGATCGCTCATACGCCTGGTCGGAAAAGGATAAAGGATAACGGATTATCATTTTGACTTAATACAGTTGGCACGAGTCACGAGGCAGCGCATCCCACCCACACAGGCTGTTTGGCTCATTTTATTTTTAGCATCTTCTAACCTCATCTGTTGGCGACTCAACAACTCGGGACTGGTATTTTAACGGCTCGTATATTCTATTTGCCGCCTTGTCAGATTCAGGAAATAACATTCTAATCAACACTCATTGTCTCCCAATCTTAGTCAAGCACTGCCTTGCCTTGGTCAAATAACACGTTCAGTTAGACAGCCGAACATTTGGAAACCGGCTCTGTGTTTTACCTGCAAATCTGTTGCAAGTCTGCTTACAAAAATAATTTAAATAAAGTATAGTTTTTCAAAGGTGCAGAGAAGGATAGCATTACAAAACCAACAAAACTTGCTTAAAATGAAGTCTCTCTTTAAGCTGGAAAACCACTTTGTTGTGAAGCTGCAAGAATAATTACAGAATAGAACTTTGGTGGAAATTTTAGACAAAATGTGGTCTATCCGTGTTTGTTCTGTATGATAAACTAAGCTACGAGATTGGATGAACACAAGAAAGCACCGCCCCGACTATCTGTTATCTGCTTTGCAGAATGTGCTGCAGTAAAATTGTTGCTTATGTGAGAAATCATTTTGCAACACATTGTCACTCCACAGATCAAAATAGGTTTAAAAAAAACACAATTACTGACCAATGAACTGGAAACAGCTCTGAATGTAACCAGTCATACGTTTCAAACCAATATGTCCAATAAACCTGCAGCATAGTATTCGATTTCTGAGAGGGACATTGGAGCTCCCAATAAAACAAAATCCCTTGATGATGTCTTATAACAAGACATCATAGAACAAACACTGAGCTGAACAACAAAATTGCGTGAATGGTCCATGACTCAGAAGGAAAGCGATCTTGTAAAGAATTGAAACACATTTACCTCGTGCAGCAGCTTCTCCAGTTTCTCCTGAAGCTCCACAAAGTACCTGGAGGTGACCAGGCCTTGCTGGGACTTGTCCAGGCAGTCTCTGGCGAGCTCCACCAGCTGGTGCTGAATGAATCCCAGCACGCCATCAGCCAGGGGCAGGGCCGTGTCTGGGGAACACTCTGCGATGATGTCGAGCAGTCGACACTCCATCTGGGCTGTCGCCTGGGAAACGAACAAGATGCAGGACTTTGTTTATTACAGCGACAGCAGAACTGTATTAACAACTCCTTTCGACAGGGTTCATACAGGTGAGCTTTTAGTGAGATAAAATCTCCTGGTTTCCGTGAGTGAAAAAGTCAAAAAGAGAAAGACGAAAGGAAGAAACTGGGGGGAAAAAGACTGACCTTAGGAAAGCGTTCTTTGTAGACATGATTCATCATGACAATTTCATTGTCAAATGTTCCACAGGTTCGTCCAGGGCTGGATGATCATGTAAAGGGAAAGAAAAGCAGAACAGAGATACAACCGCACATTAAATATTATAGTTTTGCACAGATCTGGTGCATCATTTATGGGTGCTCAATTTGAATAATGCAAAACACGTTATCAGGGGATCTGATCTGATCGGGGGATGGAGGAGAGAGGCTTACAATACACAAGTAAACGTTACTAGCACTAGTTGACATTTAAAAAACAATGTCCGGCTCAAAATGTGTCTTGTTAAAGCTACATCGAATCTACAAATTTCTTTGAGTAAATTGCAAATGTTTGACGAAAAGTGTTTACCGCCATCTTGGATATAAACACAGCGGGTTTAATTATTACACTAATGCAATTCAAGGCAGGTTCTCATTTGAAGTATCCATTTCCACATCTGTTGTGTACACAGGGCTTCTGTTACGAGAGGGCACCTTTAAAACCGTCCGTGCACATTACAAATCAAGGGTCTGTCATCACAAATGTTGGAAATAGCTATACTGGGTGCCTCTATGCCTTGCATACTACAAATAACAATATCATGCACTTTACTATTTATGGGTAACGCAACAGTTGCAGTTGCTCGGCACTGGTTTTATTTGAGGGCAATAGCAACAGTTAACCCCGTGGGAACAATTTGAGAGCAATAAGAAACACTTAACACACCCTGTGGAGCTATTTCAGAGCCACGTAGACACTTGTCGCTACTCCTTTTCCACAATAAGCGCAGTCATTTCGGTTTGCTTTTGACAGCGTTAAAAAATTCCAAAAGCTAGTGGAATTTTCTCTCTGATAAACTGATTACAAACATGCTGCTTTGCTGGATGTACATAAACTTCTCGACCAAGCCATCGAGTTAAAAAGCCCACAAATTTTCTAGGATTTGACTTGTTAATTAGGAACAAAGAATAATAAAGACATTTTTGGACATATATCTTGACTGTAACCCCTGTACAAAAACTTCATAACAAATGTATATGTACATTATATATATATATATAAATCAAGGTGTGGCATGGGCAGGGACACACAGAAAAAAACATCACATGAAATTGTTGCCAACACCCTTCACAGCCCATTATTAAAGTCTCCAGCAACCTCAAAACTCCCCCAACAGCTATTTAGAGGGCTTGTTTTTTAAGTGTGTGATGAGGCAACATGATCCACTAGATATGCTAATCCAGGGTAACCAGCACAGGGGCTTTTTTTACAACCACTTCAAACAATCATTGCACCATATTCAAAACCTCCCAGACAGTATTTAATTATTTCTAATCATATATGAGAGGAAGTTAGGCTTCATTGAGTGCTGAGTTTTGAGCTTTCTTACCAAGTGAGCTTGTTTACATTTCTGTTTACAGCTCTGCTACGAGGGACCACACAGATGCTAACTGAGGGCTTGCAGGTACTGTTTAACAGTCTCAGACATATTTCAAGTGCATGTCTTGATTTCTGTGGTGCTCTGCATTGTGAGAAAATAGTATCAACCCAACAGATAATTAATGTAAACATAAACATTTACTGCGGGTACACTAGAGAGCTTTGGTGCCTTTACAGGGTAATCACACTACTTATTTAACAGTGATGTACACAGCGCACTTACTGGGGGGGGGGGGGGACACCCCTCACTCACAAATATGGTTGGAAGTATGACAACAGCAGAACAAAATAACTAATCGATTAAACAAAAATCTTAAAAGGCCATTGACACCCAAACAGACCATTAGGTAAACTACCAGGGGGCATCCCTGCCTCTCCCCTGAACCCCATCGCGAAAGCTACCTGAGACTGCGAGAGCGGAGCCTGACAGGAGGCGGGGCCTGTGCTCCTTCCTCGTCCGCCACACTCTCCGTGCTGCGGAAATGTTTGAACAGGAAGTGGAGATCATCTTGTGTGGGCTGGAAGGGCAACTGGTGCAATAGCTCCTGGGAAGAAGAGGACTGCGGGGAAAGGAGAAATCAGGGATTTAGAGACGTAGAGAGCGGGAAAGAATAGTGCACGAAGATCAGTGTGCTTGAATTTATTGTAAATATGTAATATGAGCAAAACCCCTTTTTGTATTTGCACATTTGTATCCATATCACCTTGTTCTTCTGCTGCTTTAATGACATAACATTGCAGCTCTCTCAGAATCACTCATTATTCTGTTAACGCTCACAGTCTTATGGCTTTCATACGCCAGTTCAAGAGTTCAAGAATATGATGAGAAAAGCAGCTGTAAAGTAAAAGTTTACAAATCCCTTTAGTCTTAAAAATGTTCTTGACTTCTGAAGAAGAACTTTTCCCTCCTGCTGCCACATGCCACTGAGGCCCGCAGCGACGGCTGTTGTGTTGGCCATGCATGCATTCGTTTTCCCTTTCCAAAAGACCAAAAGTGTGACACTCAGCCTGGAATTTATGAGGACTCCCATCTGGCTGCAGCCTTGTGTTTCACTGGAGGAAGAGCAAAGACAAACGGGGGCTCTTCTGAATGTAGAAAACAGACGGGCCGGAGAGGGGAAAAGTGAAAGGAAGACAGAGAGAAAAGCACACAGAGTAACAGGAGGCGAGGAGGAGAAAGATACTCCGAGGAGGAAACCAGAGACATTCAGGAGCGAGTGAGAGCAGCATAAAGACCTCACTGACAGCGGGCCTGAAAGGGGCATTGTGTGGGGAGCGCTGACCTCACCGTCTCCATGCCATGTGGTCGGCCATACAAAATTGCAGCCGTGACATCGGAGGACGGATTTTTGTTTTTACAGCCAACTGCAGTTTCACTGATGACTTTGAAGGCAAAAATCTCAAAAGTAAATTGACACAGAAACCGTCAACAAATCAAAGCTGGTGGGTGTAGCTTCCACAAAGTTTCCACTTTTCCCAAAAAGATTTGCAGAGTGAGGAAATTTGAAACGCTCCACTCATGTAAGAAGTCATCATTTTGATGTGGAGTCATTTAGTAGGTAAGACATGCTGAAATATTCCAATAAAAATACTTTATTGTTGGATTCAGGCAGAAAAGCACACAGCTTATAGAAATATTAAATGTATTTTAATTGAATGATACGTCTAACTGATTAAATGCAGAAAACTGTCCATCTATAATATAAATGGAGGATAAGATAACTTTGGTAAAAGGATCTGAACATTCATCCCTATTCTCTGTCCGTAGCGGAAAGTGGGATAAAAGGCTGTTGACGCAGCGATGCATCATCGTTGGTCATCGTCTTGCTATGAGAGAGTCATTAAAGTATAGCGTCCAGTCGGCCTATTTCTTATCAATCAAGAGAACGCTCATCAAGACCATTAAGTCATAGTGTTTGTTGTGTTCCACCTGCCTCTGAGAAGGTCAACGAGCACTTATAGGTAGACTTGTTTCCCACGCAGAGTGCAATCTGATGGGATTTACACTTCCATTAGTCAGCACTTTAAGCTGACACCGTGATTGATACACTGAGTATAAGTAAGGAGCTGAATTGGCCCATGGCCGTGGTTTGAAAGGGAGCAGAACGTCTGATGACGGTAAGAGACGCACCTCACCGCCACCAACGCTTGCAGGGAAACGAAGACACACACTGAGAGGGAAACACAAAGCGACTTACAGATACTGATGAACTGGGGGCATTGGTGCAGTATCCAGAGGAGGGAACAGACGCCACGGACCACCTTCGCCCATCCGCCCTGCAGACACAAAACAGTAACAGACTGCTAAGTGGAAGCTCGCCAGTACACATGAAACCTACACATCCGGACGACTCGCTCAGATCTTCAAACCTTCGCCTGATACCCTGCCGATATCATTTCATACAAGACTGACCATGCAGGTCTAACTCGATAACAACCAATGCTCGAAACTGTGTCAAAAGAAATAAGAAACACAAGATTGTTGTTTTCTTACCTTTCAGTGCGTGCCAGTTGGCTGCACAGATGCCGAAATGAGGAAGACCCAAATGAAGAAGGAGTAGGAGGAAAAAGAGGAAGAGTGGCCGGCGGAGACACAAAGCGAGAGAGAAAATAAACACGGTTAATTGATGTCGGTTAAAACAAAGTTAGTCTGTCAAAGCTCACGGCCAGTGACAGCCGGTTGTTCAACACCTGCCAGGCTCCCCTCGAACTGCAGCATCGAGACCCACTGAGGGTTGACTCGTGACTCATTATACACGCACACACACACAAACAAGATACACACACAAACAGTGCCTAGTGCAGACATCATGAAACAGCCAAATGAGGTGTGAAATGTTCCCATCTACACCCGCTCTATATCCATTGCCCTTCCCACTTTCCCACTGAATGTGTCCCTCTGAGGACGCCGTAGATTCCCTCCCTGATCCAAAGGATCTGCGCTGACAGGGATGGTAAAATGTTGCTCGTGAGGACGTGCAGCTAATTCAGGCGTGACACGACAAAACTGGGACTTTACTGCAGCGGGTGTGACTGACGGCTGAGGATCAGTCAGGTGTATAAGACGCCTGCGTTTCCTCCTCTGCGTCGTATCCGATGTGCATGTTATCAAGTGCGTCATCGAACGCCTTATTTCCGCTTTCCGCTTTCTTTATCAGGGTCCTGCAGGTCTCAGGGGATACAACCTGAGGTTAACAACACGGTTTCAAATAGAAGAAGCAATGCCTGCAGTGTAAAATGACCAACAGGCAAGGGCAAGGCACGGTTCAAATCTCAAGGTTAAAAAAAGAGCATCTTTAAAAGTGAAGAGAGAGCTGCAGCTCAACTCTTTCACCTTGACCTTGGGGTGGTTTCATCTTTATTCCTCCAATCTTGTGGCAACTATTACGTGTCTGATTCTTCCATGTTTGTATGTTTATACAAAATAATTGCACAAACATCAGGGCTATACGGCCTGTGTGAATAACAAATGAACCCAGTGGTGCTCTCAAAAGTGCAGCCGCAGCATCTGTCTGCACCCTGGCAGCCTAAAAAGTCTCAATAAATATAGATGAGTCATGCAGGCTTGTGCGTGGCAATTCCATCAGCAGGCCTCCCCTCTCCATCCTGCAGCGTATGGTGCAATATGTCGTACTGCGCTGCAACATTAAATGCACTTATTTCAGATAAGCTGCCTATACATTTAAAGTACATTCAGCAAGCGAGAAGCAGCACAGTGTATTTCTTCTACCGGATGAGGGTGCAAGTTACAGCTACTTTCCCCTTTATATCCCGGTTAGTCTGTACACATCTGCAGGAAGCGTGAGAGGGCCAGCTTTGCGATTCTTTCCCCATAATCAGAGACGCCCCGAGTAATGAGTGTGTGCAACGACTCGCCCGCCTTAATTGGCTTAACAAATGCCAAAGGCCATGTCCAGCTAGTGACCCTGGGGCCGTTTTGCTGGTTGGACATGCTTCTCCGTTGCCTCATTTCAACTAAATGGGCAACAAACCGGGCTTGGTCATTAGTCATGCAACTCAGTTCCCATGTAGCCAAGGATCTGGGGGTGTTAGCATATTGTTTATTGTCCTCAGGTTCAAATAAGTGAAAACCTTTAACCTCTGGTTAAGTTTTAGTTTTTTGCAGAAAGAATGACAGACCTACTCCAATGTTAAAACCGGGGTTGGTAATCTTGTGGGAAAGCAAGAGTAAGCTAATTATTTAAAATCATCGGACCGGAAAAGTCTTTTCCAATGACAGTAACGGGCAAGTCTCAACAACTTTCCAGTTCTTGTACCGGGCGCGGAAAATACCTCTGTGCTAATGTAACGATCCTTAAGTGCAATCAGACAAACTTCACATCCAAAAGCATTTGAGTTCATCCTTACCTTCGGGCGAACTGGAAGTTGGCAGAGGTGCTGGCAGAAACATTTCTGGGGCTTTCTGAGGGGCTGTTGCCAGCTGATGAGACAAAACAGTTACAGAGTTTGAAAGAACAAGCAAAGACAACGTGTATGACTATGTGTGTGTTTGGAATAATTCCACGAGCTGCCCCCTTGTTGTGTGTGATCGGTTTGAAATGTGCTCCATGAGCATTTCACGACTGATTTGCACTCATCTATTTCATCATTTATCAACCGGAAACCAATTGCAGTAATCTTGCCTAAATCACAGCAAAGATTCCTGGAGGATGGAATGAGTAGCTTTGAGGAAGCTACGTGAGAGATATGATCATGAGGAAAGCTATTGTGAGCCAACAGCAATGGACACTTGATCAACGCACCAGAGGGAAAGCAGTGCGAGTCGTGTGACTTAAAACCAGGCTGAAGGCACGTGCACTCAATGAAAGCTAATGTGCTGGTCCTCTCCATTCCACCGTCATCCGCCTGTCTGTTTTCCATGTGATCATGTCCGTGCAAAGTATGCGAGCCTCCAGTGGAAGTGCCAAACAGCACCACGCACGGAGCAGACACGTAACTATAAAACAAGTACCTGTGGCCAGTGGGAGAGGTGAAAGAGGCCGCGAGAGCGTGGGCGACGTGGTCCCCACCGCCAGGCTCCTTCTCTTGTTGTTACGGGAACTGTGAGGAGCAAAAACACACAGCGGAGAATAAGCATTGGCTTTATGTTAGCCAATTATAAACACAATCACTGAGCAACAGTCTCTTATCAAAGGGGTGAAAAGTCGAGTCAAATAATACAGTCCAGCTATGAACCGGAGTCGTTGCTTGTGATAAGAAACTAATGTGGTTAATAAGCAAACACAATCGAGCAGGATGTGAATGTACTGTGTATTCACACAGTATTCACACAGTACATTCACCTAACGGGCCAACACCAATTAAACAGGTCACATCTTTCTGGTCTTATGTTCAAGAGAATAAAAGGTTTTTTGACTACAGGAGACACCAAAATAATGGAAATATATCAACATAACAGCATGTGAATAATGAGTTGTATGGACTATTTAGTAAGGTACTACATTCAAGCATCAGATGATGTCTCCTGTGTATTTTCATGTGAGAATATGGGAAACGTCTTGTACCAGTGGGAGCAGCTGATCCTATAAGAGCTCTCTGGGCTGGTTGTTATAGAATGAAATGCAGAGAAAGATGCAGACAAAATGCACCCACACGGAAACAAGACTAAGTCATCTATACGCAAGAAAAATCCATGAACAGGTTCTTTAGGATTCATGAAACGTTTTTTTTGTTGGCTTCTGCCTTGCTTGTTGGCTTTAATTCCTGTTTAGTTCAAAAGTGGTATATTATGTGTAAATATATTATACACACACACACACACACACACACACACACACACAAACTACTGACTGACTATTGAGCCACTGCTCAGCTTTTTTTTTTTGGTGTAATACAAAAACCAGTCACTCTTCAGAGCTCCTGTAATAAGGAAACCTTTTTCTTTGAAAACATCCTGGATAAAAGTGGTGACTAGCAGAGCGGTTTGAAAGTTGGCGGACACTATTAGATGGCATTTCAGCGAGCGTGAGTCACCCTCACATGCCAGTGTTATTACGATGCCCTCACATATATTTTCAAATGATACGTCCATTTCCGGTATATGTGTTTATATTAGGAGCCTGGAGGCCCTCTTGGAAGCTGAGTGCTCAGTCTAAATGGGCCAAAGCCTACACAGAATAAAAGCTGGGCTCTGTTTTTCATTTACTTTTACATTCCCCGCTAAGGTGAACATAATCCCTTCGTTCGCTCTTCCCCGTCAAAAAATGACGTCTCTCTTCCTCTCTGGCAATGACCTACGATAATTGAGGATCTGAGACAACAACAAAGCTTGACGTTTCTGGGTCGATTGCCGAGGCGGATTGCAGCACTATGTGGCCCCTCTGACCCCAAAGAGACTCAAAGTGGCAGTGACAGGGAGGAGAGCCAATAAACCAACCAGAGGAAAGATGCTGCGCCTGCGAAATATATTCTTCTTATCAGAAAATAAACAGACAAGACACCTTAAAAAGGCCCGACACGTTATTTTATCACACCACGAGAGAGCTCTATCAATACTTGGCAGCCACAAGGCCACTGATACGGCTCACATTATCAACAATAGCCGAATGTAGGCCACTGACATCCGGGCCTGCGTGTTTCTCGTGGCTGCCGATGGGGAAGGACTTTATTTATTCACTGAGCCCCATTCAGAGTCACGCTGTGTCCAATGAGTTACACGACAGCGACGCGGGACAAATAGCGACGCAGGCACTTAGAACATCGAGATTGTGAAAAAAAAGGGGGGGGGGGTCTAAAAATCCATAAATGACCATTAGGTCGCAATGAAAGCATCGATTGTCAACGACACGACGGCTCTACTGCGCGAGGCCCGATCACGACGATCTCGCGGAGTCAAGGACACGTTCGATGTCTACAGCCGACGCGCTGATCACATCAGCGTATCGATCCGCGCCGGGACTTTGTGCCTCGCTGTATGCGACAGCCGGTATCAGACAATGCAGTCTGGCTCCACACGAACACACACACACACACACACACACACACACACACACACACACACACACAGACACTCCACAATGGCCACGTTTCTCGGTCGGAAACACAAACCAGGGCGGATGTAGCAGCCAACACATGCAGTTAACGTGCACGGCTCTCACAGGCACCGCGATGCCACCAGCGGTCCCGAGCCCGACGCGGATAATGTTACCGTGAGATGGGGAGAGGGGGGGGGGTCTTTGAGGGTGGGGGTTGCGTTTACGTGCCGCGGATCAAATATCTCTACATTAACGTTCAACAAATTGCCGTTGGTCGGACAGTGAACGCAGCCGATGTCAACTCCGTCGCAGGCGCGGCGGACGGGACTTCTTCGTCGTGGTACCACACGCCCACGGATCCATTTAGGGGAGAGACGAAGAAGAAAAAAAGCCTGTTATGTTTTAATTTACCTTTTTGACCTTTTCATCATGGCCCCGGTGACAAAACTAGTTTTGTAGCTCGGCAACACGGTCCAGTAATAGTTCTGGTCCGACATGTTGGATGGGTGGTGACGGATAAATCCAGTGCAGATATGTTCGCTGTCCTCTGGTTACGGTGCGAGCATCCCGTCTCGGGGAGTTGTTGTCGTCGCTCGGTGGCTGGGCCAGTAACGCGACTGCCGTCTAGCTCCGGCACGAACCGAGCCGGACCCGCGGCACGGAAGCTCGGTGATGGGGAGCGACTGCGTCGGCCATGTCCGCCCTGCGCCTGCCAGCCGCCCGCTTCTCCCCCCCGTCACTCGCACGCTTTCCGAAAGAGTCCCCGTGTCGCGCGGTGTGACATTATCGAGCGGTACCTCCGGCCGAACGAGAGAGCGGTACAAACTTTCCAGTCGCAACCAGCGACGCTGTTACGCGCAGCCGCGTCGACGCTCGCGCGGAGGGAGGAGGAGGTGCTGCTGTTGCCTTCACGTCCTGCTGGAAATGTAGACTTCAACGATCACAAATGAACCACCCGGCGACAATAACAAAAAAAAAGGAAGAGGTCTGAAAGATGGTGTATTTCCAGGCGTATTTAAATGTAAAAACGTGTATAGCACGTTGCATCTGGGGTTCAGTTTCACGAGCATGAAGGATTTATCTTTATAAATCGGGAAACATTGAAATTCGCATGAGATTCTTACTGTAAATCAGAAACAGTTGTGATAAAACCCACGTCATATATTGTGTGTGTCATAGTGGCAGCAGGCTAGTCAAGATAGTCCAGGCTACCTCTCTCCAGCAAGGTTCTGCTGCTCCTCCTGGGAACCAACATGTTCAAACGGCCTCAACTATGTACATTTTATGTGAGAGGGCAGTGGCTCCACTCGGGGTCAAGCCACCTGAAACACATCATTTGCAAAGAGCAGAGAGGCCATTCTGGGAGTCAAAACCGGGCCGTTTTTTTCTTCGACTTCCTGCGAGAATACGGACACAGCTCTCACTTCAGTTGTATAAAAACAAGCGGCTAATTGAAGCGGCCTCGGTGCCCCATACTTCCTCACCGGGCCCCACAGGATCCCTGGGTAACGCGGTTATAAGGCTTCTCCAACCCATAACATATGTGTAGGACTGATCAACTATCGTGACCCCCATAACAATTTATGGGTAAATATCATGGCCCCTTTTTCATGACCAGGACATAATCTACATTATGTCCTTAATACCATCCTTGTAGGCTATTAAAGCTACATTTTATAGGGATTTAATGCACCGTTCCAGCACATCAATTCGGTCACTGAAGCTTCCCACAGACAAACTAAGTCCTTACATAACCAGTTATTTATTAGACAAACCATTCACCTTATTCACTTCTTAGTACTAAATAAGGCCGGCTATTTAAAAAATATTTCATTCTGGATCACTGAGACGTAACTCAGCAATGCTGCCCTAAATAAAATGGTCTTTCCCTTTGTTTTTGGACAACATGACTGGCGGTATGAAGCAGCACAAATATATTTGAGTTATTTAATTTGTGACAACATGCTGTTATTATCTCCAGTGATTATAATTGTTCCATTATCACAGATGGTGATTCTACAGCAGAATGTCGTCGTTCTTGTCTAAAGACCGGGGAGGTCCATGAACAGGTTATAGACATGAAGAGATTGATCTGCTCCCTCGGGAGCAAGAGACTAACGTGCCACTCCTTTACGGAACTGTCACTACTTTGTAAAAGTTCCATCAATTAAGACATTTTTACTTCTGAATTGACAAGAGAAATGCTTAGAAAACCAAAATGAACAAAAAAAACTTAGCAGTGCTGGCTTAACTTGTCTGCACAGTTCACATATTATATGGATACCATTATTAACTAGGCTGTGACTATTTCAGATATTCAATGTTTTTTAACAATAAGCATGTTCTTTTTTATCTTTAGCATTGAGCATAGAGTGCATGCATAGAGTGAATATTCACACAATATAGATGTGTAGATTATCCCTCTCAAGGTGTATAACCTTGTATAACCTGTGCTGAGTCCGTTTCAAAAGTTCTTCCCTCTCAGGAGAGTCAAGTGAAAGTAGGCTGGTGTGAAATGCGGCATTCATGCATTCGTGCCGACAAGTGACAGGAATCTGCTGGTCTGCAGGTTTGAGGAAGATAAAGATGAGGTGTATTATTACATAATACTTACACATTTACCCTGCGAGGAAGACTCAGTTCTTTCTAGAAAAGAAAAGATGGGAAAATTAGAAATGAGATCATTTCTTCTTTTCACAGTAACAGTGCTGGCAGATTTAATCCCCACTGCTGCTTGAGTGGTATTCATTGTTTGGCTAAAATACTTCTTCCCAAATACTAACCCTTCTCCATTCTTTCTCTCAAGCAATGTGCACCTTATTTGTTGCAGTATGGCGTGTAGTTTATTGCATGACAAGCAGATCAATAAGTCATTTAATGGTAACGATTAAAATCCTTTCGCTTGAGCTCATGGGAACTGCAAAACTTCTTTTGCCGATCAGCAGTCGAAGGTTAAGGAATGGTGCAACTCTGTTATACTGAGAGGCAACTGGTCAACGTCACAGAACAATGTCAAAACATGGGACAAACACAGAGAAAATCTGTTTTTTACTACTATAAGCTTCGGCTTTAATCACAAGGTATCAACCTGTGCGCTTAAGTCTGACACTATGTTGTGTCTTATTCACAACGTAGTGGATTCAAGGGGAAATAATTTCACCATAACCATCAATGTCATTGTAATGCCAGGGCTGCATCACATTTAAAATGCAGACGAATGTTTGTACAATAACTTGGGGGGACACCGAGTCTGCACCGGTGAGTCTTTCATCACAAACCCATCCCTCCTGCATAATTTAACAGGGAAACAATGCTGCGTTCAATTCTGCGAACAAACATAACAGTAGCACGTACTAATTACACATGTTTTGCATTTGATTTACTGTATATCTCCATATGAATGAACATGTACGAGATAACATATTAATTATTACCATTCTGGACAATCTTGGACATGGCAACAGTAGAAGGTATGCTTTTGCCAATTACACAGGCACCCTTGGGCTGTAAGCGCCTATCTCCAAGGCAACCAGCTTCACCAAGGAACCAATGGACTAATTACAACTAATTACAGCACCAATCGTGTACCATCACTCTGGATGGGAATAAAATGGGAAATTATCGGTGGCTATACAGATCATAAATATTTCAAAGTTAATCAATAATAACAAAGAGTAAATGTCACTCGTTTTAATGGTGAACGAGCCGCTTCACCCAAAGACATTCTCGGAGGAATCCCCCGCATCGTCGCCTAAGGCTCATCATCATCCTCAACATCATCATCATTTCTTCCCGTTTCATCAGAATACTGACATTAAAAGCCTCTGTGCATTTAAGCCTACCTGTAAACCGCGACGTCGCAGGATATTCGGCTCATCCATCATTGGTGACGATTAAAAAACCCAGCGGATCTCCGAACGGTTAGTCCGTACTGCGCCCCCCGCCCAGCAGCAGGGTACAATCGCTCCACCTCCTCCCCCGGGCGAGCTGCACGACCGGCCCCGAAAGAGGTGACCGCTTCCAGCCAATGATGACGAGGGGCGGAAGAGGTCGGGTGGGGGGTAACCCCGCCTGCCGACCACACCTGTTCGTTGAGATTCGTCCACCTGTTGTCAAATAGGCAGCGGGTTCTCCTGGTTTGTACTTGGTGTTTTCAGATCAACACATCCACAAAACATCCCGTCACCTCCTCCACACTTTGTTCTGTGAGGGTCCCTTGTTCCCATTTCGGCGAAGCCTCGGTCTCATGGATCTTCTTAACAGACCTTTGTTGTTACCATGGATACGCTGTGGCGCTACACGTGCGCGTAGAAACCAGTGCAATCTGCCATGTGTCGTGGGACATGCAGTTGATCTACCATCACGGTGTCTCCTTGGCGGCAGAGGATGCAGAACAAATGCGCCTTGAAGTCGAGCTGAATAGCGGTGATTGATCCGTCACTCGATGGCACCGTGGGTTCTTTTTTCATCCCGAATAGAACAATGGTTAGTCTTCAGTCCGTGGATGTCACAAGTTGTGTGGGCCGCAGCGATGTGAATCCTTCATTGTTCTCTTGTGAGGTTCAATGTTTATCTGAAACTGTTTCAAATGTTGGAAATCAAGCATCTAAGTAGTAAGTGTATTTTACCAATAAAATCAGTTAGGTGCCAGTTGTTTCTCAAGATTTCTTTTGAACGACTACTTTGAATGAAATGCATTTCTGACTAGATGTATTTTATTTATTATTATTATTTTTTTTGTTTCTGGTCTTACTTCTGGTCATACTTTGATTTGTTGAATCACTGGACTGTGGAAGCAATAAACAAAATAAAAAGTAAATAAAATATTTTGGCATTTTTATCTCAGCATATATGAAACAAGCATATGTTTCTTAAATAATAAATAGCAGGAAATGCTCCATTCTTGGTATTTATATTATTACTTTTGCTTGTTTTAGATCACAACAAAGTGAGACTAAATGTTTTAAATAACATGGTCACGTGGTGCACCTATCTACTGATCGCTTTTCACCACACCGATGGTTGGCAACTACAAAAGGAAAGAAAGCGTTTCCATGCATCCTTTTGTCGTGTATAGATCATCCTCAGATTGTGAAACCAGTCAGGCATGGAAGTCCACCCTCTTTTGTTTAACAGGCGTGACTACTTGCCTTTTATCTCAGAACTTGTCTCACCTGGAAGGCTAAGAGGTAGAACAAGTGTTTTCCAATAGTCTATATGCTCAGCACATGGGGATAGATAAATATAATGACACAAATCAAAAAATACACAAAGATAACAGTGACAAAAACAAAAGCCTGTTTCTTAGTCACGGGGTAAATTCACAGATCTGCTTAAACAAAATGGGAATCAATCAATTCATCAGGCCTTCAAATGAGGTTCTGCATAAAATGAATTTCCTCTTATATGATAACCGAAAACTTCTTCGTCTCCAATCCCTGTTTGATTCATACAGATAATAGAAAGCTGTACTTAGATTATTGAAGCCTGTACTGCTGCCTTACGGCCACTAGAGAACGCAATCGAGCTGTTTGTCTATTAATGTGGACTCCAGAGAGGACACATCACCCTCCTCTCTTCTCTCATGAGCACCTTTGGAATGGTCTCAATGCATTCAAATACATATAAATAAATAATAAAGTAAAGAAAGGGAATATTGAACATAACAGATTAATAACAGAAAGATGAACTGAAGGGTACAGCTTTCTACATTATTTACTATTAGCACATTCATCTACGTTGATAACAAATATTAAAAATAGAAGCAACATGTAAGTAATACTAGTTGCAAGTAGCATAAACCTTGCATTGCTTGTGCACCTTTATTACAAAGACGTCTTTGTAACATATTGGTAGTTGTCAGCAGTTCAGTAAAAAAGATTTTTTTTTACTTCTCAGATTGTTGTTTTTAATTCAGTTTGAATAAATCATTCAGTAGTGCTGTTGTTTTCATCTTCCTCTGGCGTTGTGCCTACAACAGTGAATGTCTGTCTGTTACCAGCCTGCATGATGTAACTGCCTTTCATTGTTCAGAAACCTCTTACTCAAGGTGTCGGAACAAGTTTTGTCCCTCTTACTCCCGCCCACGTGAGAGTCACATGCCAGAAGAGCAGAGTCGGGGAGGAAAGTTTAAATAACCATGTCAGTTTTCACCAGTCACTTTGCACCTTTCACACAGTTTCAACTTGCAAGGTAGGTCCACCTGCAACACACATGGATGTTTCATCAGCTCAGTGACTCAGTGCAAAAACAGTTTTGGGGGTTTGTGACTTTAAGTGCCCTTTAACCCTCCATGACGTTACATTACATGAGCCGTTAGAGGTTCTACGGAAGAATTTAGTCTCCAACACCTTAGAGGAAAGTTAGTAAAAATGCCACGCTTTTGTCCACCAGATATCATTTTTTTGTAATTCTTTCCCTTTTTATTATTCATCTCGCAATGTGTCTTGAAACCGCCGAACACATTGTATTCAACGAGCTTTGAATTCTTCAAATTTACATTCCATTCACACCGTAAATTATATTGCTGTCTGGCACTCACTTTTATAGTTTTATTAAATATACGTATTAACTTTTAATTAGATTCTTATTCAACCTTTAAAGACTTAACAGTTTTATTATCTGGTTACTCTTCCAAACTCAAAATTTGCCAAAAATAAATATACTTTTACAGATATTTTTCATAAAATGAGATCTTTAGCTGTCGGTAGAGAGAATAGGGTCAATGACACCGATGTAACTAAAGAGGGCACTGACCTATTCGCCGATAGAATGAGGGTTTTTACCTCCTGATAATTCCATGGTGCCGCTCTGCTTTGCCGACGCCTACGCATATCCCTCCGTTCTGTCCCAACGACTGCTCCTTCATCCTACTGCAGAATACAGTAGCGTCTGAGATCAGATACCATTAGATATGATGATAAACACGTGGACAAACGTTGACAAACACCATACATCAGGCACGTGATGGGATTACGGTTGGTTTTCTCTTTTTAAACCTTGAGTCATTTCCTATGAGGGTTTATTTCAGGAGGAGACGTAATACAAGATAATAAACTCTCTGTCCCTATTTCTGTTTTGGTTTATTGTAGGTTTTTCACAAGAAGCTGTCAAACCCCCCCAATGCCGGACTGTTCTTAATGTGGATCACGGTCCCCGAGGACATGCCTAGTCAAGACTGTAAATGACCTCTGACCTTATGGGGATCAATACACTGTCACAACAGCTTTATTAACTTCGAGGCAGCTCACGTAATTCCCCATTTTGTGATCAAATCAAACGGATGTGTTAAAACTGGAAAAAACACATTGAAATGAGTCTTTTACAGATTTCTGATTTCGCAAGTTACACTTTGCTAACACATAACACAAGCAGAAAAGTGTTGCCACATAAGGACATTTGGCCCTGGCTGAGCTCATCAAAGGCTCACCTGACCATCCAGGGGTGTGGTTCCACAGAAGCTCTATAAATAAACGCATGTCAAGAATTTCATTCATAAGATAGACAAGCCCCAGCCGCAGCATTCTCCAACCAAACCTACCTGTCGGGCTAACTATGTTCAGATCACGCGCCCTTCACCAACTCACCTCCTGCTCGCTGCTGCTCCTCCTCGTCTCCCTCTCCGGCTCAGGGGAGAGCCGGCCTCAGGCGGCCCGCGGAGGCTCACCCGACGAGGGCAGAACGCACAGCCAGAGGGCCCTGCTTCTGGAGGCGGTGAAGACCGGGATCCTGGGCTCGTTGGGTATGGACAGGGAGCCCAGGCCCACCCGAAAGGCCTCGGAGGAAGAGCTCAGGGGGATGTATCAGCTCTACAGGGAGAAAGTGAGGGAGATGAGAGGAAATTCCAGCCAGCTGATGAAGGAAAGCCAGCAATCAACCGTGTCCACTGTGCTCTTTCCAGCGACAGGTAAGACTGATACTTGTTGGACATCAGACAGCGGGAGGACACTCAGGCGTAATAAGATAAGATAAGATAAGATATTCATTCTTTATTAGTCCCACAGTGGGGAAATTTACAGGATCGCGGCAGCAAAGTGGACAGTGCAGGCAAGATACAGTCATTGTCACGGTGGATGTAAAATGCCAATTTTGAAAGTCAGCGAGGAAGGGGGAAAAACGTCGCGTGACTAGAAACCTACAGATTCAGACAAAAGGTTCTGTACCAGTGCGGTTCGAGAATAATCGCAATATTTACTGCTCCAAGTAAAGATCACCGCCTTCCAGGAAGCCATTTGTATATCATGATGATGTCCTCTAAAGAAAGCAAACGCATTCCTGTACGCTTTGAGAAACCATGCGCGTGATAGGCACACCTAGTACGTGACACTTTGAACACTTATTACACTTTGAGCACACGCGTCAACAATGTCATCAACATCCATTTTTCCATCTTCAATTGTTCCACATCATAACCCGTCAAATCATTACAGGATTTTCCCGACTAATGAAGCTTTTCTATGTTTATGTGTTTTTTAGTGGAGCGGATAAAAGGGGTCCGGAGGGGAGAACGCCCACATCCACCCCCAGGTCCTCGCACGCAGTGGTACAGAGCGGTTTTCCACAAAACCCCCAACATCCACACTGAACTGACACTGACTCGGGCTGAGCTGAAGATTTCCAGGCAGATCTTGGAGAAACCCACTTCAGCTCAACCTGAGACGAGAGCAGAGATCCAGGTCAGGGTCAACGGGAGGACGCGGAGGAGCTCCGCTGCGTGGAGATACGCACACTCTCCGACACGTGACAACGTGTCGCGCACACAAGATCTGATGCTGGACATCCGCCCTGAGGTGGTTCGGTGGTTCGGGGCGGATGTCGGAGAGGCACTAGTCGTGGTCGTGGGGATAGCCGTGGCCGTAAAAGATGCCCTCGGGGCGAACCCAACTCTTTCACTTGAACTGGGCCTCGCGCAGCCCAAACCGGCCCGGAAAACGAGGCTGCCCCGCTCCAACAAGGAAGACGTCTGCAGTGAACAAGGGTGGTGCTGCCGGAAGTCCGTCACCGTGTCCTTCAAAGACATCGGCTGGACGGATTGGGTGGTGGCCCCGGCTGAATACACCATGCACTTCTGTGACGGCACCTGCCCCCACAACTACAAGCCTGCGAGCATGCACGCGCAGGTGAAGTCCCGGTTGCATCAGATTACCAAAGGAGGGTCACCTCGCCCCTGCTGCGTGCCGGCGGCCTACGAGCCAATGGTCCTAATGCACTATGACAGCAGGGGAAAGTTGAAGCTGACGCCTTTCGACGACCTGATCGTCAGTAAATGTCATTGTGCCTGAAGAGCCATGCGGTTCTTAAGTTAAACCTGAAATGAGTGGCACGCCATGGTTAACTAAATAATAATTGCAATAATACACTTTATTTTAAAGAAAAATGTGTTACTGCCGCGGAAAGGCATTGTTTTTTTTTCCATTGTGGATCATTCATGTTTGTATTTATTTCAAGTTTATTTATGGACCTAAACTTATGTTGTGTTTTATTTCTGTCTTTGTTTCATGTTACTGTATATTCTAGTACTATTTAACTTGATTGTCATTTTTTATTATTTGAAGTACTGTTTTTTTTGAGGCACAGGGTTTTGATATTAAGTTTGTTGTCTTATACATTTCAATATTGATATGAAAATATTAGTAAATATTTTGATATATTCACACTAAACTGCTGCACTTGAATAAATAAACTTTTAGATTTCATAATAAACACATGATTATGATGCGTTCTTATATCTGTCGTCTATCCAAACACATCAACCACCGTAGATTACAAAGGTCGAGGTCGTGACAAAGAAATCCGCCTCTAAAGATACGATATCTTCTATCTCCCATAAATGACCTTGAAGTGGTGCTCACTTTGGCCTTGACCAGCTGGTGAAGAAACAAATCAACAAAATAGGAAAAAGCCGCTTCTTGTGTAAACTGCAGACTGCTCAGATTACATATCAATGACGATACTGTAAACGCAATTTTCATTGAAGTTTATCAAAGTATCTTGTTGAAGTATTTACTTCCAAGTGCTGTTGAGATTAGTTATTAGAAAAAGAACAAACAATGATGTGTGATATCCTCCGATAAGTATAATCGCCAAGACAAGGAAAAACAATTCAAAAATGAATTCCAAGCTGGAGCTCAGAACGCGCCATATTTCAGCTGGAGCTTTTGCTGATGGACAGAACGTCATGATGAGGAGTTTGTTATTTAGTGAGTGAACTGAAGTGAACGGAGGTTTAGTGACAAGCTCCTCTGGAATGCTCACAGCTTCATTACTCAAAGTAGTTGGGCAAAGGTCACTATGAGCATGTGTGGTTTATAATTAATAAAGTAGATGCATTAAAGAGTGGGGCGTGTCGAGTGACCCTGGACAACTATTGTGTGATTAATCAGAGGTCCGGACACGACTGCTTGCTGCAGTTACACTTTTCTTCTGGCAAATTTAGACCTGTGCCCAGACATCGCTCACTCACGCCTTTGTTTCTGTCCTGTTACTATTTGTTTCAGGGAGGACATCCTCTGATATTAAACTACAGTGGGCCGATGTAAAGGTCCTCAATCTCAGCTTCTGAAAGGTCCCGAGTCGCAGTACCACCCAAAGTATACACGTATAAAAGAATTACGGACAGTTTTTATCAAGGACATTCTGTGTCTGACAGCAGGAACCCATTAGCCGCTATTTGTCTTCCCCTTTTAATCCTTACATAGTCGTACCGGATAACAATTGCTGAAATTAATTCCAGAATAACAGGAAACCAAAGGAAAAGAAAAGAAAATATCATGACTATTAAACCTCCTCTTCGCTCGCTGCTCATTACCACCCAGAGAAGTACAACCTGTCATTTTGTAACATTTGTTATATAGTATCGTGAGTCCCACATATTGCAATTATTCAGTACAAACACATGCATGCTTCACCACACATGTATAAATGGTAATTACAGACATACATATATAAAGTCAGCAGAATATACAGAACAGCTGACATGTATTGAAATTAAAAGACTTAAACAAAAAGATATAGCGATACAACAATCTGTATAATATCGATATGCAGTATTTCTTGTTTTCATGTCAGCTCTATCAAAGAGCACTGAATAGAGATGCGTCCTACAATGAATCTGGCATAATGTACAGGTCTTCTTCATGGTCTGGGAGGATGGAGAGGTTACACGCTGGGTCATTGCTGTATATTGCCTCATCTGGAGAATCACACTGCAGGTACACGTCCTCTTCAGATTCACGGGGTGGCCTGTGGAGAAACGGTTAAGTGTAGCAGATAATGGAGGACTATTTGTCATGTAAAAACCATTACCGCACAAGGCAAATATTATGTAAACCACGTGGATTCCTTCTCCTATTCTTAGATAAAGGAAAAACACCCGCACTGAGTCATCAACTTGCATTTGCGTAATTTACTCTAAATCATGGGAAACATCGAGGGGAAGCGCCCCCCCATCCTGAAGGCAGCCTAATTGTGCAAATATATTACATCATGATTGTGCAAGATGGGAAAGTTCAAACCGCTAGGTTTCTTCATCGGGTTCCTGATCTCAGCAGCAGTTTAATTTATGTAAATTAAGATTCAACATCTCCTCTATAAAAAGTTGTAAACTGATCCTGCCTGTTAACAACATTTTAATTTGAAATATGAACGTACTGAAAGCGCGTCTTACTTGTTCACCGCGGGCCTTTTGGTTCGAGTCGCCAGGTTTTCATAAATAGGGTTCTCTCCGGTTGAAGCTTCACGGATCACATAGCGGTAGCGAGGCGAATCTTCTGGTAGCGTCTCTGTATAGTCCCGTTCTTTGTGGCTTCTCCTTTGTCCAAACTGAAACATACTCCTCATTTTACTGTGGTAGTTGTACACGATCACACCAGCTGCGATCAGCAGCAGTACAAAGAAGAACGTCAGGCCGACGGCTAGATCGGTACGAGAGCTGCCGGGAGCAGAACATGAGGCGGTGTCGTTTCCAGGGACACAGGTCATATTGGCAATCATGATCTGAAGGTAAAAAATATATCAAATTGTGGAAAGTGCTGTATAAACAATGTATTTCAAGCAGAATCATAAAAAAATCAGTTCGAGTCTAGGTCAGAGTGTAGAAACAGTGAACGTACCATTCGAGGCTTCAGCGTTTCTCGTGGAGGAATGAGCGCAGAGTGAAGTGATGTCGTTGTTCTTCAGCACCCGCACATATGCAACAGTAAAGTTCCCTTTTTTAAATTGTGGAAATGGAGTGTGAAAGTGCTAAAAACAGAAGATTTCCTGTAAAAAGCTCCTTCTGAAAATAGGCCGTGTCACTCTATGGAAACGTTTCTAGTGTGACTAATACACTGTTCAAATCAACGCACAATGTTAATAAGGGAAGTATTGATTATGAACATTGACAATTTGGACTAAAAATGTTTCTCGGGTTGAAAAGTCTCAAATTGAACTAAAAGTAAGTTGCTCCATGAAATGATAATCATTCCTTGTGTGTGTCACAGGTGTTTGTTTATAGCACACAAACACAAAAGTTTTCTCTTTGTCCTTTGTTCTTAGCTGAGGATAATGTGGGCAAATGTTCAGGACCTGTTATATTATCTATATTTATTAATTACAATTCACTTGTTTTAGATAAAGCCAATGTTTGCTAAAGATACAACTGTGTACATATTGTCAGTATTGCTGACTTAAATAATATATTGAAGGATTAACTAAATACGATGAAATCGATTATGTCTCTCGGGGCAGTGAGGCTAAACTATTAGAATCACGCTTGACAAACAACTGTATTTAGGGACATTACGTAACCAAAGTAGCTGCAAAACAAATGGAATATGGATATCAATAGCATGTGCAATGGGAACTAAGCAGGTTATACAGGCCAGAGTTGTCTAATCTTCATCAGTAATCTGCTGAAGTCCTGCCAAAAAAGATTGAGGATAGATTGAGCGGATTAAAGTGATTAGCACTTTGCTGATCAGTAAGAGCAAGAATACACAAAATGCCCACCGATCTCATGAGGCTGAAGCTTGAAGATTAGTTTGTGTGTAGATTTTGAAGAAGCCACTAAAGAGCTTTTTGAAGACCACCAAAACATAGCGCAGGAAAATAAGTCTTTTATTCCAACCAACAGTCAACGCTCAGAGATAAAAATGTTAAAAAAGCTTCCATGCATCCAAAGTTGAAATTGAGTCTCGTCTCTCAATCAAGCTGGATTAATAAATGATATGCAGTCGTTACAACGCAAACTACAGCGTGCTACCAAGCTCCTCACACTACACAAATGAACAGAAAGGCGGTGGTGGGTTGTTCAGCAGGTGCTTTACCTCCCCCTGCTGTTACTCTCCCTTAAACAAATCACACGTATACTGTTAGATTTCTCAGTGAACATTGTTCTCATCATATATGTTCCACCAAATTGGAAAAAGGAGGTAGTTGAATTTGTGAAGTGACTGTGTAGTCGTTCTCTCACTGCTGGTTAACAAAAGTCCCACAGGGGGTCGGGTGGGGTGAGACAGTTCTGGTCTTGATGAAGCTGAAGCTGACATGCACGTGAGACTTGGTGTCACCATCACCTGAGCTCCTCAACAACCCGTCATGGCAAGACTAGAAGAGATTTCCCTCCTCTTTTCTTTGCGGTTTTCCTCATGTAGTTATTTTTTGATGAAGCTGAAGCATCTGATGAAGATTGGGTGGAGATAGGGAGGTGGAGGGGTGCGTTACAGCAGCTTGAACTTCAGAGGGACAACCATTTTCAAAAAGACACAGCAGTGAGATGATGGGCTAACGTACCGGTTTTGTCGCGCTAGTTGGAAGGAAAAGACCGGATGATCTGAACAGCTGATATTGTGATTGATGTGGTGGAAATGTGTGGATTAAGCCCAGAAGTATCCTAAACTCGCTCGTGATTAAGTATTCATCAATACAGAAATCATCAACACAAGCTATAAGTACAGACAGAAGTCAAATGACTTAATTCAGCGGAAAAGGGACAGATTGTTCCTTCTGCCTCAGAGGAGCAGGAAGATCTGGCCAAGCTTCTTGGTGTAAGAGAAGCTTTAACAAGGGACAAGGGAGTTTCAGTTGGAAACGCAGATGTCGTAGGAAAACACCCCGTCCCTCCCTTAATGTGACCCAGGCAATCATTTGCTAACAGACAGAAGGAAAAGCATACATTGGTTCCAGCTGTAATAACAGAGTTTAGGTCACAGGTTTCCCAACAAGGTCACACGCCCAGTTTCTGAGAAACTCACAATGTGCGGATCGAAAATTCTCCAAAAACACATTCACAGCCCCGAACAATGAGGAGGCAGCAATGGGTGAACCTGCGCGAGGATTGACTGGAAGACGCATGGAACTTCATTAGCGGACTCAACTCAACATTATGATTTAGAAGAGAGACGAAAGTTCGCGTTTTTGGGGGGCCACAAAAATGTGTAGGGGTTAAAGCATCCGAGTTTTCTGAACTAAGAAGAAGAAGAAGAGATGCGTAATAAACATTACGGACTAACGGGAAGAGCAATCCGAGGCCTCCCAAATAAACTGTCATCACTCCGCGCCACAAACAGACACTTGTGTTGCAGCAGTTTTCTCTACGGCACCAATAATGTTATGAAAAAGCAAAATGGCTGACGTGCTTTCAGACTCGGGTTTTACTGAGGAAGTGAGGTGAAAGCTTCTCTCTCTGCTGCTCACCAGCCAGTGATGTTTCTGCTAATGTTAGCGCAGGATGTTTGCATATTGGATAAACATTAACAACATCTGGCGGCGGACAGAAGGGGTTTTCTCCTTCTTCCAGGGGAGCACAAACAGGCTCGACTTCAAGGCTCTCCCTTCCTCAAAGCCTCATTCAGCACTAACACAACGCACTCCTCCCCCCCGACTGCCCTGCAGTGGATTCTTTTTCTGTGTTACCATGGTTACCTTACAACCAATTACAATATCCTGTATTGCAGGTGAAACAGCTCCACTGTGCCTTCAGTGCCTGTTAGGACAACCAGAAATAAACAACCATGGTAGGTGCGGTGGTTGGACTCCTGGCAAAATGAATGTTTGAAATGTTGAATGTCTCTCATGAATTTTCATTTGCATGTGTTGTTTTTACTGAGCGTGATATATTATCATACATCAACAATATATTATCATAAAACCCATGGGCCTCTTTCTGTTCTGCATGCAGCTGGAAATTAAATTATCACTGCTATACGAAAACCAGAACAGATATTGAAAGGGTTTCCCCCCCAAGTGATTTATCATATAATTCATTGAGGGAATGTAGAAACAAATATATGACAGAAATACTTACAATTCATCTAATACCTCATGTGTCTGCAGTAAGTATCTAACAGAATGTTGGAATGTGGTCATCTAGAAAGCAGTGGGGGACAGTATTGTAGTATTAGTAGTAGTATTGTAGTATCTTCAGGTCAGCAGTGCACACACACCTGGACACATCTGGGGAGGAGGAAGACATTGACACTCTCTGGCCTGAGACATTGTCACAAACAGTTTGATCCTCGACTCTCTCAGAACTCTCAATTGAGGTTATTTACCGTAAACATATTTAAAAGTTCCTCACAAAACCAGTTTATGTGTAAATTAAAAGTTCGACAGAATTGCCCATCTGGTGACAGTACGTTTGACTGGGCACACTGGGCGACAACATCACCTCATTGCCTTCAAATGCATCCAAAGATAATTAAAAAAATAATAACTGTTAGACAGTTACATTTGCGGTTGACCGCAGTCCAGATGTGCAGAGCACCTCCACTCCACCCCCGCGCAGCGACGTGAGCACGCAAAGCCGAGGCAGCTGCGTCAAATCGTAGAGAGACAACCGCGCAGATACGAGAAACCAGACGACGTCCCCTTCAAAATAAAAGGCTGCCATGTCGAAAAATAAAGTAACACTTTTTTTAGTTTTAGTCAAAGAAAAGCCTTATTAAGTAAGTAGGTAAGTACAACCAATGGTCAACTGATCAGATGCAGCGTTGATTGGCCCTGCACACCTGCATTTGCTGGTCTGAGACACCATCAAGTGCTGTGAAGGTTGTCGCTATTGATTGAATAATCTAAACATGGATTTTAATCAGGCGTCTTTCACTTTGAGCAATGAATGCAATGAATGGAGCAATGAAAATTGTTTGTTTTTTTGCAATTTTATTTTACCCCTGTTTTTTTATTGTATTATTTTTACCGTTTTTTTTCTCCAACCTTTTATTCCTATAACTGGCAACACTGTATCCACTGTGGTCTGTTTCATGTTTCTGTCTGTGTTGTTTTAATCTATGTGTCGCACTCTGGGCTGCATGTTTTTGAGATTTCAGGAGTTTTGAAGACCAAAACAGATCTCAGACGAATGAATTGAATTTCGTCAAGCAGCACTTTTACCGGAAACCGTCAAGTGTAAAACACGACAACCCGCCGGCCAAGTGACTCTGTCCGCGCCGCTTGTCCCCTCTCACGTGGGGGACACGGGCGAGGGGGGGGGGGAGTCACCGAACCTCCACACTGCTCCACGTTTGGCTTACTTCACCCTCCCTTACCGGAAGCTGTGCGTCCTCACTGCGCGCCTCTTGACGCTGACCAGCGAAGGGAGAGAAAAAAAACGAAGCAGAAGAGCGAAACATGGCGACTTCGAACAATCCGCGGAAATTCAGCGAGAAAATCGCTCTGCACAACCAGAAGCAGGCGGAGGAGACGGCGGCGTTTGAGGAAGTGATGAAGGACCTCAGCATCACTCGGGCAGCGAGGGTAACGACGCCGCATCGCGCGCGCGCGCGCGCGTGTGTGTGTGTGTGTGTCTGTGTTTTTTTTATTTTTTATTTTTTGAATGTTGTCTCCCACCTTCTTCGTTTGTTTTCATCGGGCTGTCAAAATGTGCATTTTGTAGCGCGGAGGCGCGCGCAGGCAGCGCGGCGTTTGGTAAACAATAACAAACGGCCAGCTGGAGCCGAACCGCCGCAGCTGGCGGGAGGGGACGGTCCTGTAGAGGAGGATGTAAATGACAGAGTCCCTCTTCCGGAAGAAAAAAAAAAAGTTATTACATTTCTTGTCCCACGCAAGTGGACAGCAGAGGGGCGTGCGTGCGTACTTGACAGCGCGCGTCCTAAAACTGCAGCGAGGATGTTTTGCTTTTTTTTTTCTTCTTCTCATCTCGCGCTTTCAGGGAAGAGGGCGATCGATCCGAAAGATGTTCCCCGAGTGCAATAGAAACGTGCATGTGTGGGTTGTTGTCGGCAGGTGATGGCAGTGATCCGCGCCGTGCTTTGTAAACTTGTCTTGCAGGTCTTCGGGCCTGTGCGCGCTGCAACGTGACTAGACGTTCACGTCAAAGATGAAAGCTGGCAGATTATGTAGAAATTTAAGCCACATACAGTACAGGCCTGCAGAATAAATCCACCGGAGGCAGGGATTCGGTACTGACTGAAGCTGCTGGGTGAGAGCGCGATGGGCACACGGATTCAGACGGAGAGGGAATCAGAACCAGTGATATCCTGCTGCTACAGGATGGTTTTATGAAAAAAAAAAAAATCTCCCACCGAGTATTTTCCCCATAAGCCATTTGATATGTCATAGTATAAAAAGGACCAGTGTAAATATTACACTTAACGATAGCGGATTTCCATTTAGCTGCTTTTTTATTGGGGTGATGATGTCGTGCATGCCAGCGTGTTTATCTTTTTAGTAACACATCCGGTTACAACTCAAATTAGCAAATTAGCTTCTGTTTTAGAGTTTCATCCTTCTCGCTGCCCCCACTGCACACCCCCTTCTCCCCACATCCTTTCCCTCTGCTCCTTTCTTGGTTGAAAATATTTGTATAGCCCTCTTCCTGTAACAAGTAATCATTTTTCCTCTGAGTCTGCAACGATTTGACTAAAGAGAAGAACTCTGAGGTCAAAATCTTATCAAGCTACACCAGTGATGCGGGCATAGTAATTGTTATTATTTGATTTTCTGACCTGCCTACATTGAGCCGTGGGCTTGCATGAGAAAATGTGATCGACCGGTTGTGGAAAACCCTGTTGTAGGGCTATTTTGCCTTTGGAAATTCACCCATGTGCGTGTTTGGTCCAAGTTGACGCGCTTTTCTTCTGCCTAAAGATGCTTACATTTAAAATGCATTAAATTCACATTGCACCAATTTGATGACAGCATCAAAAGAAGATGTCTAGTGAAACAGACAACATCAATAAGCACGGTGATGCCTGCTGTAAAACACAATTATAAGACATGCGATTATGGTTGGATTACTATAAACCTGTAGAAATTACCCCATTTGCAATATTTAGCTCTTTTTAAATGAAATATGTTAAAAGCTCCATCCGCTTTTTATGTGGGCCTGTTGTGTGTTTTTATCCAGTCTGTAGTTTTTCTTTCACTGTGGCCTGAACTTGACCCGATATGCATGCAGTGGCCTCTTGTCTCACCCGGTAAATCTCTGCTTCTAGCTACAGTTTCAGAAAACTCAGTACTTGCAGCTGGGACCGAACCGCGGGCAGTACTATGGAGGATCTTTGCCCAATGTCAATCAGATTGCAAACAGCGCTATGGATATGTCTTTCCAGGTGAGGGGGTATTTGTTGGTAGTTTTACATTTTCTCTCAGTAATTTGCATTGAATGTTCTTAAATTAACATTACATTTGCTTTTTTAGACAGCAGGTTAATGAGATCCTTGTTTCCCGGGTTAAATACTCTACACAAGAAGTGGCGTACTTAATATTTATATACTGTATGTAAGCAACAAGAGCACTTTGTGTAGAATAAATGGTGGAAGACTGCGTCAACCGAGCGACTAAATGTCTACATTATGTGTCTGTTTTTATACTTAACTGGGTTAAGTAAATAACTGGGTATTTTCCCAAAACATTTTCTCCATCGCCATGAGAGAGAGAATTTAGCCATTACCACAACTTCTCAACCATGTGAGATGCTGGGATTAATATTGATTTCTAAGAGGCGTATTTCCTTCAACATCTGAAGTGAATATTTTCTGTGTTAACCACATATTTGTGCTTGTCTTTTTTCTCCCAACATGCACTGGAACCGCAATCCTTTGCTCTAGGCATCTAAAGATATCGAAATTTGACACTGAGATATGGAATTATTTTACTCGAATCAAAAAGCTGATCTGTACATAAAATATAGGAGCTTGCTTTTACCTTTTCTTTTACTTGTGAAGAACACATTCTGTGGCGATTGAGATATAAAGGTAAATCTGGAATGTTCATCTAAATGATTTTTGTATTTGCGTTTAAAAGCATTTTCATATTCCCGATCGTTCTACATGCAGCTTGTTTGACGCAAGTGCTCAGATCCCGGGTTTATTTTCAAGGACAGTGTTACGGAGGGAGGCTATATGCTCAAACTTGCTTTTATTTTAATTAACGACTTAAAAGCTTAAGGCTGGATTTATTGGTGTCATTTTCGGTACGATCCAATGCAGCAAAATGGTGTCGGAAACCCTCACGTACACAAAACTGACCGTGAACTGGAAAGTAATGCATTTCTGTTTTCCTCTCTTCGTTTGTCAGAATTCAGGGCTGGACACGAACCGATCGACGCGGCACCACGGACTGGTGGACAGAGTCTACCGAGACCGGAGTCGCATCGCATCAACCCACCAAAAACCCCTGTCGATCGACAAACACGGACGCCAGATATCCTTTGATACCGTCTGCTGACCACGCTGCTTATGGTCATTATGAGGGTGGATGCAGTATTTTTGGCAGAAAGATGTCTGGTGTTCTGCTACATGGGATGACTGGACTGCTAATAATGACTTGTATTATACATAAATAAACTTAAAAAGATATGTGTTGTTATGTAGGGTTTCTTCACTCCGTTTACAGACATGCCTAAATGTCTCTGGTGGATGTTACACTTGTTCTTTATGGTTGCAGAATTATTGAACTTGTTTTCGCGTGCTTGTAAACAACTTCTCCTTGCAATAAATTAAAGCAAAACAATGACACGTGTTTGGGATAAGCGGCATGTAAATGAGTTGGTGAGTATTGTGGATTAAGCCTTGACAAATATCAGCGTGTGATGTGAAGCTCACTGCGCATATTGCCTCACTTTCATTTTGTGTACTGCTTGTGTGAGTCCATCAAATGTGCAAAGACTTCCAGTCTCCAGCTGTATTTTCTTAACCTGCGCTCTCACATTGACAGCTGTCCATATGGTTCAGTATATCTGTCCCCACCACCTGATACCAGCTGGAGAAGGTAAGGCTGTTTATCCCATTAGATTAGATTGGATTTAATTCATTTTATTTTATATAGTCACAAATATCACAAACCTCATTGTTTTTACAACGACCATAATCCATCAATTGTCTAAAAAAAATAAATAGTGAAAGACATCTACTGCAGCTTCCAGAGTTTTGCTGTACAATGCACTTTGTGATATGTTCTTTATTATTATTCCTGTCCTGCAGGACAAACTCTGACTCAGCACTGCACCAGAGCACACTAGCTCCTTCCCAGCAGGCCTCGTTCACTGGAGGATCACAGGAGCTCCAGCCAAAAAGAGGTATGCGTTGTCTCAATGCACGTCAATGTTAAAGTGGTGAAATTTTGACCACTAGGTTGAGATACAGTCAACAGTGTGTTACCGTAAGCTTTTATTCATTTTCTGTGGTATTTTACTGCCTTTTCTTGGAGGTTCAGTCGTTCGTTTGCGATCGACTTTTTGTGAAGCGTCTGAAGAATTTTACTGCTAATTAATAATTATTTAAATTACACAAGCAGTTTTATTGACTTTTTATTAATCTCTTCTGAGACATTTTTGGGGGTTTTGCCCATTATTGCCGTTCAGTAAACTTGAACGGCATTCAGTAATGCCGTTCAAGTCCTTGCTCTCTTAATGTCACGTCCATGTTGCTTTTCATTTTACTCCGGTCTCCTTTCTTCTTGGTGCCTTTGCTTGGATCATATTAACTGTGGACATGTGGGCTGCGATTATTCAAAGGTCAGTGTGGAAATCTGTAAAGCCGAGAGACTAAAGAGATTTTTGATGTTATTTTGCCATCTCTCCAGTTCTCCTGCTCACCGTACCGGGAGCTGAAGCAACCAAACAAGAAACTGATGAAAATGGACAAAACCAGAACTGGGAGTGCTCAAAGGTACTTTTTCCAGGTTTCTTTTTTTCTATAGTTACATTGGTTTTCATCACCTTATTACCTTTTTCTCTTTGTAGAACAATTCAAGGTCTGAGCCCTGTGAAGTTCCAGGGATCAAGTGAGTATTTTAAAACAATTTTTTGTAACTGGTGTCAGTAAACGTTTTCCTAAATCCTAATCTTTGATGGTGAAATGTAAATGCTTTGATATTGGGTGCACTATTTATGCTATTGTCCTTCATTTTCATTCATTCTGTCAAATCAACGAGGCAATCATTTGCAATAGCACCACTGGCCAGATGCATGATGTCCAAATGTCTCTGCAGTTGTCCGTATTAGAAAACAAAAAGAAAAGTTTTGTTTAGTAATATGATAATTAGTGTTTAGGTTTGCAGGCCTTCATTTTGTCGTTGCCATCAGCCAGCTGGTTGTATTTGGCTTGTTCTCGACCTCACGGCACTATTATTCTGTTTTCTGCAGCATATTCCCGTCTCCTGACCAGCAGATGACCACATCACTAAAACCAGCAGCCCACAATACTGGCGGTTCTCTCCCTGACCTGACCAACATCCAGTTTCCTCCTCCTCTGCCGACCCCGCTGGACTCGGATGATGCAGCGTCCGCCTCGTTCAGCTCCTCCAGCGGAGCGCAGACGCTGGCTAACACGCAAGGTAACACCGTGCACCGCTCGCATTTAGCCACAACCTGTGCTGTGCTCAGAGATGTGGATACAGGATCTTTTTTTGGTTTAAACATTGGGAACACTTTTGCTTTTTTTTTTGTGTGTACTGGGTAGGAGGGAACACCTCTGAGCCCACAGTAACCATGGAAATGCAGACTGGGCAGGACGACATGGTTCCTCTCATCCTGAATGCAGGAGACTCCCACCAGCATCAGAACCTGCAGCTCTCCCCAACATCTCCGCCTCTCACTCTCTCTCAGGTGCAGCAGACTGATCCGTGCCGTGACCTCGGCTCTCCCGAGAGAACCGATCACGTCGGATTGTTGATGCCATTTAGTTCAGACAATTCCCGGCAATTCGCATTCACGTCAATTTTTGTGTTATGGTTATGAGGTTATGAGGTTATATTGTGATGTAAATATGCCTACATTTGTGGCTTATAAGAGGAATATATGTCGCTTTGCTCCCCAGGCGGCCATTAACGCCATGAACCTTGAGCAGCAGCTGGCCCAGTACGCCTTTTTCAGCCAGCAGCCGTCGTCCCAAACACACCAGAGCCAGCAAGTAAGTTTCTCTCCAGCATTCAATCTATTAGTTCCTTGATTCTTGCGATCGCAACTATTCAGTTCTACTACTCTGTAAATGACATGCAAAAATGTCAAATAATTGCAGCGTTTATGCTTGTAGTTACTGTAGAAAGCTTGATTTGAACCACTGCTGTTTATGGCAAAACATAAAACAAAGAACTCCTGTTTAATGTGTAAAAAATCATCCTCTTAGCAAATATATTAATGCCAAAGGGATTTTATTAACCTCAATGCAAAAATAAATCTGCTCATTAGGATGTAGCATTAAAATCCATCAAAATATTTTACACTTTGGAAGCTCTGAACCTTTCCACAGATGAAGGTCTTTGATCACAATTTGCTCTGCGGCACAGTAGCAGCGGTTCATAACAATGTCATGATTCAAAATATAATTTGTGTGTTTATTCAGGAGTTAAAACACGAGGCCTCTATGATTTTCTTATTCTGTTCTGTTATTGTTATTTTCCATCTATACAGATATCAATTATTGAGAATGAAACATTTGACATAACGTTGACATGAACACATAATGTAAACAAATCACCTATGAAAGTGTAGTAGTCAAACACATGGACAAGATATTTTAGATATTGACGGTTTACTGATAAACATCAAATTGTCAAACAGCAACAGTAAAAAAAGATTATTGAAAAGTTTAGAACTAAACCACTGGAACGTCCCTGTGTGGCCAAAATATACATAATAATGCATGTATAGAAAATTAGTTTTACGTGTCTGCCAACATGCTATAAAAGCATATAGTGATGGACTTAATCTTGATAATTTAACATTAATGAATCACATCTGTAACCGTGCATTTTATTTTTCAGCAGATAGGTCTGGTCCAGCTGCACTCCTCTGGAAACTCCTGCTCCACGTCAGACAACCAGTCATCCTCGCAGGCCGACATGACCATGGACATGAACACGGTGAGCGACCGTCTGTCTGCAGCACACCAGCGTCATCATGATGATGACTGGATCCTCCCGCTCGGTTCCCATTTCCTTCCTGAAATGAGTTTCTTCAGATTGGCATCAGTGCTTTTGTCTCAAAGCTACACGCCGACCTTTCAAAGTTGTGTTTCTTTCTTTCCTTTGCATTTGTTTGGGCAGTACGAAGTCTAGTACAAATTTACAAACAAAAGAAAAACAGCACGGAATCTAAATGGTCTTGCAAGGCCCTGTGATTCCTTCGGATCTTGGCTGGTGCTGTTGTTCTGCTGCGGTGGGAATGTGCGTGTGGATTACTGCAGAGAGGACGAAGTGGCCTGCGCTCTCTTGCTCTCGCTTATTGCAGCGTGAGTTCAAGCGAAACATTGTGAGGAAACACAGCAAGACACCAGCTTAATCTTCCTTTCTCTTATTTTAACCACCATGATTTCAATATATTTCTATATTATGTGACAGAGGGGGCTTTAGATGTTTGACTTCATTTCTAAGCCGTAGATTTGAGGTTTAAAGCAAATCCAGTCACAGCCAGATAATGGAAAATAATTCCTTTGATTTATTGAGATTTCAAACAAGTCTGATAGGTACTAGTTAATGTTTCTACAGGCCCTGAACTGCTTCTCTATCTCATGCCACACATATTTTGGTGTCCATCAATTGATTAGGAATGGGGAGAGTTTATTTGTTATTTGCAAATATGAATATCTCTTTTGATTTTGTCGGATATGTAAATTGAAAAAAGAGCAGACATGACAGAACACAACAAGGGGCTTTCCTCTCCTAATTAATCCCCTGGAGCTTTCTGTGACAGCTTTAGATGTGACATGTGATGCGTGGTGGTCGTCGACTTTTTAACCATGCTGTTGTTCAGCATTCAATTCTGTCACGCCGGGTTACGACCATTAAAAACAGTGAATGGAGCTCTGATTCCTCAGGTCACGCTGGCAAAAGGTGACCCGGATAACCCGCAGTAACATGAGCAAACGCTCCACACTCGGGCAGAAAGAAGAACATCCTCCAATGTGAATAACTCCAACGTATCCTCTTGTATCAGGCCTCGTCCCTCCAACAGTACCGCAGTAGGGTCGGATCCTCCGCCAATCAGTCTCCAACCTCCCCCGTCTCCAACCAAGGCTTCTCACCTGGAGGTTCGCCTCAAGTAAGGGCGTGTGAAGCAGTGAGCTGCCGCTGGCTCGCGCTGTACCAACGTCACCGTCCCCTGCATCGTAGTCCTGTGGTTATCGTTGCCATGTAGGACTCTGTGGCTGCCCGCCCCCCCCCCCCCCCTCCCAAAGCTGCTTGTGTTGTGTTGACATTAGCAGATCTGGGCAAAGAAGAAAATGAAATATGTCCGTTTGTTTTCGAGCGCTTGAGTAAATCAGACCACAAACAGGACAATTATTTATTCATGTGTTTAATTACATAGTTCTATAAATGTGGAAGACAAAAAAGTGTTGTTAACAAGAGTGTCTTCTTATATCAGTATGCTTTAAGGTGACTCTTTTTCACAGATTTTACCAGCAGGTCACAGCAGGTCATTCACAGGCGCTTTTTTTTTCAATGGAGGTTTTACATTATACACAACAACATAATCATCGTTATTGGCTACACTGTGATTAAATGAAGTAAAGCTTTACATTGTCAAGACTATCAGGAATCATTCCTATAGAAAAATAATGCATCACAGTTCTGCATTTTGAAAACCATTTCCTGAGTCCTCCCATGATCACAGTCATTGATGTTACAGAGATGAGGTCGTCCCGGTTTTGCCCAGATCTGACCCCCAGTCTCTTTAAGCACTAAGTGTCATCGGTGTGTTGTTCTGTAGCCACGTCCCCCAACCTTCCTTTCTGCTGCTTTTGTGGTATTTGCGTTGCATCTCCACTGTATCCTCCCAGTCTTACTACACAAAACCACAGTTCTTTTATGCGTTCTTTTATTTTAATTTTAGAAGAAGCTGCTAACCCTTCTGATAAACTGTACCTCATTGCAGGGTGGTGCTTTAAAATAAACAAAACACACCAAAAGGAAAATAAGGATCAGGGCTGTTAGTCTACATCAAATCTGAGATTTGACACCCTGGCATTGTGCCGTATATGTATATCATGCACAGGAGTGTGGGATTGTGTGTGTGTGTGTGTGCATTTGTTTTTTACTTGTGTGTCCTGTTGAGCTGAGGTAGCTCACGTGTAGCGCTGAGGTTATCCACGGGCTAAACCACAGCTGGCTGCTGTATGCGCCATTATTCTGCTGTGCCCTGTGGGGACATCTGCAGCATACACAGATAATTTGGTTTTGGACTAGGAGGAGCACGGGCTGAGAATGTGATCCAATTACTTATACATTAAGAGGCCGCGATGAAAAAGGAGAACTTCTGTGGCTGGTTCAATGAGGACATTCAAATGAGGAACTTGAAGGGAATTAGCTGGCGCTGGATGAGTCAGTGAAGGGACATTAAAGTCACAGAGGGGATTTTATTAATTAAAACACCAAGGGCAGGAGGCAGCAGAGGAAGCTCAAGTGGAAGGAGTTGCCTTTTTGAAGCCTGTATCCTTGTCCTGAGCTGGCTGATTTTTGACATTTGTATGAGCATTCTGATATTTGGGCGGATGGTTTGGACTGATTTTTATTTACACAATTAATCAAGTCCCTTGCTTATTTACTTGCTTTCTCATTCATTTGTTTTGTAATTTATTTACCAGAAAATGTGTCTTGTTTTTGCAGGTTTTGAATAATATTCCTAGTATTGGAATAGGAAGGCTGCCAAAGTGACAATTGTCTTGTTAGTAGCTCCCTCTCTGAATTATTCACTGCAAATTCTGGAAATACTGCAAGCACCGCAGGAAGTGATTTAGTTTGCATTAATATTTCAAACATTAGTCTTCAAACTCCTCAATGCGTTTTTCACATGTTTGGTGTCTCAACACCCATTGAAAATGAAGCAGTTTAATTTTGTGTTTATCACATGACTTTTAACTGCTTCTTCTGGTTGTGACAAATATTGTGACATACATGAACAGAAGGCCGTGAACTGTTAAACTCAAGTTACCCAAACCCAAAAATTCCATTTCCAGATGCTGCCTGGTGATATTTGTTCCTCCAGCATTGTTCCTGCTTTGACTGTGTCTTCTTCATATTCCACAATTTATGTTATGTGTATAACTCCTGCAACCAGGACGAAGTATGTTCATAGTTGACGCTCCACACTGGGAGATGGGAGGTTTTTTTTTATCAGAATGTAAACAAACAGATGTGGCCTGTTTGTTGTTGCAGCATAACTCCATACTGGGCAGCGTGTTTGCAGACTTCTACGACCAGCAGCTCCCGTCCATTCAGGCCAGTGCTCTCTCTCAGCAGGTACAGTGTGTGTTCAGCTCTCAGCTTTCTCTCGCTTTGGAACGTTTCACATGTTTTTTAACAACTGCGACCTTTATTCTTGTTGTGATTGCCAGTTGGAGCAGTTCAACATGATTGAAACCCCCATCAGCTCTGACAGCCTGTATAACCAGACCTCCACCCTGAACTACTCCCAGGCGCTTATGATGGGTTTGACTGGCGGCCACTGCAGTCTGCAGGACCAGCAGCTGGGCTACAGTAGCCATGGAAACATCCCCAACATCATTCTCACAGGTGCTGCTTCAACGTTTGATGTAGCTCACTTAAGTCTTACAGCAGGTGTCTTTCCTATGATTTCGTATGTCTTAATACAGGAATAGTTTCCCAGGCAAAGTTTTAGCTTGAAGCAATCTAGCATTGTTGTAAATCTGCAATGAGAGAGTAATATATTTGCAGGTAATCTTTAAAGCTACTGACACTTTGCTCCATTCACCAGCTCGCCTATAAATCCAGTTATTTTCCAGGTCTATAGGCGCACACATGCAACATCCAGACCGAGCTTACGGTCAATTACCTTCCTAAGTATACGACAAATGATAAACCTGGTAATAATAAACCTTTTTACATTTTATGTAACAAGATGTTTCCCTTCCGTTGTTTGTGAAAATTAGCAGCTTGTTGTTAGCAGAAATGTGTAATTAAGATTGCTGCCAATCATGTGTTTTATAGTTTTAATCGGCGAGCCTTCCCTCCACCCCTAAAAACCCCTCAAAGACATAAAAGATCATTTTAATGAGATTTTCTCACATTTTCTGTCTCGCCTCTGCTAAGTGAGCGGGGAGTCCCCCCCCAGCCTGCCCAAGGACCTCACTGGCTCGTTGTCCACGGATATCAGCTTCGATGTGGACTCCCAGTTCCCATTGGATGATCTTAAAATAGACCCGCTGACGCTTGACGGCCTTCACATGCTAAACGATCCGGACATGATCCTTGCTGACCCCGCCACAGAGGATGCGTTTCGCCTGGACCGGCTCTAACCGCCGCACCACCTCATGCCCAGGTGTGTCGATGCTGCTGCCCTGAGAGAGGGGGGGGGGGCATACCTGAGAGAATAAGGATCCACGAGGAGCAGCTCTCTGGAGGGTGCTGGTCAACACCTCGTCTGGGCAGAGCTCGGATTTCACGGCAACCAACTCAATGCAACCCTGCAGGAGAGCATTTGAACGCGTTCAATTGTAATTGAAAGACTGGAAACTTTGACAACTGGGAAGAGTTTACGGCTGATGACAAGTTACGGTATGAATGACCTTCACGGTTGTGTCGCAACAAATTACACTTTGAATTTTGATTAATTTTCCGATATCCTCCTTCGATGACTGACTAAACCACGTCAGCAGAGTGAACCCTTAACAATCTCCAGTATCATATACCTGTAAACACAGAGATTGATGACTCGGAGGAAACACAAGCTTAACCTCCCTTTGTGCCCAGCTAGATTGCTCTCAGCAGTGCATTCAGTTTGGATATCACTTTAGTGCAAATCCCTGTGTAGTTTGTCATAGAGGCCAATCTCAGGCCTAGTTTGATTTTTCCCAAAGTTTTTAGTGGCGATGAGTCACTATTTTGCTTGTTTTTAGGAGATGCTGATTTGACCTAATTTTAGTTTTAACATAGTAAATAGCAGCCATGACTTATGCATGAAATCACAAATCACTGTGCATACTTGTTTTGCCTTAATAGCTTGACATTTTGGTTTTCTTGCAAAGATGACTATTATGTAAATGGGAAAAATTCAACTGTCAAGTCATTGTTGCTGTTTTATAAGTGGTTCGGCTCGCATATTTCATAGTTGCATTGTATTTTTGAGGTGCGCTGATCTTTATCCATTACTTCATCCATTGTCAATACCATATCATTTTTCACGCATCAGTCAAATCTAAAAGGATGAATTGGTACATTTTAGGGATTAGATGTTTACATTCTTGTTTCGTTTGATATTTTACATGTACAGAATGTGATTAGATTTTGCGTAATGGTATCTATGCAAAACTACAGCGATTGGTTTAGGACTGTAAAATGAAAAAGATAAAAATTAACCATTTCAAAAAGAAGCCAATGGGAGAGGTCCCTATATAGAATGCACAGCAAAGGTTATATTTCTTTTGATATTTTTGAAACTCTTTTCCTCTCAGACTGGTACGGTGTAGAGAAAAAGGCTCGGTGTGTGTGTCATAGAGTAGAAGCTCTCCTGGTTTACTCCCAAAGATGTGACCTCAGTGTAGTTGATATATATATATTTTTCCAGACAATTGAACTATCTCTATACTAGAGCAGCATTGTTGATGCAATGAGAATGTATTTAGGTCGCATCTCTACAGCTGTGTTGTTGCCATCTTGTCATCCTCATTGCCTCGTATATCTAGCCTTCATGTACGGTAGGACCAAATATATTTCACCTGTTATTTTCTTCTCCCTGCAAAGGAGATGTGACATAATGTTTGATATTTTACTTTTTATTTATTTTCAAAGCACTAAAGTGATAATGAACCGTTTCGTCGTCTTGCTCGTGTTGTCCGTGCCCTTTATCGATGCCCTCCATGTCTCTCCGACTGTTGGTTCTGCATTTATTTGGTTTAAGCATTTGCTCTTTAAAAAGTCCACTGTGTTTGGGAGTGGATCATAACTGTCTCATCCCTCATATTGCACTTAATATATTTATTTAAAACACTGATTTACGAGAGTATACGTACCAAACCCCCCTGTGACTGTTATGTGCACTGGACCTGTTTGCCCTGTCTTTGATTAAACTTGCCTTCTTGTAAAAAAGAAAAAAGAAAAAAAGAAATATATTTAAAAAAGCTCAATTAACTTATAGTTATTTTTGAAAATATACAGATTTGAAAAAGAGTTTCTACCTAATCAGTCCGTATTTTGTTAGTAGTCCACGGTTACAGTTTTTCTGGATTTTGGGAAACATTTGTATTTTGGAACGGTGGTTATCAAAGGAGTGTCAATCACGTCGCTGCTGCTCTTTCTGCTACTGACAGCAGGTTGGAGGAAATAGATATAGAAAAACGTGTGTAATTAATGCATTATTTGCAGATGAAAAGTGTATTAATAAAAAAATGCAAGGACAGTCAAGTGGGATTCTCACATGAGTACATTTGAAACGTGCGTGTTATCACAATATCGTGCAAATATAGTTATTTCTAAAATTCATGAATATTTTACACTAAAAAAGGGAATTCTGTAACTGGAACATTGTCTTTGTTGATGTGTGCCAAGGTCCTCTAGTGCCAGCGTATCCCACCATTATTCTCACATAATGTAACTTTAAAAATGTCAGTCAGCAAAAATGTTAAAACTAAATTGTTGAGCTTAAAGATTTTCCCTATTTTTTTTAAAATAAATCACATTTCTTAATTTTGTATCTTTTCTTTTCTTCATAATTTTGTGACGGCATGGACATCTACACGTTTCTCCCTCTACGGCTTGGGTTTTATTTTCTTTCAAGGGTGGAGTGGACTTTGTCAGCGTTTTGAGTTTCTTGTTCGGTAATGTCCTTTGTTCAGCGTCATGTGTGGACTAATGTATCTGCTAAGTGAAGCCTAAAAGCATCGGAAAAATGGTTATCAGCCTTTTATGCACATGTAGGAGCTTTTGATTGGTTTTACACTGCATAATACTGTATGTGCTTATTTTCTGTGCAGCACCAACAGAGGTAAATTATGTCATGGTAAATCTAGACTAGCTTTGTATATTGCTGTATGGTAGGAATAATGTTATTCGTGCTTTATGTGATATGATGTCAAAGTGAGAAAATGCACTGAGAAATACTGCGCTGTAACATGTCATGTGGCTCGATATTTTCTGCTGGACCTCAGACTTTAAAGAGAGCCTGAAATCTTTGTAGGTCCGTTTTCTGTTTTGATCTTTTTTTGTGCTCATGTAGATAGCTCTGATGTGTCGCCTGTTACTGCCACCTCTTTATGCATCAATGATAAGGCATTCATTGCTATTATACCAGTGTTTACAGAGACAAGAGTTTACGACAGAGCAATGTTTGTTTACGCTCCATAAAATGTTTTTGTTGTGATTGTGGAATTGGAACAACTTGCAGTGTAGAATAGCAAACTTACTTTGCTATTTAGATTCACCAGTGAATCAGTAATGTAATTCCAATACTATGCCCTAAATAATATATTTCATTACGTTAATTCGTTATATTTTCTTTGGTCTTTGTTCACAAGCATTTCAGGCCCTGAAAAAAACTTTTATTTCGATTACAGACTTTTATGTCTTAGAAAATACACTTACTATCTACTTTTCTATGAGCAGCCACATGCCATTAGAAGTTAACACGTTTTTTAACAGAACTATTGACGGTAATATTTAGATTTTATTAAATTTAGTTTTATAGTAAGTCTATCATTCACACTGTATAGTCTTTTAGTATTAATTAACAGTTGAATCAGAAAGCCAAAGTACAAAACAGCCATAAATAAGAGAATATTTAAGCATTTTATTCCTCCAACTGTTGAAGAAACCTTTCCCATGTTTTTCAAAATATTGTACTGGGGTACGAGTTCTTTCATATATCAACTATGAACGTATGAATACATTGATTACATTGAACATTATTGAATAAATTATTCCATCATAACTTAAAGAGATGCGACCGACATACCTACCCAGGAATCGCTTTCCTGCGTGATGCTGAATTACAAAATATCTCAAAAAATACCTTGAAATAAGAAAAATCAGAAGCAAATATTGTGCAGTCAGAGAGAGAGAGAGAGAGCGAGAGAGAGACATGTTACAACACAAACTGAATCAGAAAGATGAAACCGAGTAATAGTTGTGCAAAGTCACTCACTCCATGAATCCTTTGTGTGCATTTTGAGGACAGCCCGCTGCTGGTTTCAGCCTCATACAATGGCAGCTAAATTGTTATATAATGTTTTTTTGTTTCTGAGAACAGTGATACTATTCCAACCACTGCACATGCATTTTACTGCCGTGAAGGAGTGCACTACGCTCCCAAAGTATGCTCGCAGCAACAGGAAACATTAAGCTCATAGAATATGCAAAATCTAGCATTCTGCAGCACAGCTTGGCAAGTTGGTACTTTTTGAACTAACCCTTTAAAAATTACTCGGTTCAAATCTTGTTCTTTAAATTGTGTGTTTTATATTTAAATTGTCAAATCGGACCAAACGAATCCAAGTTGGCTGTAAATGTTTGCTATATAAAAGATGAATTACGCTTCTGTTTGGACTGTACCTGATGTATTTTTCTTGTGTGAAGGCTTCTGTCTTTGTATCTTTGCATTATTATTTATAAATTAATTCAAAATAAATATACCTGACTAAGCAACAAAGTTACTTATTCTTATTTTTGTCATTAGGTGGACTACAAAGAAAACGAGAAAACAACAAACTAATACTGTATCAACATGATAACAGCCCCCATAATTGGCATAACTCAGACGTTCACCCACTCACAGCATCACGCCCAGCATTACTGAGTTGAAACTGGACATTTTGCATGTGGGATGGGTATGACAAAAGTCATAACAAAAATAAATGAATGCAGGATTCCTGTCTTTTCTACACATATCAGGGATCATGATTATATTCCAAAAGCTTTTATTTATTGGCCTTTATTTATTACAACAGAATCCTGAAATGGGTTTCCCTTTATTGCTTTATTGGCAGAACTCATAAAGCCAACGACAACCTCAGCTAATAAGATGACAAATTAATTCTTCAGTGTCTCAAATTGAAAGGCCCTCAAGTGGCTCAATATTGTCTTTTATCCAATCTGGTCCAGTGATGCAGCATCTTCTCTTTCAACTGTTATTTCCTGTACTGAAACTGAATACCTCCATCTGCTGGTGGAATGCTGCAATATAAAGTCACCAATATTGATCAATTATTATAACCTGCGTGTGGTGGTAAAAACAATGTCATATCACACGTTGATTTGAATGTCCGCCTAGAATGTAACCATATGGTTACACAATGTGATAATATGTATGTAAAATGGCCAAAAGAGATCACTCGTGAGCCACCAACTGATTGATGAACAGTGTTTGATGAGTGTTGCTATTTCTCTTGAGTTTGGCATGTGGTTTTTATACCCGTTGTTCGGTTGAGATCTGAAATGGTTAGTCGAGGCATTGATCGTTAACCACAATTTGCATGATTTAAGAATCGTGTAAGAGGTGTATCAAGCAAAATATTCAATTAAAACCTTGGTTTTAGGACTTTTGATCTGAATAAATAACTCGTTTGAAAATGTGTGATGGACTTTTAGATTACATTTGACATATTTTTCACAGGCTGCTTAAAATTCCGCTACATACCAACGACACATTTATATATATACATATAAAGTGTATAAAACCGCTGGTGCAGCTGGCATCGACAAAGCCTCCGCGGGGTGCACGTGGGTGGGAATGCCCTGGTGCACAGGTAAACGCCAGGGATGTTTGCTTGGTTACGTACCGACGTCAAAGCGCGCACATCGTATCCCAGCATGCAGCAGGAGGCCGTTGAGAGATCCAGCAGCTGGTAGTGAGTTGCTCGAGCAGCCAGCAGGGAGCAACCAACGATCAACACGGAGCGCACACATTTCCCTCTCCATGTGAGAAAAACCTGAGCCGTCTACCGTCTACAGGCGACTGGGGGGAGAAAAAAATATGCCGTTCGGACGCCGGACGTGTTCCCTCCGCGGCCTTTGAGTCATCGTTGTGAGCAGGTTCTCGTTTCGGAGGATTCCTCCCTCCATCCTCCGGATCGCACCGAACAGGCAATGACAACGGTCGCGGCTACCCCGCAGCAGATGAGGGACCGGCTGCTGCAGGCCATCGACAGTCACAGCAATGTGAGTGAAGCTAGCCGGCTAGCAAGCTAAGGGTAGCTTGTTTACCTGAACTCTTGTCAAACTACTCGATGCGGTTATAACATTAGCTGTGAAATAACTGTTACGTTGTTTTGAAAAAAATGCGTGGTTTTCTGTTTTGGGTTGGCACTGACCGGTCGAGTGATTGCGAAAGGTGGAAGAAGCCACACGACTTGACAGCTTGCAAGCTAACTTAGCCGAAGCGCTCCCTCGGTCAGACATCAATCCGGCGTTAGCTGGTGTAGCATGTTAGCGGTTAGCCGTAACGCTAAATGGGATTTAGAGTATGGCTTAAAAGAATATCATGTATACGTGTGCCTTACGCGTTACTCTTAAATGATCGGCGTTTCCTGCTAATTGGTTGGGTATTTGGTTGTAGACCGTCTCCCTTTACTGTGTCGGTACGGAATAGTGGGAAGTAGCTAAGCAACTCTTAGCTCAAATAGCTATGTTACGTTTTAGGAAATAGTCGGAGCCTTCCTTCGCAAAGTAGCTAGCCTAAATGCTAGCGGTAGCCAATTTAGCTAACGAATATCTACCGACACTGAACCGCTCGTAGACGTTTTGACAGAACGTGAAACTTGCTCCAATTAAAGGTATATCTATCGTTGCTTCAAGCTTTTGCTGTAATGTTACGCTTTTAAATGTTGCAATAATCAAGTTCCTTTTGGAGTTGACACCTTGCCATCGTTACTTTTTAACGTGGATTTGAAGCATACAGGGAAGCTAATATTTCCTAAGCTAACTTGCACCCACACGTTGCATGCTGGATTCAATAGCGATAATAGTCTTAACGTTAACACATTACTTTGTAAACCATGTGGGTATCAATTATTCGCGTTGTCTTTATCGGGACTGTGAATCACATACTCATCTACACTGTTAATGTCGCTATTAAGTGAAAACTAAACATTTGCTTTCGTCAATCAACTGTGCATGTGAAGTAATATCAACATTTCTATGTGTTCTCCCTGCAGATATGCAATATGGTGGCTGTATTGGAGGTAATCTCCTTTCTTGAAAAGTATCCTATCACCAAAGAAGCACTTGAGGTAAGACCGCTGATTACATGTGAACTATGTTGAATTCTAATACTGAATTTGTTTCTAACTTTCAAGCCTTTTTTGTATATAGGAAACTCGACTGGGAAAACTGATCAATGATGTAAGGAAGAAGACCAAGAATGAAGATCTTGCCAAGCGCTCTAAGAAGCTCTTACGGACATGGCAAAAGCTGATTGAACCTGGGCCAGCTGTTGCTGCCAGTGCCCCCGGCTCCACCAATGGCAGTTCTCATCCCTGCAGAACCGATGCCTCTCCTCCTGACATTTTGGTGTCCGGGAAGGGAGTCCCTGAAGTCAAAATCAGGAACGACGTTCACAACACATACTCGCCAAAAGCCGAGAAATCAAGCAGCCGCAAACGACGAGCGGATCCCAGGGACAGTGGAGTGCACTTACTGGAAAAGATCTCCAAGATGTCTTCGTTTGACGTCTCGGTTTCCCCACCACCCACCAATGGGATTGCAGGCAGTCCTGATGTTGTGCCTGACCAGCAGGTCACCTCGTCTCCTGACAAATCTCGCCTAGAGCACCTTGATAACGATAAAATCAATAGAATTCCGGTAAATGCTGTCAAGCCTCGTCCTAGCTCCCCCGGAGTGGCCAAACTACCTAGCACTTCCTCTATGATTAAGGTTGCTGTGATGCAGCAACAGACCAGATTGGATGAAGGAGGTGGGGGGGGTTATTACAAAGCCAAAAGTCCCCGTGGCCTCACTTCCAGTCCAAGGACCGTGAAGCAAGAAACCATTAAACAACGCTCATCAACATTTGGACCAAAAGGAACACCTACCCCAAGCCCTTCATCCATGGACTCTCCTTTGTCTTTGTCTCAGCCTGTATCCTCCCCAACCCAAGCTGCATCTGCTGACAAGCTGCCCAACTCTTCTCATAGGTCTTCGATGCACTGGACCAGTTCGTCAGAAGTGCCCTCATATTGTTCACCACAAGACATATCTTCAACACTGGAATCCCCGTCAGTCTCCCCTTTGCCCTCTCGACCACAACACAACTCAGAATTACACAGACCAACTTCTGAGGGGGCCATGCCTGTGTCTGATGACCCAGACGGGACTCCAGTTCCCCACTCGGAGCATAAAAAGAGGAAGTACAGGCCAAGGGACTACTCTGTCAACCTGGATGGCCAGAAAATAGAGGACACATCTAAACCTGTGCGGTTAAAAGAGCGCAGATTAACATTTGATCCTGTCACAGGTCAGATCAAACCTCTGGTACACAGAGAGCCTTCTCAAACAGAGGACGCCTCCACTCCTGACCTTGCGGAGTCTAGGCAGAGAACTGAAAGCACTGTACAACAGCCCGCTGCTCCGATCCTATTCCCAGTCCCGGTCCAAACCCCAACCCCAGCCCCGGTCCCAGGTCCTAGCCCTAATCCTTTCCTTCAAACAAACTGGAAGGAACTGTCCAGAAATGAAATCATCCAGTCCTACTTGAACCTTCAGAGTAATGTGCTGACCTCTTCTGGGGTCCAGGCCCCTAGTGCACACTTTTTCATGTCACAGTATCTGAAAAGGGAAGAACAGGAGATCAAGGACTCCCGGAAGAGGCATGTTCTGCAGACGGACGGTGCAGTAGAGGATTTACCGGGTTTGAGTCGGGAGGTGACAGACGAGGACCTGGACAGGGTTCAGACACAGCACTGGCCCGGTGTGAACGGTTGTCATGACACCGAGGGCGCCTGGTATGATTGGACAGAGTGCATATCGTTGGACCCGCATGGGGATGAAAGCAAATTGAACATCCTGCCATATGTTTGCCTAGACTGAGAGGGTTCGGAAAGGTTGCCGTCTTTTTCCACGCCTATCCTTGTCTCCCCAAAGAGACAAGATACTTTGTGATTTTGTTTGTCCACTGTGTGTTTGGCAAAAGCCAGGCCCGCTAAACTCCCCTCCCATTGCCTCATGTTTCTGTGATGATCTAAATTACATTTTGGTTTCAAAAGAGTTGAGATTAAAATATTGGTTAAGTTTGTAATACCAAGGGCTGTTTCTATTTTATTTTTCAAGCTGAAAGCCACAGGAATGACTCGGCCCTAGTTGCAGTGTGCTGATCCGAACACTGAAGAGGACGGAATTATCCCAGATGATGTGAATTTGATGTTCTATCTCAATTTCAGTCTCACTGGGAGGATGCGGTTTCTTTTTTCGTTTTTTTTTTTTTCCTTTTTAGACCTGTCTAGTTATGTGGAGTTGCGTATGAGGAAACGCCGGAGTTTAGCTGTCCTGTCCACACCGCCACGTCAGTGCCCAGTAAGGTGTTGATAGAGTTCATCTAGCACAGGTAGAGCCAAACATGTCCAAGAGTATAACATCCTGGATCATATTGGGAAGTTACAATAAGCTTTATGTGAGATATAAAGAGTAAATTATAAATTTGTTATGTATACATCTATTTATTTTGACCAGCTCATTCATGGGACGCTCAGAAACCTTTAGATCTGTTATTAGTTTTAGTTTTTCCAGTTTGCGCCACAATGCTGTCAGTTTAATCTTCAATGTTATAGGAGCATACAGATGTTTCTAGCATGGTCCGTCTTTAAGGGGGAGGCCGATGCATTTGGTCCTTAACATTCCATACGCTCTCAACACACAGCTCCTTTTATGCCTATGCAATATCAGCGCTAGGCAAGCAATGTATTTAGAACAGTGATTTGGTTTCAAAATGGTGCAGTGTTAATTTAAAATGAATATCTCAAATTTCTGCGCACATTTTCCCCCAAGCTTTCGATATTTTGTGTCAAAACAAATGGTACTGATCAATAATTGGATTCAGAGAGAAAATCATGTTTATATTTGTATACTGGGACTTGCGTTTGGATACCGTTTGCCTTCTGGTTTACCACAATGCTTTAGCGAGTTTAACAGCCTTCGTGAATGTACGGCAGTGAGACCTCTTATGCACCGGTTCGTAAGTGGACAACTTGTATGTGAACCTCTTGTTTCCTTACTGACTGAATTCAAATGTGAGTAGTGACTGACGCTCCCCCAATCTTAGTGGCCAAAGTTAATTCAGAGCTTAAGACCCATTAAAGGTTTTTGCAGCTGTTTTGGGGAGTTTTATAAAACCTTTAGGATGCCGTTTGAGGAGCATTTCTTTTTGCTTCCCTTTTCCACTACAATCAAACCAAACATGGGAGGAGGGAGAAAGCGTTCTGCATCTGATGCTTTTGGCATTTTCCATGAACCATCTAATACTTTTTGATTTCCCTTGTCATAATCCTCAGTCACTACCCATCTTTCTCACATGACTTAAGTTAAGATTGGCTTCTGCGCAGCCGCCGTCTTTTCATTCTTTCAGTCATCCCTACCAATGTGCCTTGGTAAATGGTAAATCTGGATTTGCTTCTGCATAAATCACGCCTGTCCGTGGAGCTGTGAGTTGCGGGAATTGCAAGTCCCAGGATCAGTATGACGCTGGTATATGCACCGTTTCTGTTACTTTTTGTACCCGCTGATCCAGAGAGTGAAGCTGCCGACCATGAAAAACTGCACAACGGCGCAGCTGGCAATAAAGGAAAAGTGCTGCAACCGGTTGATAAGAATCTGTTTTCTGGAGTTTTGACTGGGGCGTCTTTATTTGTTCGGTGTTTAACATCTCTCCATTGTTTGAAAATAAAATGATCTAAATCTTCAGCTCGGTCGTGGGTCTTTCACGCTGCCGTTGCCCCATTGAAACTAAAGGGTCAGTCTGAGCTTTGCTACTTCTGCTTTTTTTTTTCTTTTTTCCCTTCTGTTTTTTAAACCGTACTTGAAGTTTCGTTACGCTGTAATTGCACAGTTCATCCACGTGGAGACGCACAAGATCCATTTTCTTGTTTGCGTCGGTGTGGCCGTGTAACTTCCGTTTAGTGGGAACCTATTGTATCAGACTTGAATTTTTTCAGGGTCCACAAACAATATATGGCTCTTATTTTAAGTGAAATAATCATACTTTACATTTAGCAATACATTAATGGGGCAGTGTGTGAAAAAGGAAGTGACTTTTGTGTATTAGTCAGATATTGCGAATGGAGTCTCGGTGGTCTCCGGTGTATCATAACTACGTCACTCCGCGCCGTGATTCTGTGCGCTGACGGCATCACATTGCAGGTATGAGGATTAGTAACTGCCCCACCTGGTTGGTGACTTCTCAAACTCTGAATCAGCCGTCTGCACACCTGTATGATGTAATCTGCTGCCGCAGGTATCCTCATAATCACAGCTGTAGTGAGACTGAGGAGAGACACCTGGGCTCGCGTCATTATTTGTTTTAACAAAAACAACGATGCGTCTTGTCTCGTTAAGTGGAAGTTGTGCAATTCCAACAAATCAAAATGATGTCATGATTGGTTGATGTTGGGGTTTATTTTCCTTATGTATTAATTGTCAAATGATTTTCTTGCTGACTAAATTGTTTTGCCTTTAAGATTTTAAAGTATAGCTTTATATGACGTCTTCATCTTATTTTTCTTTTCTATCCAACACCACAAAACCCAAATATATCACACATTATCCTATGATAAGAAATTGCTGATTGATTTTCCATCAATTAATCAAATAATTTTAACTTTGGTAAATTATACACGGCACACTTCTTTCGGCAGTTTGAGCCTAAAAAATGCTTTTCTGTTCTGAGCACTTTGTAATCGATGCAGCTATGTGTGCGTCATGCTTTCAGTGGTTAATTCTAGGTTCATTTTCAGCATGAAACCTCCCACTCAGAAACTCTCCAACATGCTTTGCTTTAATTAATTCAGGTCTCAGAAAAGTACGCGGACCGTCGAACCAGAGTAGCTGGAACGAAGGTCATTTCTAAGGTAACCAGCTGCAAGTTTGTGAGCCAATGTGAATGGCTGTGTCTTTACACCAAAGGTCCAATGGTCCATAACTAGATTACGCCTCGTCTGCGAAAACAACCTGGAATGTGGTTCAGTGTGTGGGCCTCCTTTGAGAAAAAATATGTGTTGATGAAACTCCTTCAATGAAGTGATTTTCATACTGTTTTCTCTTTGAACAATCTGGCATTGATTACAAAAACAGCTCGATGTTGCAGACCAGACTCTCAGTTCTCTGTGAGACCAACGTTCAGTCCAGGTAAATTACGCACTGGCATTGGTATGCAAAGAAGGAAGCAATACTGCACAAGGAACTGTTTCGATTCAGACATTATAGAGCCGTTCTAAAAACAGCCCTGGCGTGTGAAGCTGTTTAAGCTGCAAGCTGGATCTATTATCTTCAACCTCATATCACCGACATTACGTCAGCCCAGTAGCTTATAAACTACTTATTTTTTCTTCTTCTGTTCGACAGTGAGTCAAAAGACTGCGACAATTGGTCTCGTCCGCTGAGTGTCTGGTATGCAGGGAGGAGTCCGGCGGATCACTCCCACCATTCAGGAATTTGGGAAGTTTCCTTCCATATAAGGAGTTTTTGATGTCAATCGCGATCTAAGGAGGAGAAGGGAAAGGTGGAGTTTAGAATTGATCAACGAAGCACACAAGCGAAGAGTATACAGGAAAAACAAGACGTGTCGTTTCTATCTACTTCCGGGATTGACGAAATTTGTTATGTGCTGTAAATTATTATGCAGTTGTGGTTGTTGGAAAATCCTGCTTCTACATCCTACACAACAAAAAATAGTAAATACATTATGTAAGCATACCTACCAGAAGAAAACTATCACTTGCAAGTCGTGAAGTGTACAATTCACCAAACCCTTCAATCAGCAATGGCAAAATTAAGAGATTCCATACAATACATATAAACAAAATAACCGACAGTCATGTTGAGCAATTTAATGATATATAAGCCTTATATTGCTATTCAGTGCTAGCATAAGATAGAAAGTTGACTATCAAATAGACTTGAGGGGCTGCACCCAATCATTGAGCCTGCTCTAATTCCGCCGTATTCGCGCGCTGCCGGTCCTCTGGTGATCTATGAGCAGCGAACTATCTTGACTCTTGAGTCGACGCTCTTTGATCGAAACCGTGGGATCGCTCTAATTGGCGGCCGTTAAAAAGAGAGGAAGTATTTAGTTCACGTCGAGGTCTCATTGGCAGAGAAAGTCACAGATCGTTCGGTGCTGTTTATAATCTGGTAGCGGTCTACTTTTTAAAGTTTTTAAACACAGAAAACTCGCAACTCAATTGACAATGTCTTTTAACAAGGGTCCTTCCTTCGGATTATCAGCGGAAATAAAAAACAAGGTAGGTGTTAAATATTATTTTATCCCAAATGTTACAGTAAGTAAGCAGCACTGAACTTCATCACCCAAAAGTTAACGTGAGTCACTCATCGTGCTCTTTCCTTCGCGAGTCCGGAGTCACCTGGCATCCATTTTGATGTGCGGGCCAATGTCACTTATTCAGACGGAAAGGCCGCCCGAAAAACCCGTCTAGCGATGTGAAAGTCTCCTCTTTTTAAACGGAATAAACCGGCTTTTAAACTTTCACAACTCCCCTCCACTTTCGAGGTGTATGTTCTTGAATAGTTTTAAGTCTTAAAACGAGGATACACGTTGGGCGTTGTCCCTCCTGGCAAAAGAAATGTCGTTGTGGCAACAAAGAAAAAAGTGATCCCCGCTTCCAGCGTTTTCTGCGGCGGGTTCGCCATTAGTCCGGAGTTTGAATGTCAACTTCTCCTGTTGTTATTTTTGACTGTATACAGTTTCCTACTTCCTCTCTTGTGGGAAGGTGCGCTGCTTCTCTTAATAAAACATTTTCTTCACTCATTCACGTCAGCGTAGGATATTCTTTGCTTTTCTCCTTTCTTTCCCCTTCATTCCGAAATAAATCCCTTGCTTTGACTAAAACGGCCACCGACCGACCTCCAGTGTGCCGCCGCCCCCTCTGCGGCCGTGTGGCTCTCTGAGTGCGGCCTTGTTTATTTTGACCTGCCTGCGCACCCGGAGCCACTTAAAATACCTCGACCGATGCCGGAGATTAGTTTCCTTTACAGTTCCAACAGGGAAACTTCGTTCTTTTCCACATGTTTAAGCTCAATACGCACATTGCTTCTACTTTATTCATAGTCATGCGCAAGGAAACTGACATCTCTTCGGTATTTGCTTGCACCTTTTTGCAAAAAAAAAAAAGTAGATAATTCCCGTTTCAGAAATGGAACATTTTTCTATAATTTTTTTCCAAGGAAAAAACATGACTTGTCATTCCTCGTATGAGAAAGTGTCCTGGTCAGCGTTTTGACTCCCTGATGTCCTTGAGATGAGGATGATGATTATGTGGTATTTCCTGTCATCGGATCGTATAGTCACTGAAATGTGACGTAAACAGTTCGTAGAACCCTCCTGCCCCTAGTTTCACTTTTGCATCCACAGAATGCATGTTTAATAAATAAAATAAGTTTCCTGTTTGAATACAGGCCTCTGCTAATTATTCATTCATTGGCTCGATGTATTTTTCTGCTTCATTTCAACCAGTCCAACAACTGTGTGGCAAACTCCTTCTGTTCAGCTTGACTCTTTGTGGGTAGTCTCTCTTTTTTCCGAAGGGGATAATAACTGAAGGAAAAAATGTAATTAGAAGCTTAAAAGTAGAAGCAGCTGTAAGCAGAGTGCAGCCAGCTTCCATGTGGAGGAGACTTAAAGGCTGTGGTTCAGCTTCTCGTTGGCCTCGGGCCACTGAGAGAAATCGCAGATTGTCGGTTTGCACAAACTCAGTCAACACCTTTTTTATTTTTTAGAAATCTCTTATCCCCCTTTTTTTTGCTTATCATAAAAATGTGCTTTTTTTTCTTTTTTTTTCTTGGGGTGTTAAAAGTCTTGAATGGCTTCTTTCAGAGAGGGGGGGGGGGGAACTTAGCACGTTAACAGTGATACCCTTCACAAGTATCACCCCCCCCATTTTGAGCCACCACCTTCCTGTGCTTCACTGGTGAATTTATCAGCTCACCAAACCGGATATCTGCGCGTGCGTCACTATCAACATTTATTTATAAGGCCTAAAAAAATAAGAACAAATCCCCTTTTTTAGACGTAGCAAAGGGAACTTCATGGATGACTAATGAACCTGACCACATGACTCTTTAGAGGAGACAATACTAACATGTTGTGGAGGATACTCTAGTATCTTGTATGAATTTACGAATCACCTACTGGCTGTTATTGTTTCTTATGGCACATATGTGACCTTTTGACCTCTCCGCCCAACCAGATTGCGCAGAAGTATGACTCTCAGAAAGAGGACGAGCTGAGGGTTTGGATCGAAGAGCTCACAGGCGCATCCATCGGCTCCGACTTCCAGAAAGGCCTGAAGAGTGGAGTCATTTTATGCACGTAAGTGTTGTTCCTATTCTCATCTCCGGGGGTTTGGACGGTAAACTGAAGTGTTTTTTTTTTTTTTCCCCTCCTCACAGCCTCATCAACCATCTTGCCCCAGGCTCTGTGAAAAAGATCAACCAATCGGCGCTGAACTGGCATCAGGTGCGTTGTGGTTGCATTGTATGCAGGAGGAGACTTGTTATGGGACGTTAACAAATGACTCCCTTCTGTACGGTTCTGTGTATTTTGTACTAGTTGCGACATGTGTTCACTGAATCCTGCCCGGTTACGGTTGAGCGGTTTTACAGCTACGAGCTGGCTTCTCTTGAATGAGCGAAATCGCTCCACGATCTAATCACACCACCACCATCATTCAAAGTGCTGCACCATGGGGTTGATTTTGTTTAAATCTGTGTGTTTGTAGCTGGAGAATTTGACTAACTTCATCAAAGCCGCCACGAACTTTGGCCTGAAGCCTCACGACAACTTTGAAGCCAACGACCTGTTTGAGAACGGCAACATGACGCAGGTCCAGACGTCTCTGCTCGCCCTCGCTAGCATGGTGAGTCCTCTGGCAATCGTGGTGGGAGCGACCATTTCCTCTCACCTGAACCCACCGTGACACCATCCACGCTTTCCCCTCAGGCCAAGACCCGCGGCTGCCACTCCCGGGTGGACATCGGGGTGAAGTACGCCGACAAGCAGGAGAGGATGTTTGATGAAGAGAAGATGAAGGCTGGCCAGTGTGTCATTGGCCTTCAGGTGAGTTGTTTTTATTATTTATGGGTATTTTAAGTTTTAAAGGTCTTTTAACCGATCACTTTCCTTCATTGAAACCACTTCTCATCCATTTACCATCTCAAGAAGGACAAATGGTGTCACATGACCAACATTGATGCGGGTTGCCAATAAAAGCAAAACATATTTGACGCGACAAATATAATATATAATTTTTTTTCAACCAGGAGAAACTGCTGCATTATGGTCATTAAATAGATATTTTTTGTGAAAGCCACTGAACCTGTCGCTGCTTCAGAATGAGAAACTCTCAGCACAACATTTGAGCAAAGAGTAGTCTCAGCCGACTGGAACTTTAAAGTTTCTGTTCTCTCAGTGTCATAATTACGAAAGTGTCCCTCACATCCTTGTTGCTGTTGTGCAACATTTTACAGCTTGTTTGTTATTGTAAGTGCATTGAACCCTGCTGCTGGTATAAAGTCTAATAAACCACGTTTCTTGTGCTGGTTCTGTCTTCAGATGGGGACCAACAAGTGCGCCAGCCAGGCAGGAATGAACGCATACGGCACCAGGAGGCACTTGTATGACCCCAAAGTTCAAATCCAGCCACCCATGGACAACACCACCATCAGCCTGCAGATGGGGACCAACAAGGGGGCGAGCCAGGTACGAATCACAATTTCGAGACGTGTGTTTGTAATGTGTGTGTGTGTGTGTATTCTCGTGATCCTTATTTTCTTTGTCCCTCTCTGCCTCCTCCACCACAGGCCGGGATGACGGCTCCTGGGACGAGACGTGCCATTTATGACCAGAAGCTGGGCACAGACAAGTGTGACAACAGCACCATGTCCCTGCAGATGGGCTACAGCCAGGGAGCCAACCAGAGCGGACAGAACTTCGGCTTGGGTCGGCAGATCTATGACGCCAAGTACTGCCCCAAAGCGGGAGAGGTTGCGGAGGATCAAAACGGGGCAGGAGTCGTACCTGACTATATCCCGGATTTCCAAGACGAGGGTTACCAAGGTTACCAGGAAGAAGAGCAGGTGTACAGAGAAGAGGGGACTGATTACTAGAAGGAATGACGGATGTCTGTCCACACGAGGAAAGTCCCGCAGAGAGGGAACCCTCGGGCGTGTTTTTTTTTTTATTAGAAATTGTTTTGTCATCGCTAGTTGTGCGAAACAATTTTACACATATCATGATGGACTGTAGTTCTGTTTTTGTTATTTAAAGTGACCACAAAAGCCAATATTTTTGGCATGGCTAGTTTTTCTATCCCAGGGATTGTTATAAATGTGCCAAAGCCCTAGTATTCGCCCTTCCTTTTTTATTTTACTGACTCATTACTTGCATAAAAGGAGATGCATTACTTTTTGTGACCGTAGGGAGTTTTTTATTTTTATTTTTTTTATCGACACCTGCATGTTTTTATCTAATCGCTGTATGTATATGATTCCTGTGAATAATAACGTAAACCGTTACTTCAGTATCCTCTTCATCCCCTCAGTATTAGTCCTTGACTTACAGTAGTGAGCCCTTTTGTTTGTTCAGAAGGATGAGGGAACACTTATTTTGTCTTACTCGCTACTTTAAAAACAAATGTTTTTTTTAATGGAGGAAATATTTCCTTTGTTTGCATAACCAGTTCAACTGTCGTTAAGATCTGTTGTTGGACTGAAGATGGTGGGGGAAGGGGGTTAAAATAACACGCGCGTAGTCTTCAACATTCCAAGCAAGAATACTGGATTATTTTTCTCTTGAGTGTCTTAAATATTGGTTGAAATGCAAACCAATCACACCATTATGTGATCACTTTGGGATTTGAACGGGGTTGTTTTGTAACTTGACTGGTATTTTTTTTTTATGTGACTATGGTGTAATAAAGCTGTGTATTCCTTATCGTGTGTGTGTGTTACACTGCTGGGCACAAAAGTCAGATTTATTCACTCCGTCTGCAACAGCTGGTCGTGGTTTGGCGTATCAGTTGGTAGCTGTGCAGAATATAAAAAATGATAATAGAGATGACAAAACATGTTAATACAACTCAAAACCAACGTCCGTCCATAAGTTGCTGCGTGACGCTGTGCTGATAGTAAGACGTTGGTTTAGAGGGGGTACTTGCAGCTATTGTGTCTCATTTAAATTTCAAGTGTCCGGGTTTTGAGAAATGTGTCGGGGACAAGAACAAAATAATCCCTCTTCACTGCGTAAATGGGAAGACTGAGGATCTGTTGATGCCCCCAAAGCTCTTTGAATGCCTCGATACCAAAACGTTCCTATTGGACCAAACCAGATCAGCTGTTCAGCTTCACTCTAGTTGATTAAAACCTGCTATACGGTGAAGCTGGAGGCACTTTCTTTTAAAGCAAAGGGTAACCGATTGGAAAATGTGCCATGGTTATAAAAATACTCCCAAACTGCTATACAAGTGAGGATAAAACCTTACAATGTTCGTACCAGTACATGTGGTTTGAGAACCATTTGCTGTGTATTGTTATGAATACAAGGTATATTTTCTCAATTAAAATACTTGAGTAAGATTTCAGTGATTTATATCAATTCGTCACAGTGGTGGAATAAGTACCAACAATATCCAGACTCATTCAAAATCTGTAAAGATGGATAATCAGAAAAACTTTCATTTTTAAAATGTATTGATCTAGTTTTTTATATAGTGACTGTGGGAAATGCCTCTTTAGTGGAGATGATCATTGTACACCATTTAAATCAATAACAATATAGTATAAGTATAAAGTAGCACCAAATGGAAATACCAAAGAAATAAATTGTAAGCTATGTAAGTATAGTTCTAGAAGTTCTTCCATGGTGAAGTTTAAGTATAAAGTAGCATCAAATGGAAATACCAAAGAAAAGTAGATATAAATTATAAGCTTTATAAGTAGTGGTTCTTTCTTTCTTACATTAGTAAACTACACGTCTCTTCAATTTGTCCTCCTTCCTCTTGATATGTAGAATAAACGCAGTACTTTTCTCGATAAGATACGACAGCACCACCTGCTGTTCGTGGTGTGGACTGACGCCGGAAAACACCACCGGATGTTTGCCTGAAATCTCGCGATATCAGGCCTAACGAGAATTCTAACCGTTCTTTTCTCCCGGAACCAGGCAAGATGGTAGGTGTAAAACGAACAGTGAAACTTTACGAAATACAATCTAGATGCATCTGACGCCTAACGCAACTAATGGGGGTGGCTGGCTGTGTCGTCCGACAGTTACACGCGCTCACTCGCCGTTTGGTTTAGAATCGTTGCTCAGAGAGAATGATAAATATGTGTTTAAAGGCACTGTTTAGCGTGAGCTATTAGCGGCTATAGCTAAGCTAACCCGGTGGTTCTACGTCTAGTCCAGTAAATTAATATCACATGATTCCCATGTTATTGTAGGTTCGAGCGAGACTTTACATGCGCTGTCGTCGAAGTCAATTAGTGACAATTGACGTTGACTCCTGTCAACTTAAATTGTCTAACTGCGCGCTGAATGCTTATGCGGGATAATGTGTCTCTCCTTCAGGCAGATACCGAGATCAAGAAGAAGCGTACCTTCAGGAAGTTCACCTATAGGGGTGTGGACCTGGACCAGCTTCTGGACATGTCCTAGTAAGTGAATCACTACTGCGCCAGAGCACACCATGCAGTCCACATAGAGCCGTTTCCTAATTCAATTAGCAGTAAACTTTCTCGGCTCGTCCGTGTAAATCCGTTGTTGACGTCACACGCACAGCCTCCTAAAGGATGAGCTGTTGTCATTCAGACATGAGAATCGAGAGATTTCTGGTCCATCACGCTAAGGTGATGTGCATAACTGGTAAGTGCTTTCCTGTGCTGATTGGACGTTACACAGACACGGAACTTATTCCATAACCAGCCTGATGCACAGGCTGAACCTGAAGTGAATGTGAGATGACCTAATTCAAACTGCTCTCGCCACTACATTGTTCATGCTCAAATATTTCCAAGGAATTCCAGGGTTCTCATCAACAGTGCTGTCCTGTCTCCCTGCTAGTGAGCAGCTGATGCAGCTCTACTGTGCCCGCCAGAGGAGGAGGCTGAACCGCGGCCTACGCCGCAAGCAGCAGTCTCTGCTGAAGCGCCTCCGCAAGGCAAAGAAAGAGGCTCCCCCCATGGAGAAACCTGAGGTGGTCAAGACCCATCTGAGGGACATGGTCATCCTGCCTGAGATGGTTGGGTCCATGGTCGGCGTGTACAACGGCAAGACTTTCAACCAGGTTGAAATCAAGGTGAGGCGGCGATGGTAGGGTGTATGGATCTTTGTCACAACTCAAAGCACAAATGCTTGCAGTTGGTCCCATTGTGAAGTGCTTTGTTACAGTTCCTTGTAGATGTTGTTCTGTCCCTGCCTGCAAACCACTGTCCACCATTAAGTCAGGTTTATGTTGGTTTGTCTAGGTTTTCTGGAGGCGAGTCCCCCCCCCCCCTATTATTTTTTTTACGCGATGGTCTCTTGGCGGACAATATCGTCTACCATATAGATTGCAATGCCCTCTTGAGACAGAGGACTATATATAAACAATACATGACTGACACAAAATTTGCAGTGTGTAGAATGTAAACTACCTATAATTATTAATGTGGTAACATTAGTTTTTAAAGAGGCTGGATGTGACAAAATAACACTGCTGATGAAACGTGGGTTCAGGAAAAAAAAATGTGTACACCGAGCCCCAGCTCCTCCAGTCAAATAGATTAATCAAAGCATGTCGTTTTTTAATATATTTGAAGTATTCAACACTGCCCCTTCAGACCTCAGATTATGTACAGTAACTACATTACTCTACATGCAAGGTTTTCAGTGTGTGCATGCTTGTATCTTGTTACTAACATGTCTCTTCTCCGCAGCCCGAGATGTGCGGTCATTACTTGGGCGAGTTCTCCATCACCTACAAGCCAGTCAAGCACGGTCGCCCCGGTATTGGAGCTACACACTCTTCTCGGTTCATCCCGCTGAAGTAGAATGGCTGTATTCTTTGTATAAATAAAAAAACTGGTTGTGCCACAGAACTGTTTGTTTTGATTTCTTCAGAAAACATTTTTGAAACTCAAACTCATTGCTTGTGTATATGTTATGATGGTTTGAGCTTCTGTCTTTTGAAGCAGTCTCGATGAACAATATTGGTGGCTTCAAGATGATGAATAAATTACACAATGTAGGAAGCCTTAATATCATGGTGGTTTTAACTCATTTGGGCTTTGTTTATAGATTTGTGTTCATAATGAAACCCAACACTGAACTAATGCGTTTGTTCACATGCTGAAATGTTTATCATGACTGGTTGGGTACCTTATGCCATTTAAGCGTTTTTTTCTCAACTCTTAATTTCAAGAGTTTTAAAATATATGCTGGGTAACGGTACAGTCGTATCCGCCGTTTCTCGTAGGAAATCTAATCTGGGTAACTAACAGGGCTGCCACATGCAGCGCAGCACTGATTACCACCGACGCTTCCTCGGCGCGGCGGTGCGGCCCTGAAAGAGTACCGGTGTGAACTCATCAGAACTAAGGTTCCGCCACTCGCTCTTTCAGCTACATTTTTTGTGTGGCCGCTCTGGGCCATGGATTCAACCTCTAGCCGTAGCACAATCTTTTTATTTTCACCCAGCTAATAAAATCCAGAACCTGATTAAAGAAACAGTGGCCAGATTGGTAAGTAATCTTCTTAATTTACATTGGTTCTGTTGGAGCGGGCAGCCAAGTGTCTGTTTTTTTACACAAAACCGGCTGCCGTTGGTTAGCTGCTCGCTAGCTTCCGGCTAGCTAGCTAACGGGAGTTAGCTTCAACAGCTAAACTGACAGAAGATGTCTGTCATGTCAAAACGTTACGTTAGCTAATGTAGATTTTTTTAGTAGACAGTGAGTCTACTGCAATTTAACTACAGGCTGGGTTTTCCACAATTTACTGCCAAATACAACTGACGTTAGCATCGTTTCAAATGTAAAAAAAACCCAAATGTACCGGTGTTTTTCCCCGGACTGGGTAGTTGAAATCCGAGAACAAAGCTCTATTGTAGGCTTGCTGACGATAACTGATCACATTAACGGGGCATGGTGTTTTCATATTTCACCTAAATTCTTACCTACTCTTAAAATATGATTGTTGAGTAACCCGCATAGACAAAATGGGGCCGTTCCGTGTAAGTCCGGGAGTTGCAGGCGTAACGTTAATTCTTTCCATTTCACATATTTGACACCGTCACAAGGGGGCCAAGTTAAGGGGACGTTTGCTGTGCAGCGGATTTTGATGATTTTAGCAAAATACAATGAGCCAGATGTTCAGATTTGCTGATTGTCGGGGGAGAATTTGTTGAGGTGCATGTTACAACATCTGGTTAGCATTCCTCGAACCTTCAGAGATGTATAAAAGCTCCTCGTCCCCCATAGAAACTTGGTCAGATCTTCCTGCTCCTTTTGGGGGAAGGAACTTTCTGCCCCTTTTCAGCTGAATTGTAGTCATTTGACTTCTGTCTGTGCTTACGGCTTGTGCTGATGATTTCTGTATTCTTTATCATTTTTCTATATTCTAGTTAGTAATAAATACTTAATCACAAAGCAAGCTCAAGATACTTTTGATTTCTCACATGGGCTAAATCCACAAATTTCCACCACACTGATCATTTCGGTTTAACTCATCCATCATCCCTTTCCAAATACAGATTCCCCTAGTAGGTACCAGGTGGCGGGTTAACCTGTGATACTGTTATTGTTCAGCTGGTGAGGCATCACGCTCACGCATTTAAAGCATATGGGTTTTCCCACTACTGTTTGCTTCATACTAATCGTTTAACCAAAACAGAAGGGTTACCGGAAGGAACGGGGTATTCCCGGTCCTTCATCCGCAGTGGTCGGAGAAATATCCCGCCGACGTATTTGAGATTTAATAGGAATTATGAAGTGTCGCTCTGGTCTGGAGATCTTATGGCTCCAATGCTTCGGAGTCAATATTCTTTAAGGTCTTCATGACTGATTTTTGTTTTCCTCTCTTGTTCTTGAGGCACATTGTCTTGTAGTTTCAAGGATGATGCAACGGTGAAGAACGGTTCCCCATTCATGGATGTCAACATTAGACAAACTGCCGCAAATGAGAAAGAAATGTCCCTACCTAGTGCCATTAGGAGTTTTTGCCCATGTTCACTATGATCGTTTCCAATATTTAAATGATCTTAGTACTGTATTTTCTTCATAGGTTACGATATTGGAGTGAGGCGTGTTGCCCGGTGAATGCATAGAGTCAAGAAGGTAAAACTTTGTGAAAATACAGGGGGTCTCTGGAAAAGGTACAGTACAAGTGTCATGTTATCTCCTAAAACTGCTTCGATGTTTAGGAAGATTGATGATTAAAGAATCTAACCAATTCCATTAGAAGATCTCTGAAGTGCCGGCCTGTCCAGTTTCCTGCACCTCTCACCGCTTCTTCCTCATGTGTACGTCCAGCTGTGTGACCGTGGGAATGACGGCTGTGGACGGCCTTTCGGACAGCACAGAGGTGGTTGAGATGGAGGATATCCCGTCTCAGTTCTTCGTGGAGAAGCACTCTTGGGAGGGCCTCCGTGACATTATCCACTGTAGCAGGAAGTACTCTGGCATGATCGCCAACAAGGCTCCCCACGATTTCCAGTTTGTGCAGAAGAAGGATGAGAATGGACTCTACTCCCACCGCTTGTACTACCTCGGTAAGTTGATTCAGCTTCTACTCCTTTTGTGCTCTTTTTTTTTTTTCTGCCTGACCCCATTAATATTCTACCCGCTCCAGGCAGCAGAATATGATCGCCAAAAAGAAATCACTGTGTCAAATTTCTTCTTTTCCAGTTACCACCAGTTGTTGTTGTTGTTGAAATAGTTTCTTTCTATGCGCTCACTAGGAATGCCTTATGGAAGCAGAGAGAACTCATTACTCTACTCGGAAATACCCAAGAAGATCCGAAAAGAGGCCCTGTTGGTGTTGTCGTGGAAACAGATGCTGGATCACTTTCAGGTGAACCCTACTCTTCCTGGCTGTGCAGTGCCAGTATCAAAGATACAAACACTTTGAGGTAGCAGTCCCCGAGGGTGTGGCGAAATCAATTCTCTAGTAGTAAACTTAGATGGGGCTAATCAATGGTATGAACCAGGGGTCCCCACACTTTTAATTGACAAAGTCATGGCAGGCTATCTACCAGCACGGCCGCTGCGATTGATCGTTCTATCACAATCAAGCTATTGTGCACCCCTGGTATAAACCATGACAGGAATGCCTGCTCTCTACGGCCATTGTGCGTTTGTTTGATCTGGGGTGATGGGTTAGTTGAATGTGGTTCTGTTAGCTGTATTTCCCATTAATGATGCTGCCGTCCAATCACGACAATGTATTCACCGACCAAACTTGTCTCTACTTTATCTGATGCCGTGTTGTCTAAGGCCACGCCGCACCAGGGGGCCTACTCTCGAGAGGAGGAGTTGCTGAGGGAGCGCAAACGTCTCGGAGCCTTTGGTATCACATCCTATGACTACCATGCGCAGACAGGCCTGTTCCTCTTTCAGGCCAGCAATAGCCTCTTCTACTGTCAGGACGGAGGCAGCAATGGCTTCATAGTGAGTACATTCCACGGGGAAGCTGTAAGATGTATATTTATAATAATTGTGATATACATGTGGAATCTGTATTACTGCTGTTCTGCTAGTCGTATATCATTCATCATGCAATGCAAGTGATGTTATGGGAGGAAATATCATAAGACTGTTGCAGAAATACCAAATACGATTTGAGGCACCTTTGAACCGACCGTGTCTGTGTACATGCATTCGTGTTTTTTTGGTTTCAATTAGTGGTCCACTTTAAGGAGTAGGTGTTAGACTGGGATATTGATAGAGGATCATTTTCCTCACATCAGACAGTTTGCCTTAAACTGATGTTGTGTATGTTGCTTTTAGCAGTCAGCTCCTGTAAAGCCCATGGAGATCAAGACCCAGTGCTCTGGGACCCGCATGGACCCCAAGATCTGCCCCGGAGACCCCGACTTCATGGCCTTCATCAACAATAACGACCTGTGGATCGCCCACATTAAGACTGGCGAGGAAAGGAGGCTCACTTACTGCCACAAAGGTCTGCAGGCAGTTAAATGTCCCGCAATAACTTTCTTGAATATCCTCTTTAAATTATAATCGCGTTGTCAATCACAGAAATGATTATATATATAATATTTTAATCATCTCATAATGGATGTAAAGAAAATAACATTCAGATGCCTTTTCCCAAATGCATTTCTTTTTTTCCCCAGGGGTGGATAATGTAAAGGAGGACCCCAAGTCTGCAGGTGTAGCAACATTTGTCATCCAAGAAGAGTTTGACCGTTTCACAGGTTACTGGTGGAGTCCCTCCGCAGTTGAAGGTATTTTCTATGCCTTTTTAAAAAAAATCTAAAAATGTTTTTACGATTACATGCAGATTAATATGTATATATATATTAATATAACGGTATAGCTTTACCTCCATTTTTAAGATTAGCGGTAGTTCACTTTGGATTTCCATACACTATTTTCTGTAGACCCTCAAATACGCGGTTTAGAAATAAGTGTCTGTTTTTTTATGCCCCTGTCAGATTCTAACGGAGGGAAAACGGTGTACCTTCTGTATGAAGAGGTGGATGAGACGGAAGTAGAGATTATTCATGTGCCATCTCCAGCACTGGAGGAGCGTAAAGCGGACGCATATAGATACCCGCGTACAGGTCAGTGCGGCCTCCTCTGTGCACACACACACACACACACACACACACACACACACACACACACACAGGCTTGGAGCAGAGAAACGTAAAAGAGATCTCCTATTATTTTACATTTCCCTTACGTTCTTACTTTCAGGTAGCAAAAATCCCCAAGCTACCCTCAAACTGGCAGAGATCAAGACAGACCACCAAGGAAGAGTAAGTCTTTCACTACCCGCCCTTTTGTCTTTTTCGCCCCTCCAAAACGATACTAAAGTGATCCTAACGTGTCCTTGTGGTTGTACCTGCAGATTGTGAGCACACAAGATAAAGAACTGGTTGTTCCCTTCACCTCCTTGTTTCCTGGGACGGAATACATCGCCAGAGTAGGATGGACGAGTGACGGCAAATAGTGAGTGTTACGGTCAATGGATCTGTTGGCTCAATGATGCCGTTTTTCTCTGAATAATCCACCAAGGGTATACAACCTGGTGTCGGGATTAACGTTGTGACACAAACCGGGATACACAGCGGCTGCAGCGGTTTAGAAATTTGAACCAAAGTGTCCGTTGTGTACGTTGGTCCCCGCCTGGCTGCTCAGGAGACTTTGTGTGTGGATTGATTCACCTGATGTAGAAATAAGCGCAAATTCAGCAAGAAGCAGATTGAGTCGCGTCACGTTATGTAGATCACTGGGAGGATACATGTTTGAAACGCTCCTCCAAACGCACTATACTTAATCATTTTCTGTATTTTGGTGTTTTCATTTCAGAGCTGTCAGTTTGCTAGCCCTCTAGTGACCCGTTTCTTTAGGGTTTGTAGTCTTAATACATGAGTGACTCGTATGTGGAAAGAAAGGATTTTGTCTGGCTTTGAGTTTTGAGCTCTGCTGTTAAAATGAAATAAAAAAGGAACATACCTTGGTGCATTGTTTTTTGTGCTAAACTGAATGTGCGCTGAACCCCGTCTCTTACACTCGGGCACCACCTGAACTGGCTCATGTTTCTGATTTTCCCTCTAGTGGCTGGGCGGTGCTGCTGGACCGCAGTCAGAGAAAACTACAGCTGGTCCTGCTGCCTCCGGCCCTCTTCATCCCCGTCACGGATGACCCGGCTCAGAGGCGGGAGAGTGTGGAAGCGGTGCCCAGTGACACGCAGCCATACATCATCCATGAAGAGACTACAGACGTCTGGATTAATGTAGGTCTTTCCACGCAATACACTGTTTTATTACCCTAAAAAAGTGTCCAATTCCTATGATCGTGAAGGGCTCAGTAACGGACTGTTCTTCTCTTTTGTGCAGGTTCATGATATATTCTATCCTTTTATTCAAACGGCAGAAGATGAGTTTACTTTCATTTGGGTGAACGAGTCTAAAACCGGTTTCAGCCATCTGTATAAAATCACATCGCTGTTACAACCGGGCTGCCGCCGTTGGACGGAGGACTACCACCACATCGAGGGTAAAAGACTAGTACATGCCCCTCCATTTATTTGAAATGTTCCTGTAAAAATGATCATGGTTCCACGTGTCATGATGCATGTTGTTTGTATTACCTGTTTTCACCAGGAGACTTCAAATGTGCAATCAAGGAGGAGTTTACACTGACCAGCGGAGAATGGGAAGTGCTGGCCAGACATGGTTCTAAGGTTAGACAAAGTCTATCTGGTTAGAATATATGCATCCACACACAACAGATATGCTGACATTCATATACCCAGAAATAATTTGGACATTTAAGCACATACATACATAGTATTGTGTTTGCTTTGTACACCAGCTCATTGACTTTGACATTAAACAATGAGCTGCAATTAGAGGGTGTTTTCATCTACAGATGTTAAAGGGCTTGTACTTAACATTATTGGCTGCATTGTCCAAAAATACTAAATTGTTCATTCAGTTTGAATAGGATCACCAACAGCACTATCAAATACAAAAGGCACCAAGTTAACCTCTTGTCATGTTTAAATCTGTATTTAAACCCAGTGTGGTGAACTCAGCTGTTTGATGATTTGTCAGCGGGACATCATCTCTTGATCATACCAGTCAGGAAGATGCCCGGCCCTCACTGCTGTTGTTGATTAACTGTCCTTTTAATTGTTTCTCCTTTTGTTGTAGATTTGGGTGAATGAGGCATCAAAGTTGGTGTACTTCCAGGGCACCAGAGACACGCCTCTTGAGCACCACCTCTACGTGGTCAGCTACGACTCGCCTGGAGATGTCGTCCGACTAACCAAGCCTGGCTTCTCTCATAGCTGCTCTGTTAGTCAGGTAAACAGTTTTATATCACTACAGAGAATAGAACTAAATCCCAATGACTACAGAGGTAAAACTTTTTATACATCACATCCTTGTAGTATGTGGTGTTGCATTGCCTCCCTCCCTCCATCGGCGTTTCATTTCCTTCTTTGTCAGCTCTATTTTTGGAAAAAAAACAAACTCTTCCCTCTTATTCTGCAGAACTTTGACTTTTTCGTCAGCCACTACAGTAACGTGAGTACGCCTCCGTGTGTTCACGTCTACAAACTGACCTGCTCAGAAGGTGATCCACTACACATGGTACCTGAATTCTGGGCCAGCATGATGGAGTCACCAGGTAAACCGGATGTGATGTAGCAACCGCCATACTTTAGTCTGTGCTATTATTTTTGGAAGAATCAAGCCGAGTCTGTAGAGGAAAGGTGAGGTCTGGCTCACATTATGTTGGAGGGCAGTCAGTTCGATCCACAGTTGCGTCCTCCAGACAGCCATCAGATAATCTGGTGCACGGCCACTTTCGTCATCAAGTGCGGTTTGTGTTTATGATTCATTAAAAGTAGCAGGAGTCAGAAGCTAATTCTGTTTACAGGTGTTTTCCCGCTTTAGTAGAAGTTCAGGGGTCAGAGAGTGACTGGAAGTTGGAGGTCATTTTCAATGAAAGCCGGCAACATGAAGCTATAAATTGACTCTCAACACATTTCATTGCGCATCCAACTACAAATCAAAGTTTATCTGCTCTCGCTCAAATAATCTGTTGAAGCAACCAATTACTTGTTTTTGTTTCACCCTGTTTGCATCAAGTTGTTGGCCAGTGCGAAGTCTTGGGTTACTTCTACATTACTGAGCTTCACCAACACGTTCTGTTGCTTAATGCGCTTGCTTTCAAAGTTCCACTAGGAGTTGATCCCTAATGGTTTAAGAACATGCAAACCTAATGAGCACGTGTTCGTATGTTTTCCAGGTTGCCCAGGAGATTACAACCCACCAGAGATTTTTGACTTTCCCGGGAAGTCGGGCTTCCAGCTGCACGGGATGGTGTATAAGCCTCACAACCTGCAGCCCGGCAGGAAACACCCGACGGTTCTCTTTGTGTATGGAGGCCCGCAGGTTCGTGGATACGCTTAGTTCAACGTGGGATTGGGAGGTTATCAAACGGTTGTGTTCACAAAATGTAGCTCACAAATGTAGTTCACAAAAAAACCCTAAAAACAAAACACGGACGACCACGCTTTGTGCGCGTGTACAGGTGCAGCTGGTGAACAACTCCTTCAAGGGGATGAAGTACCTCCGTCTGAACACGCTGGCGTCTCTGGGCTACGCCGTGGTCGTCATTGATGGGAGGGGTTCCTGTCAGAGGGGCCTGGAATTTGAAGGAGCACTGAAAAACAAAATGGTAATTCAAACGAATCGGCCCGAGGAAACAGTTCAAACTTTACATGGACTGTGTCACATTCTGTAAAAAAAAGAGAAAGAAAAAAAATGCATATTTGCCAAGTTCTTTCACACTCGCACACTTTCTCTTCAGGGTCAGGTGGAGATCGAAGACCAGGTGGAGGGGCTGCAGTATGTGGCGGAGAAGTTTAAATTTGTCGACCTGAGCCGCGTTGCCATTCACGGCTGGTCCTACGGCGGTTTCCTCTCCCTCATGGGGCTCATTCAGCGCCCCAATGTCTTCAAGGTAAGGACGCTTCCGTCAGCCCTTCTTTTATCCTTAAAACAAACTCTTTCTGTCCGCGAGCATCCGCTGTTGTAGATGATAAAACTTACCTCAGTGATTAGTGATTAGTTTGAATCACTGCGGGATGCACTTATAACAGAATTCATTGCTTAATTCCCGAGGTGGGCTATCTCAGTTTGAACCAGTGATGTAATTGCGGCTGACGTCCACATGGTGTCTGTGTTGCTTAATGTGTTTGCTCATATTCTTTACTCGGTCCGTATATTTACATACTTACGTGAGCTGCAAGGATTAAAAGTTGCATATGCCAATCTTTTTTTTGTGTGTGCTAAATTCATATCCATCCACGGCCAAAAAGCTCCAAATATACTGAGGACATACTATAAAATGATGCAGTAAATCTAGGCGACCCTTTTCATTGTGCTTCCCTGTCAGTTGGCTATTGCAGGTGCCCCGGTGACGGTGTGGATGGCGTACGACACGGGCTACACAGAGCGCTACATGGATGTGCCTGAGAACAACCAGCAGGGCTACGAGGAGGGCTCTGTGGCTCTGCACGTGGACAAGCTGCCCAGCGAGTGAGTACACACACTTCTGCGCTATAAGTGGGTCTCGTCGTCACTAAAATGTGACTCGTGATCTTTGAGGGTTTGGAAGTGAAAACATGTCGATACTGCGAATCTGTGTCTCTCTCTTTCACGTTAGCACACGTTGGGGGTTTATTCCCTGCGTTGCCGAATTACAAACGACCCCGACAGCAGTTCTTAAAATGTACAAAGGTGCGGTTAAGGTTTTCAATGGCACGTTAAGTGTCAGTGCGCCTCAGTTGTAGGAGGGAATAAAAGCCAGAGGGCCTGACGAACGGCATGTTGGAGCACTGCCCTACGACGCTCGAGTGGAGCGAAGTCTCTGACGCCCTGCAGCTGCAGTATGTCACCGTTCTGTCAACTGTGAAGCTGTGAAGGCCTCTCCCCTTTTAAAAAACCTAAGGGAATAACAGTTGATGGATTATTGGGTGTGATGGTTGTCTTATTATTGCAAGCGAGCCCCATCGTATTGTGACCTTGTTTTCCTTCTCATCCCAGGCCCAACCGTTTGCTGATTCTACACGGATTCCTCGATGAGAACGTGCACTTTTTCCACACCAATTACCTGGTGTCACAGATAATCCGTGCTGGGAAGCCCTATCAGCTTCAGGTTGGCATCACAAGCCTTATACTAAACACATTTTTAAGTTTCCGAGTGAATACTTCGTAATAGGTGGACATAATTAACGGACGTTGTGTTTTATGCCAAATTGCATGATATCGTTCATTTATCACATATCAGCCTGTAATTTGGTTCCCGTTTTCAAATCTTTCAGGTATACCCCAACGAGCGACATAGTATCCGCTGCCCTGAGTCTGGAGAGCACTACGAGATAATGCTGCTGCACTTTCTACAACAATACCTCTGAAGTGAGACAACAGGGGAGAAGTGAAGTCTAGTTTTCCCCCCATCGGTCCTCCTCAACCCCCCCCCAGCTCACCGGCCACCTTTACTCTCTGAAACCTCCGATCTCGAAGGCACCCTGCAGCCACCGTGTCCTTTGAACTAGTCACGTAACCTTTCCACTTAGCCTCCCTCTCTCTCGCTTGCTCGCACGTTGTTACTAGCTTGTTCACTCTGCCCCCCCCCCCCCCCCCCCCCAGGGAAGGTTTTGGGGGGGGGTTCAAACACCCAGAATTGGGGTCCCCCCCCGAGAGGGGGGAAAAAAAAAAGGGAAATTTTTGGAGGGGGGGGGAACTATGAATAATGGCTACCCGGCGTCCCAAATTTGGAAGCCGAGAGGGGGTTTTTCGCCTGCAAGAAACCCCCCCCGGGGGACCCTTGGTTGGGGGGCCCCCCCCCCCCCCCCCCCGTTGGGTCACTTGAGTCAGTGGAAGGATTTACAGCTCTTGAATATGAAATGGAAGATACACACATATTCACAGACAAGAGCTCACACACTAGACGTTATTAACCTGCATACACTCACAAGCACACTCACAACTGCAATACTCCTACAAACGGAGTGAGAACCCAGTTTATGTAACGATGAAGAAAAGAGGAACACTGAGACTCTTCTTGTTTTAAGCGAGTGTTTAAAATAAAATATTTTATGGATTTTTATTCTTTTTTTATTTCTTTTTTTTATGCGTGCCGACATGAGATGGCCGTTCATTGGTAATTTTCTGCAGTTCTTTCCCCTCACATTACGTTTCTCCGAGATGTCTGCTTGCCTTCTTAAACACATAATTTATATTTGCCAAAATACCTCGTGACTCTTGATCATGCTGGTATGTCCTTTTTTTACTGCAATAAAGACAACAGGAGGGTGAGCACTGGAGTCTTACAACAGCTTTGTACCACCGGAATACAATTTGTACATGATAATGAATAAATGTATGAATCAATCACGTGCTCTCCTTTACTGCGGTTTTATTATTAGAGTAGCTACAAGTGATGTTGTCTGATTGCGGCTCGGTTGTTTTTTTCTCTTGTCGTGACACATGCTCGTGTTTTCTTTGATCCGAGAGATTAGATGAATTCCCCTCGGCATAAAGACCTGGCGCAAAGTCTTAGTACCAGTGAACCTTTGTCACAGCAAATGGGCGTGTTTTTTTTTCCAGAAATGTGCAACTTCCCTGACGAGAACTTTAATAGAATTTGGAGAACCAGTTAGTCAACATTTTTCTCTGCCGGTAACAAGAGCTCTGCCCATGTTTTTAAATGATGCATAATGCGGCGACCTGAAGAGGTCAGTTCAGAGATCAGGTGTTACAGAGGTCGATTCCCAGCCAGCGGATCAGAAGGGATGAAACACTTAACAGTAAGACCTAGACGGAGTCAGAAAGAGGTGCAGTGAGAAATCGAAGTTGACACCTCAGAGCTCCTGGAGTTTGCTTCCACGTAATATAACTAATCTACAGGAGATCTTCCACGTGTGGCTCAATATAAAGGCTTGGCTCGACTGGTCGGGTGGCTAAAGAGGACTCGTTATCAGGCCGGATTTGGTTGGGTTGATAAGGATGCTGATGAACTCACCTGAGCTGCTTCTGACCATATTTACAAAAGTGACGGACATTGGGAAGAACATGTCCAAGCAAGTTCACGATTCAGAGGTTGCTATTCAACATATTGTGCATAGAAGAAAATTTAAAAACATTAACAGTCATTAAAATATGAAACAAGCTAGAAATAAAAGTGGCGGTGCAGTTTAAGAATTAAAATGACATTCAAACAGTTATTTGGCCGAGACGTTTTTTAACTGTAGAGAAACCACTTTTAGTTTATAATAGTTTTACTTAGAATGAGGTCAGTGAGATCTAAGCCACAGTCCCTGTAACAGTATTTTTCAGACTCCATACAGTATTAACTACTATTAATATATAACTTATGACTATTTTGCAGTATTACGACACTTAAGTGTACCAATATTTTCTTAAACCCTTAAGAACCTTGCTGTGATATTTTTGTGAATTTGGGTTTTGCTTCAGTTGTCGGTTGAGTGTTTTATGTTGGTGTAACGATCTGCTGTCAAAGTCACACAAAGATGCAGACAAAAAGCCGTACTAGTTTAAGTCAGTTTTATTGGCTCTCTATGGCACCAACAATGATTAAACTCTCTTAAAAAAACATTTCACATCAGGCAAACACAACAAATACATTATAAATTACAAACATGTACCACCAGAAATATATATATTGATTCTTTAACACTTAAATAAAGGGAACATCTACAAAAACAAACCTTCAAGTTACACAGACAACAGATAATAATAAAAAAGTCAATATGACTTAACATCAGCAAAATCTCTCTTAAAGAGATTTAAGTCAGAGAATACGCATCATTTGATTCAAAATTGCAGACATAAAATATATTATACAAAAGGCTGGAACGTTTTTTTTTATAGTTCTCAGCATTGCAATCCTAGTTTACAGTGATTTATTACTTTATATAATGCTTTCAAACATAAATCTCGTCCATCTATGTGGGAAACGACTCAGATTAAAATCAGTACTCGGTCTGCACCGCTTGGACTGCATTTCACTCCGACATGCACCCTTTAACCATCAATTCTCAATCTGTCTCCAGACTTTTATTGGCTACAAAACCACATTCAAGCTGAACCGCAGCCCACAGACACGGTGGACGCCGCGTGTCTGGTGATGCGTCGTTACTTGTTGGAAATCTTTTGTGGCTTGTGGCTCCGGGCACAGCGGATGGGCTGCGACTCGCCCTGCGATTCCCTCCTGACAAGGGGCCCCCGCTTGGTGCCAACAGATGATCGTCAGACGAAAAAACTTTCCACCACGAGTCTTTATTTGTCCTTTTTTTTCCTTCTCAATCTGTGGCTCCAGATGCGGGGGAGGAATCTGCTCGTGCTCATTAAATGCGAGGTCTTTTTTTTCTTCTATATTGAGTGGGAGCTCTACCTCACAGGGAGATAACCAGGCAAATGGAAACCAACTCATCAACCAAGCACAAATAAAAGAAAGAATAGTCCAAAATATACGTCTTTCTCCAACTCATCCTCGCCTTGACTACTTTATTTCTGTCTCCGTCTATTCTTTATGACTTGTTTTCGACCACAGCGGGGGCGATCATCATCCTGCTGGACTTCAGGGGATAGTAGCGGCCCCTCCAGGTCTTCCAGAAGATGCTCTGCTTCCTCTGGTCCCGCTGCTTTGGAGGAGGGCTCTGGAAGTATCTGCCGTTCAGGTTGGAGCGACCGCAGTTACTGAACCACCAGCCACCTAGCAACACAAAGAGGACAACCTCCGGTCAGGTCCGCCGTCCCAAACTGGCCTCTAGAAAATACATATATATGATCGGGATCATCATTTCCAACTCACCAGAGAGGTGCTTGGCGCAGTTGGTGTCGTTCTTCTGGTCGTTGTCTTGGTCCCGGGTGGAAAAGGTCAAGCCGGCGGTGGCGTCACTTGCCAGCGAGCTCTCCAAGGGGCTGAAAGCGTCTGCCTTCTGAATCTTTAGCGAGTACTTGGTTTCCTCTCCGCCCAGGTGAAAGGGGAGGCGGACAGATGCCATGTCTCCACTCCAGTCGGCGAGCACAATGTCGAGGATGTGGCCGCCGTCTTTGGCGATAGAGTGGATCTTTTCTAACCCCAGCCAGAACTCTCCTAGAGGAAAGAAAAGATAAGCGGGGAACGGGTGAGAAAACTTCTGTTTGATCTGTTATCAGTGATAAGATGCCTTTTGGGAGATGGATCCTGATGTACAGTGGTTGTAAAAGACAGTAATGCTGTGTGAACTAATCTGCACCCGCCGGCTGGCTCCTGTTTAGTCAGTGAGAGGGAGGTCAAAGTCGAAAGGGCATTTACCATTCAAGCTGCCAAAGCCGGTTTTGTAGGCCGTCCATAGCTGGTCAAAGTCCACTGAGCCATCTTGACGATTTTGGATCACCGTCCATCCACCATCTGGACAGAAAGTCGGAAACACAATGATTAGAACACGTTCCGTCAACCAAATAAGCAACCGTCAGATAAAGTTGGTGACTGATTGTCCACGTGCTCAGCAAACGCTAACGTCCACTGAGAAGGACACAAAGGGCAAAATGCAAACAGAGTTTAGGTCCACTCACCAGCTGTCATCTCACAGAACACTTTAAAGGCCTCAGCATTTATTGGCTGGATGGTGTAAACCCCACTTGTGCTCTCTCCTCTCAGGAACAGCTCATGACAATCTGATGCCATCTCTAGAAGAAGAAGAAGAAGAAGAAGAAGAATGGTAAGACAACCAGGTCCTTTAAGGCCCGTTAGTCAGAACAGGATGATTATCTTTTGGGCCGACACACAGGTTTGGCTTCACTTTAAAAAAAATAAAATTTGGGGAGGAAACTCAATCAAACTTGTTTACTCTGTCCTGCATTGATAAGATGGTCATTCACACCAGGGCAACGTCTCAGCAACACGCAATTGTTGGGAACGAGCTTATCTGTAAGTCCGGAGATTTAAACGCGCACCCTTTTAGAGACATAGTGACAACTTGTGTCCTGGTTCTCCCAGTTCCCAGGCAGTCTTCCCTGTTTACGGCAGCCTTGCCTTCCAGGTCGTTTCACTGCACAAACTACCAATGCCTTTCACATTCCTCAACCCCCTTTTCCCTGTCTGCAATCCCCCTCCTCCCTGACTCACACACCTCCCTCACATGCACAGCAGCCAGTCAGTGACGTAGGAGTGCATGGCTGGTGCATGGCTGATGCATGGCCGGGGCGTGATCAGAGGGTGGGGAGGGGGTTTCTCCCCAGTAATCCTTTTCTATTACGGGTGACGTCATCTTGGGAATATCTCCACACCACAAAGAAAAAACATGGTTTTGCTCTTGTTTCACTGATCCTTCCCATATATTCGCCTGCATATTGTTTTAATGGGAGCACACCAGCTGACCGCACAACCACAAAACCCATTGTGTGTGATGTCCTTTCCCCAGAGGTGTGACCTCGTGGTCGCCTCTTGTGGCCTTGGGGTCAGGGGTTTTCCTGAACTTTGGCACACTTCTTCTCATTCATTACAATGCGAGAGAAGGGGAGGCTGTGCGTCGTGGTGGGGGAGGAGGGTTGAGGATGAGTGAAGAGGAGGAGGAGGAGGAGGGGGGGGGATGTCAGACTCCCTGACAGATCTGGGGGAAAGGTTGCTCATTCTTGAGGGATATACAAATGTTTGTTTTGCTCTAAGGGTCCTAAAGGGGGGGCTGAAGACGGTGGTGGATATCTGTACAAAGTTCACAGGAATATATAGACCATTATTTTCCCACCTTTTTTCTTGGTTCAGGCACAAAGACAGTAATCTGAGGATCATTGCATGCTAGATTTGTACAAAGCCTCCTGCCCCCGAGCACAGAAATGAACGGTGTGAGTAATCCTATTGAAGCTGTGAGACGTTACTGAACACCCTCAGTGACAAGCGAACTTTCCCCCAGTTGAAGCGTTGCCAAAGAAGCTTGTTTCTTTCCTCATTCCTCAAATCCAGCTGATGGCAGTTCTCTGACAGGTTATTGTGATTTGTACTAACCGACTGGTCAATGGTCCCGTGTTCACCTTTCACCCACTTCTCATCTATCAGGCTATTATTTAATATATGTTAATTCAAATCTCCCGTTTAAATTTGCATCCATTTCGGTTTAATCCAGCGATTCGTCCATCATCCTTTTCGTCCTCTCAGAGGGATAAACTGACGTTCAGTGATGTAAGGTGCAAAGTAAGAAAGCTGAACAGAGATGATGAAAAGATGAAAGCTGCCTTTGGTAATAAGTGTATGAGGAGCACTGAGACTGAGCTTCATTCTGAAAGAAATCTCTGTTCCAGTACTATGATTGGAATAGGCAACAGTAACGACATGGGTCTCAAAAAGGAAGATGTCCTCTTTAATTTGAAATCATTTAATTTTGCCAATGGTATCTTATATGAGTTGGCGTCCATAGGCTTTTACTGCCAAAGCTTTTGCTAAAAGCTCCAACATATTGTGGCGTCACGCTGCGCAGAGAAGCTCGTCCCAAATTGATTAGATTCCTTGATTTTAATTGCTAGTGATGTGAGCTTCTCTATAGCCTCACTAAACAGATGGTCCGCCACATCGGGCGTCCGGTCGACTTAAGACAGTGTCGGGAGGGGATTTCATGGATTTCATGGCTTTACTTACCGGCTGGTGAGTCGCGTTGTTCGGCGACGCCACTTTGCGCGTCACTGTTGCTGCTGCGCGAGGACGCTCTCTGTCGTGACTGTTGAACCTGGGGGAGAGAGGGGGAGAGAGAGGGGAGAGGGGGGGTTACGTAACGTGAGATTGTGGAAGAATTGACAGAATGCGAATATGCTGATGGTTAACGCGGGGTGGTTTTATGTGTAAGCGGTTCGTACGGCAGCCTCACCTGGCTGTGCAGAGTCCTGATGCGCACATTCTGCTTGTCAAGCTTCTCCTGCTGTAGTCTGATCCGCTCCATCAGGTCGTCAATGCGTTTGTTCTGAGCCTCCAGCATCGGCTGACACAATAAAATGAAACAAAGAAAACACGTTTTAAAAAATAAAAACGCAATGTCACTTTTCTCCACACGGCACCTGTGCGTAAAATGTGCCAAGGCGCCGAACTTTAGAACCTGAATGAACACGACAACACGCCACTTTCAGGGTTTCATTGAGATTTTTCCCACAGGACAAACTCTGTCCAACCGTCCGAGGTGTCGCTATGCGTTATGTAATAGCGTTTTCCACTATAAAGCCTTTCGGTCTCACATACATCGTAAAACCAGACGTGGAAAACAAAGAAAGCGCAACTAACATAAACCACCTCCGCTGCGCCGCATGGGCCCAGAAATCTACAGGTTGTAAAATGTGCCAGCTGGGAACAATCACGCACACATTCTTAGAGCGTGCAGGGCTCTTTGTGTGGGAGCTTCTTGGACGTTCCTGCACGTACTGCACGTCCTGCCTCAAACCGACCACCCGCTGACTGCCCTTTGTGCATTTGGCTTTAGTTGCTTTGAGCCTCACTTGAGCCGACGGTGCATGCGTAAAGTACATCCAGTAACTTAAGTTCAAGCCTGCTGACCATCTGCTGCAGTAAAACAGCAGTTTGTACTTTCTGAGGCCCTTCTTGGATTTATGAGGCTATATAATTAGGTTTAGTATACAGTAAGGATTCTCATTTAGCTCCCTTTTCTTCCAAACTAACTCCTTATTTTAAGATTTTATGCCTATACACAAACAAATCCACACGGTAAATACAAGACAAAAAAGAACGCCAGAAACTTGCATTCTCACCTGTATATTGTGAGCATCACTGTTGTTCTTGGCACCGGGGTTTGTGTCAGGCACCGCGGAGTCTCCCTGGAGCATGATGTCCACCCTCTCCTCCAGCCGGCTCATCCTCTCGCTCATCGTCCTCCTCTCATGCTGCATCTCCTCTGCCTTCTCCCTCAGCTCGGCCGTGACATTGAGCAGGTGTCCCTCTCTGTCCTCCAGCCCGTGGGCTCGAGCCTTCAGGGCCTCCCCCTCCCCCCGCAGCTTCTGGCTCTCCTTCCCCAGGTCGGTCACCGTGCGGTTGAAGACCTTCAGCTTGGTGGCAATGTCCCTCATCTGGACCTTGGTTTTGTCCACATGCTCCTTCAGCCCCTGGCCCAGCTGCAGGAGGCCGTGGGCGATGACGTTCACGTCATCCCAAGCCGCGTACGGTACACGCTTCTCCTTGGCACCACTGCTGGAAGATGAGCCCCCTTTCTTCTCCAAAGGGAAAGCTATGGCCATGAGCACCACCAGGCAGAGGGTTAGAGTTGCCAGTGTTGTCTTCATTGCTGCCGCTTGTCCCAAACTCTCAGGATGACTTCTTTGAATAGTGTATGATGTCCTGTCGCAGAGGTTTGCATTTAATCTGAGAGCTACGTATCCTGACTGAGTAATCAGAGCACCACAGTTATATAGTTTCACAGCCCTCAACCCTGAGCTGTAAGTAGCCTGCCATTGGCCAGCGCAGGAGAGGGAGGGGGGCAGTTATTCTCAGGTTTCTGTCCCTCCTCCACCTCCCTGTTAACTATTCATGTCAGAGGCGGAGGAGGGAGACAGGGAGGACATTATCTAGATTATAGTAGCCTATATATCGCCAGCAGTGCAATTTATGTATTTCTGAATTTACACAAAGTAGTGGTTCTGTTAAAGTGGATTGTTCATCAGCACAGAAACACATTGGATCACATTCACATTGGATTAAAATGAGTTCATGTTAACCCTGTTATGAAAAACCCAGTGTGATTGTTCTAAGAGTAAATTAAAGAACAGTCACTTGCAGACCTATCGTGACCGTGATTTACAGTAAACGGGCCTGGTTCTTAAAATACACATTACAAAAGTGAAAATGAAATTGTCAGATGCCATTATGGTGGAAGTGCACTGCACACACTTTCGCATATGAAAGATTCATTTACAGACCTTTAAAAGGAAGATAGATATATATGGAAGGGGAGAATTTAAGCCTCTTCTCTGTGCCATTAATTCCCAAAGCCGTGGAGGGAAGAACTCTACGTCTTTATCATTTTATCGTTCCTGTGAGGGGAAAAAAAAGTCATGTGTGAGTCAAATCTGTAATATAAAGGAAACCACATTAAGTATGAGAAAGAATACAGGCAAAAAATACAATACTTCATCATTTAAGTTTATGTTCTCTGATAGATAGTCAGAAAGACAGACAAACAGGTGGATTTGGAAATGATTTTGTGAGACGAATAAAGTCAGTGACTTTGTGCAGTAGCCAGGAGAGGAATATGCAGACAATTTGGCCTGAGGTGATCTTCAGAAAGTACCTACTGCTGTGGAGACGTGTGGACTGTGGGAATTAGGGGAAAGGTCACAGCACACAGAGTGCCCACATTACGTTTCTCTTTTTTCTTTTTTTTACAACCTCCGCCATGAGGCTGTATAGACTTTGCATGATCCGGTCCTGAGGCCAGACCACAAAGAAGGAGCTGCTTTAACCCTCTCCTGTCTGCAGCCCAGACTAAGTAGGTGAAAGGTAACCGAGAGACTGCTGAGAGGGGAAAGCCACTTTAGAGTCCGGACTGCAATAAACAGGCATTATTATTTGTGATAGCACTGACAGAGAATTGTCTCCACCCTGACAACTTATTGTACTCCAGTTAAAATACTTGTTTATGATCTTTTCCTTTCATGAAGAGCCACAAGGTCCACACAGTGCGATATGACACCAACTACAGTGATGATTTTCTTTACTCTCAGTTAGCAAGATTATCACTGAGATAATATATATATATATTATCTCAGTATATATATATATATATATATATATATATATATTGAAATAAGTGCTGAAGAAGGTGAAGTGGGGTTAAGGGGTTGAAAGGTATTTTTCCGGTGCAGGAACACGGCATCTCTGAAACACACCTGCTTCTTGAGATTAATTGAATAGCATAGTATGAGTAAAACTGAGAAATCCAGTTTGACAAAAAGTTCATACTGTAATTGTTGGATGACTCACAGGCGACGTGTTTCCACCGTACGCGCAAAGTTGCACCATAATTTGACAACATACTGCCAGTCAGTGTTTTAAACACCTGTGACTCATTTGTCAGCGGTAGAAGACGTATTCAGCCCATTTACTTATATATAATAATACATAATTATATAATTCTAATAGATTTAAAAGTACATCACTACAATAGTCCAACATTGAAAATGTTACTGTACAAGCAAGTGCAAAGAGCATTGTCTATTAAAAGTGTCAATAGTGGGCTGCAAATCTTCTCTATAAGAGAAAAAATCATCTTAAATAGTCACACAACAGAGAAACTACAAAGTCAAAAGTGCCACAAGACACATCAGTATGAAACAAATGCATGAAATAGTCAAACAGTAAAGGTAAAATCCTTTTAATATCCGTATTGCATCATAGCCAAAAACGAAAAGGTCTATCGGTCAATAGGCTCATTGTATTGACAGTATAGACTATATTTATATTAAATTAAAATAATTTAATTTTCATTGTTTTATTGAAATAACAACTTGCGAGAATCTGTCTCACGTCCTCTCATTCAAACTCCCACGCCGTACTTTCAACTGTCCCTCATCCTAACCGTCCCCACAGCTGCTTATTCCATTCTCAAAAATGGCCGCTCCCATCCCCAGCCGCCATGGTGACCTTTTACCCAGATTCTAAACACAGAACATCTGTAAATCCCAGCGCAGCCACAGACAGAGTCACGTAAAAGGGGATGGGGAGAGCGAGAGAAAGCCGTCACTCCCTTCTTCCCAGGAACGAACTGTGATCTGTGATCGTTTCCAATTGGGACTTATTTTGTACTCCCAGATTTCTTCTTCCTCCACCCGTTTGTCAGAAAGTACAGCTGAATATATTCATATGGGGGACAAACCTACGAGAAGGAATTTTATTGAAATCCCAACGTATGAATATCCAAGACTCAATATTACATCTCATCCATCATCGATTGGCACTCATTAGTGTCTCCCGCTGCCCACCTCACTAAATGTCACCCGGCCCCCAGCATGTTCCTCATTTCACATATCATGACAAATTCATGAGCGCTGACACGATCAGCGGGGCTCACGGTGAGTGAATGAAGGGCATGACTGATGTGTAGAAGAATCAGTCATGATGGACTGGAGAGGTAAATGTAGAAGCGATTCGGGGAGCGACACACAACGATGCTGCTCACCTCGTACTCATAAGCGAGAAAGAAATAGGGAGGAGAAGATTGAGTTTTTCGGTGGGGACGCGCTCAGAAATGGACTTTATGTCACATGCGTTATTGAATTTATAGATTTCCCCTTTTTCTAAAGCTGAGGTGCTTCATCAAAGATGAGACGCTGTTACATTGACTGTCCCAGGAGGCCACGTCAGGGATACATATTGTGTATTAGTCCCATTGTGGGACTGATAAAGGAATATCTTATCTTATCTTATAATGCCAGGAGCCTGAATCTGTTATACCTCAAGGTAATGCAGCCTTGCTAATTATTACCTGTGCCTCTCTCCTTCTAATTCAACTTTGCCAACTGCTTGAACTGTTTCACACAAAGGAAGAAGTTAAGGGATGAGCTTACAAAGGAAGAAGTTAAGGGATAAGCAGAATGTTGGTCTTTCCGTGTTAAAGAAATCAGATTGATCTGATAAACTATAATTACAAATTGACAAAAAAAAAAACATTATTCTCTGTCAAAAAAGGAATCAAACCAGTGAGGAAAGACCGGCATGTTTGCAGATTAAACTGGTCCTGATACCCACCGTGACCGCCTTCAACCAGTTCCCATCCCACTGCATGAGCAGCCAGGTAAGACACACTACTGCCCCCCAGTGGTGCTCAGCCAGTCGTATTGTGTCATTTGACCACTGGGAACCTTTTTGGGGACTGTTTTGCTATTGTTGTACCAGCAGCCAATTGCTGAATATGACACGGCACCGAAGCAAATACATTTTTTGTTATTTTCTGAGAGACGAGGTGGGATTGATTTCTCCTCCGGTTTGGTTTCAGAGCAAACCGCGAGCAGGCAGAAAGGATATGGGAGATTTCCTATGAGGACTCAAACATGCTGTCATTGGAAAAGGACGGTCCCCTTTGGCATTAACATCTAGGGGCTCTTTCGGTTCCCACACAAATTCTTGACATCTGCCTTTTTTTTAGGACGCTTTGTGTCTGTTGAACAACTTTAAAGATCATCATGGGCTTTGCTTTTACAACATCCTGCACAGATTGTTCAATTGGTTCCCTCTGAGGTCAAAACCAAAGTCACGCAAGACCATATGAGAAAGTGTCCCGGTGCCCTGTTTGTGCAGCTGACTGTAATCAACGCATGTGCATGCACGCATCTTTTGCTTGCATGCGCAGATGCACGGTCGTAGCATCTGTAGCTCGACGCACTCATTGGCAGACACGTGCAACGTGACACAGGTGAACGTGTTATTGCCTCTGCCTGACTGGGCCTGAGACAGTTTTACTTCTTGGGGGCCATAAGCAACATTCTCCTGCTGATTCATGGTCCACATACATGCTCGCTTCTCCACACTCTTCACGCTGTTCTGTGCTTTCACTGCCCACGGGCTCAATGAGGGTCGCAGCTGGCAGGAAGCACAAAAGTACAGAATGTACAAATATCACCATTTGGACAGTGTAAATTTGAGTGTGGATTGGACCGCGGTTGACCTCGGCAGCTGTGGCCGCTGTCAGTTCTTCCTGGGGGTGAAAATATATCTTTAATAGCTAGAATAACTAAACAAACAGGCAGGCGTGGCTGCGTTATCGATTGTCTCATTTAACTCTCATTAAGAAGTGAATAAGCGCAATATGTCAACAAGTCATTCTACAGCAGTGTATTAAATCTAAAAAAATCAAATAAATTTCATGAATTTGCATGAAAAGCACTCATTTATGAACACAAGGAGAAACCCTGCTGTTGTACATAGATACAAATCCATCTGGAGACCAAAACAAGTTAGCAAGGTCAAGGATGAATTCCACGCTAAATGCAGTAGCCATAAAAAACTCAAACTCATATTTACATTGTCTGGGATTTATCTCCAATGAGGCCATTGTGGGTCCTAAACGAGCTCTCCACAACATGTCAGGGACCCAAACCTCAGATGTATTGAGCGGTGAAGCTGTCTAGTCTCCCCAGAGTCTCGGAGGACACATCCGCGCCCCTCTTTGTCTTCCTAAATGATCCCCCTGGTGGTATGTACCCCAGTTATTAAGCTTGATTCCCATGAATTCTTGGCCTTCTGTGGAACTTTCAAATAAGCATATGGAGTAAGAAGCGCTTGAGGCCACTGGGTTTATGTTACTGATCACGTTGATACGAATTCACTGCCCCATTAGTTGTCATTAACGGCAGTGAAGGTGGAAGCAGGTCGGATGGAGGAGATCTGACTGTGAATG